TTGCGGATCTTCGTAGTTTAGGATTTACATAACACAAGGGCTTCAGGTTATATCTACTTAGTTTGGAAAATATATGAATAAATCCTTAATATGAGAAGTAACAGATTGCAAATACAAACAAACTTTTCCCCTACTAATTCAACCCAAGTTATAACTCGTACGAATTAACGTTGACACCCGTGGGCCTATTCTACTTACCCTCAACTAAAATTTTGGGAAATTTCTCTAATAGAATTCCTAATTATGTCGATGTTATTTTGTGTAGTTGCTAAAAATAAATGTTTAATACGTATCCGTATGAAATTGTTGTGCATCTCTGCCGGCCGGTAGAGTCAGGTGCTACGGTCGTAAGGTTGTTGGCGCGTACGCTCGGGCGCTGCGATTGCTATGCACGCTGCGTGCCATCCTTTCTTCCCGCCAATGCCAGCCGCATTGTTCCCCGCCGCGACACCTAACTGTACACAGATAAGTGGACCCTGAAATTGGCATTGCCCTTGTTCGAGTGACCTGGACATGTGACCTAGCTTCTTTTAGGAAGTATTGTTGGATGGTAACATTACGTCTTTAAAAAGACACGATTTGTAATGCTTTTCTTTAAATATAATGACTGTTATACATAGCCAAAGCAAAACTGATTGATAATTTTAGTAATTTTGCAAAGTATGGATAAGTTAAGTAATTAAAACTCTTCTTACCTTCCTATATGACACAGCCGGTTATCGAATTAGAGGCTGCTTGTTAACGTAGATAGCATATAATCATCACCAGCCGTAAGACGGGCTGATGGGCATGATGGACTGATGGGCATAGGCCTCAGGTAAATAGCACAGTGAGGAGAATCTTATAACTGGGATAGACATATGGGCCCAATAACGCCTATTAATAAGCAAGCAGAATACGTCTTATAGTGGATCTGCATCGACTGGCCAGAACAACTGTGAAAATTTGAAAGTATTTTGATTAATTTATTAGTAACCGAGCATCTGATAAAAGTGGGTATTATTAGGCAGACTTTAGACTAGATAAAATTTTCCTAAATTTTGAAATGCATTGTCACTGTGCTATAAGTATATTTAATATTGTGTATAATTGTATTGTGTATTTATTATACCGGTCAAGCAAAGGTGTAGGGTGTATGTATAATTAATTACACATAGTAATATCCTCGGCGGAAGTCTCCATATTATTTTTCATCAATAGGGAAAGCCTGTGCTGCAGTAGTGAGGATATTGGACAGGCTGATGACAAACTCAGAGGGCATGGTTTTCTCTGACACCTTCAATAACCATCATTTTTCCTTTAATTTACCTTATAGCTTCACCATCTTCAGGACTAATTTACCGTTTATTAGTGAAAATTTTATATGGTAATTTATCGAATTCCATCTCGGAGGTCCCGGGTCTGATTATTTTTCTACTTATATTTTGTAGGGCTTGGAAAAAAGGATCCTGTGGTGTCTTCGTTGTTTCAAGAACTTTATTATGAGGGCTTTAAATTTTCTTGGAAACTGAGCAATGTATCTGATGTTCTCGCTATTTGGCTAAAACCGTGAATATTTTTATTGGTATGAAAATTATATTTCAATGCTATTCTGTAATAAAAAAACGGCCTGGAACTACGTCAAGTATACTACTCTTTCGAAATCAAATAACTTCTACATGTTTCCTTAAAAGTTGTGATAAGCGTGCAGTACTTCTTCAATAACATTTATGATATCATAATGACATACCTAATTTTACTCATAGATATTTAGATCTCTGTGAATTTAATGCATTACTTATTATAGACATTAAACTACTACTTTGTAGGTATGTGACAGGTTTATCGTGACCTTTCGAAGGTCTTTCATACAAACAAGTCTGTAATGCACATTTTTATTCAAGTTTTTTAACTGTTGTTCTATTTTCAATGAATTCGTGCTGCTTCATTATAGGCTTTAAAGTTTATCTGTGTTGCCGACTTGGGAGCATCTCGTGCAAGCTCTTGGTCAAGTTCAAGGTGGGCCGTTGGCATTTGGATTGGAGCGATTCGTCAACATGGATGTCACACAATCGAATGCGCCCACGCACAGCGCAACCAACTATTGTAGTGTAATGATTATTAAAAGTGACTTATGAGACGAAGAAAATATGCTTAGTAGTTTAGAAACGGACGCTTAACGTTTCGTGGAAATATGTTTTATTTTCTAAAGAAGTTTTGGGGTCAATGACTAAAGATGTCGATTACTCATATTTTGAGTAAAAATAAGGTAATGAAAATAGCTAATATGTCATTTTTATAAATAATATGTTGTATTGTAGAAATAATATACGATAGAGCATCGTCCTTTAATAACTGTATGGTATTTAGATGTCTCACTGTGCTGCACGCACAAACAAAAATGGTACATAATCTAAGTTCTGCCTTGATACGTGTGGGTCTGGGGATGAATTTGGAAAACTAAAATCATGTTCAACGCACATATTATCCTAGAACGCGTTTTTGTCGATGATGTATCATTCCAGGTTGTCCAGGAGCACTTTCTACTTTTGGCAAACATTGCAGTTTGGTAGAGACAACTCCAAATGGGAAATCTACAGAAAGAAGCAGCTAGTCTGGGCAGTATTTGGGAACGCAGCCGCCCCGCCGCAGGCCGGGTATTCGACAAATCATGACCAATGGAACAGAAATGTGCAACATATTAGTGAAGTTGGCTCTACATATCGCTCAGCGAGCTATGGAATGATCTATGCTGGGAGATAACTTCCAGCAGAAAACCAAAAGCGATGGATATAATAGGAAGTCAATCGTCGCTTTTGGTTTTAGCAAACTGAAATAGCAGTGAGCTAGCTGCACAGTCTATCACAGGACTGACGAAAGTTGGAATAGACGGGTTCTCGAATGGAGAACACGATCTTGGTAAACGTAGTCGGATACCCCCAGCAAGATTAAGATGGACTGATAACCTCCGACAGGCGACAGGCAATGGCTGGATGAAGATAACGGGAGATGATGTTTAGTGACGTTCTCTGCTGGAGGACGCCTACGTTTAACAGTGAACTGCAACAGGCTGACATGGTAAAGGTTATTTAAATAAAAATTTCTTTTCACAAATAAAAAGGTTTACAATTTTTATTATCATGTCTTTTTAGTAGCTGTATCATCACAAAGAATTCGCGCGTTTTTTGCGCATAAAACCCTTCTTTTATTCTTATTTTTTGCTTTTGAACTTAGTGTTCGTGCCAGCCCAATCTTAACCAAATAACAAATATAAAATCTACATATATCTATGGAAACATAACTTCGTACCATTTTGAATAATATTCTAGCTTCATCATCAGAAAAACATCTTTGTTATTTTTTATTGTACTTAAGATTAAAAAGTAAATTATTCCTCTCTGCTTCATTCTTAACACATTCAACAAATGTTGGATATCTTCTATCTTTTGATAGATTTCACAAATGGGAGAATTCGTTTTTTTATTAAATATAAAAAGTTATTTAGCGGAATATATCCAGATCGCAGTTGATGAGCTATTATATATACGTAATATATTTACCCATTTAAAAGGTGTATTTCTAATTAGGTAATATTGCTTTAATTGTCCAACACTACATCAATGTCCTTAGGTTTATGTATGTAGTGTTTACCATATGATTGTATAGTGTCCATTCAGTGAGAACCACAGAACATAGAGAGAACGGTCGGCGTAGAAAGTAGTCTACTAGTTTTGACAAAAGTTTCTGTGCGATCTAAATACCTATCGCTAAGGTTGATATTTCTATAAGTTTAGATACTTAATTATAATAACGCACTGTCTGTTATTTGGATTTGAAGTTAAAACCACTGTCATAATATATTGCAAGGGGTAATGACTTTGTTGTTTAATGACTTTCTGATGAACTTCAACCCTATGATTATAGAGCATGTTTTTTGCCGACTGTACCTATATAACTTATTCTATGGTATCTGTATTCGGAAGTTGTAATTCATAACGCTGTTAGTCATTCTATTGTCTTTCGGATAATCTTCAACTCCCTATGCAAATGCCAACATCAACATGCAGTGAAATATATTTATAGTTAATAATCAAAACCTGTGTTAATACGAGTTTGTAGAGTTCCGTAGAAATAAATTTTAAAACCTAAAGTTAGTCACAGTACGACTATAATTTTTCGGCAGCATAATATATATCTTTGTTTTTAATATAAAGACACTCCGCGCGTATAAGTTTGATGGTATGTTATCATTACTAATAAATTTGATGGTAAGTTTTTAGGTAGGTTTATCCATTACCTATGCATAGTGCATAGTGTATTGTGTAGTCGGTTCACATAATACATCTAAGGTTTGTTCATAATATAATTTATAAGTTACAAAGTCTAAAACACTGATCACAATTGGTCCATGATCACAGCAAATATTTATCTACATATATTAGTAATTGCTAAAGTTAGTAAAGCTACAAATAAACAATGTATAAATAAAGCCTGTCAAGTTTCAACTGTGTAGTCTTCATTTATTTATATTCTGATTTCTAATTAAATGGCTGTGACATAAGGACGGACATACGGACAGTCGTGACGAATCATAAGGGTTTCGTTTTTGTAAAGAGTATGCAAATCTATTTTCGCGGTCGATACAAGAACAGATAAGATATTTGTCATTCAGACATAAACCCATATCGTAAAAAATATAATAGATTATGTTTTGCACCATACTCGTTCCAAGTGGATTTCCAATTTTCTATTATATGACTAATATTAATTGATATTTTACAAAAACATATAATTTTTAAACAACCATAATTTATAAAAATATTATTATATCAAGTATAATCAAACTGAATTATGTAATAATTACTTTTTTGCTGTCTATAATATTATTCTGTTAACCTTCTGCTCAGTGAAAAGACACAAACTACTTGGCAACAATAATTCAATGAGTTGAGATAAATCATCACTGACCGATTATCTATTATTTCATCATGGTTATCAGCTGTTTGTTTGCAATACCCACTCATAAGTGAGGTAATAACATGATAACAAAGTAAAGTATGCCGAGATCTGTGCTGTAGTTGCGTTCTATGTTACGTCAGTGTCGGACGTTTATTTTGCTATTCCAATGGCTTTAGAAGGTCATCAGTTGTTTTTGAGTAAAAGAATCGTCACTGAAGACGAAATTATTGACGGTGGAGTGTTGGTCAACGAGAAAGGTGTTATAGAAAAAATTCTGAACAGGAAAGAAGCGGACAAATTATTAGCCGAGGAAGATGGGAAGATTAAGGTTCTTAATTTAAATGTTTATCCGACATTTATTCCGGAATTGATTGTTTGATTTTCGAATAGAATTTAGTAGTAGTGTTAATTCTTGTTACCGATTTATTCGTTGCACGTTAGGTTACCGACCGCATAATGTTAGATTTTAGTAATTCATTTTGTACTTTATCAGCAACAAAATAAAGATCAAAGTCAAATAGATTATTGAAAAACTTAATTTGATGTTGACTTTACCAGGAGCGTCAATGACCATATTAAAAGATCTATTAACTAGTTACTATTTTTTGAAATGGTCGCGCAATGTCGAATAATAATATGAATTATCGAAAGTAAATAGACAAACGATGTATATTACTATGCACAAAACTTTGACTTTAGTAGCAAACCAACCGCGCGACGTTTGTGTGTCCTAATTACCTGTTTTCCTGCGACTTCGCTTCTGTCTTTGTTTTTAATTATGAGTGAATTTTTAAAATCAATCCAATAGTTTCACAGCCTATGCGATCCAAATAATGAAACAATTAAATCTTTTCTCTTTATAATATAATTATAGATAAACTTAATTTCTAGCAGTTATTTTCATTACAAACAAATAAAAATCAAAATTTTCCTTTTATAACATTAGCATAGATTGCAATCACGAAGTCTGTTTCCAACCCAATATCTATACAATAACTGATAAGATTTGTTCTGCTACATTGATTATACAAATCGTCTTCTCACTAGATATTTTTAGCATACGGTCAGTGAAGAATCGTTTTGCTTGCCAAAATGGAGGAATATGTATTACAGATGATATTAATTCCCAGTTCTACGACCTTCATGTTGATTTATTACGAGATCAATTTGAATGGTAATGTAGCGCGTCCAGCCGGTAACACACTGTACACAAATATTTTTTTTCAATGTTATTGTTTGGTTAGATTACATTACTTTAATAAAAAAAACCACAATAGTTGTTTATTAGTTAAAGAGAATCGCTTAAGATCGACCTTCTACCCAAGAGAGAATAGTGCCTAACGTTGATTTATAAAATACTAACTGTGCCCTCGGCTTCGCCCAGGTAAATGTTAGCCTATGTCACCCGCGTATGATGTAGTTTTCCGTAGGTGAAAGAATTTTCATGGTCGTGTCAGTATTTCTGAAGATTACTTCTTATAATATAAATTAGTTCAATCAAATAAAGGTGTTCGACGTTGAAATGGAGGTCGAAAGTAATTCAGCATTTTATACCATTCGTTATTTCGATCGTCTTGAAAGTTTTTCTTTGCTTGTTTGATTGGATACTTAATTGTTATCAAATATCAAAAATATAATAAAAAGAAAATAATTCTTATTTAAAGATCGGACCATCTGTGGTAAGAAAGAAACTTTGAAAAATGTCGCTTATAAACTTTGAATAAATTCAAATTATATAATCGGTCATGCAAATCGTGGAGAAAGCGGTGAAAATAAAAAAAAATATGTACCAGACGAACATAGAACCGTTTTAGGGTTCCGTAGTAAACTAGGAACCCTTATAGTTTCGCCTTATGTCCGGCTGTCCGTCTGCGGTTTAGCTCAAAAACTATTGGTACTTGAAAGTTGTAATTTGGCATGAGTATACACGTTAATTAAACCGACAAAGTGGTAAAATAAAATTACGAAAAAATAATTTTAGGGTAGGTAATAATCCTTCCTTACATGTAAAGTGGTAATAATAAATTTTTTGTCTTCCCTATAGGTCTTTTAAAAACATCGCGGCTTTGGGAAGATCGTTTTTCGATTTAGTAAACCGTTTTTTGAGTTATTCTACCAACTGAACGGTCGGTGCTAAAAATTTAAACGTTATACCGGTAGTATCTATATAACGAAGATAAAAGGAAAACTATCACACTTAACGTTGACTTTACAAGTTTCGAACAAGTCAATAGAAAAAAACAAACGAGATTTTTTACTTCTTTTAATGAATTCTGCCAGCCATGAGCCAATTCGATGGAAGCGAATTTCCTTTAACCTTTCTCAGGAATGAAATTTCTCAGGGTTTTACCTTACGAGTTATCACTCGTTTCGAAATGATAAATTAATGCATTTATAATTTATTTACAGGTGGTTGATGGTGGTGATGTAGCGTTGCTGGCGGGCGTGGTAGACTCGCACGTACACGTGAACGAGCCCGGTCGTACCGCATGGGAGGGCTTCCGTACTGCAACCAGCGCTGCAGCGGCTGGCGGCATCACCACCATCGTTGATATGCCACTGTATGTTATTATTTCGCGATTATTGATATTCTTTCAAAAACGTAAGTAACATTATTTTTAAAACCATAATTGTGGACAGTTAATGCAAATCAGGGACATGAGTTATAAAAACGAAAGAAAAGTATCTGTAAAAAAAATGTCATAGAAGGTTAATAATCTCGTGACAATCACTGGATTTTATAAACACATACTAATAGTTACAACTCCTACAAGCTTTTCTGGCGACGATGCTGAGATCTCAACCCAAATTATTCGATAAGCGTAATTTGGATATGTAACCGCATGTCATCACAAATACTGCCAATAATCAATAAGCAACTGCTTTGTGCATCACCACCCTGGGGGGATAACAAAAATATGCGAACACAAAGATGTTTAAAAATCCACGCGTTTTTTACTCCTCGTATCAAAGTCACTTTTCCAATAAAAATATTTTATTAGTGATGAAATTGAATACTGCAAAAAAATTATAAAAGTTTGTATGATATTACCAGTATTATACACATCGACTGCCTTTTTTGTTGGCGATAAAGTTCTATAAAAAAAAACATTTCGCCACGGTTCAGATGTTTTTAAAATTCTGTTTTTCGATTCTAGGAATTCCATTCCACCAACGACAACTTTGAAAAACCTTAAGACGAAGGTTTCCTCTGCTAAGGACAACGTTTTTGTGGATGTTGGTTTCTGGGGAGGCGTTATCGCGGGAAATCAGGTAGGTGTTTCGAACGCTGGCTGCATTGAAATATGAGATGTGTGAGACGTATTGATATTTAGATGTTCTATTTATTATTTACTGTTATAACCGTACTAATTACTATAATAACTAGCTTACTTGAAATAAGTTCTTCTTTTCACAAAATTAGGGGTTGATTTTACAGAATTTTCAGATATATAATTTTTTTACAATGTTATATCCAAAACAGTAATTGGTTTAAGAATGTTTTGTAAAATAGGTCAATTTATTTTATCAATAAATTTTGACATATTTTTTTCAGGACTCTCTTCAAGATCTAGTGAAAGCTGGTGTGGTAGGATTCAAGTGTTTTCTGTGTCCTAGTGGTGTAGAGGAATTTCCGCACGTCGAGTCTGAAGATTTGGAGAAGGCGTTTGCTGCGCTGGAAGGAACAGGATCAGTTTTAGCGGTAAACTATATATCTTTATGTAATATAAGTGATGAAAAGTATTTTCATAATGCATTTTCGATTTATCGTCAGCTTTATGATGACATAGTTAAATCTTACTAATATTACAAAGGTTTCAATGTTTGTTATTTCCAAAAATTATTGCACGAATTCTAATGTTATTTAGTGTACGGATAGTTCTAATCTTCAATTAACATATGGGCTTCTTTTTATCTCACTAAATAGTTCCGTTACAGTACTATCAAGTTTGTAAACCACGCGGGCGAATCCGTTGTTAGAGCTATTATCCTGATTTTTTGTTACAGTTCCATGCTGAGGTAGAGGCAGAAAATTTACCTACTAAAACTAAGAAGAAAAGGAATGGTAATTTAGAGTTAATATTCTAATATTATTTCATCTCACTAGTGATTGCATCAGCTGACAGAATGCATAGAAGTTTTGTTGATAAAGTAATCTTAGTTGTCTTCTATTACAAATTCCATATCCTATATTTTTCAGATCCAGAAGAATACCGTACTTACCTAGAATCCAGACCACCCAGTATGGAACAAGACGCCATATCTCTAATAACAAGTTTTCTGGATAAAACAGAGTAAGTATAATATATAGCACAGTGGCGTAACGTGGGTGTCTGCCGCCTGGGGTGGAAGACTATTTTTCTCCTTAATTAAGTGTTTCATAGGTATTTTATATTATTATACTATACAATATATTCATTAATTTAAAATAATTTGTCAGCAAGAACTGTCATCACTATTTTGCATTTAGCAAGAACTAACCTGTATTAGATTAGTGTGGTTGAGTTGTCGCCATGCAACTGCCCAAGGATCGGGTGTTGTGGGTTCGATCCCCACAAAGGACAATTCTTTGTGTGATTTACAAATCATTAATTTTAATTCTTAGTCTGGGTATACTTCTTACCTCACGCACTAGACTTGTATCCTAAAAACGGGCTTATCTTTATAAAAAAATTAACTAAAACAACTGAAGATCCATGAATAAAACTTTCTTTGAATTGTCAAAGCATCTTTACTTTCTTGACGTACTTTCTTAAAGGGATGTAATAATTATTTAAACTTAATATATATGTAATAGAAGTATTTCTTGTTGATAATAAGTCATAAATAATCCAATACAGGTATCTGGATTGAAAAAAATACATTTAAGACCAATATCTATAGTTTTTTAATATTAATAATATTGTTTATTATTTTATCTTCATTTTTTCAAATATAATTTTATTCAATTATGATTTTGACTATACAATGAAACTTGGACTATAATATACGACTCTGCAATAAATCTATGATGTTGTAATGAGGATTTTTACCCGTTCCAAGTTTGATTTATTTTTGTTCTTTTTCTCTTTTGTTTGTAGAGTCGTCGCCTTTACTTTTAGTTTCTCCACAAAATGGCGTTTTATCTTTAAGTAACGTCTACCATTGATAGGGATATTTAATAATTTGGGTTTATAATGAGCTAATAAAACCTTAATTAATCAAACCACATTTGATTAAGTAAGTATTCTTAATTTTTTATGATTAAACTATTCAAATAAATATTGTCTCAGCGTTCGCGTTCACGTAGTACACGTATCTGCCGCAAGTGTAGTCCCGCAGCTGGCGGAGGCTCGGAAGAAGCGAGTAGCGAATGGATACTCTGGATGGAGGGGTGGCGTCACCGCTGAGACTTGCCATCACTATCTTACTCTCAGTGCTGAGCAGGTACCACGAGGCCACAGCGAGTACAAGTGCGCCCCACCTATCAGAGATGAGGGTAATAAGGTACGTTAATAGCAGATGAAACCAGTTTTTCTTTCTTTAACCAACTTTAAAATACAAATGAAATGAAATGAAAATGTCTTTAACAAACATTTTCATTTCATTTCATTTGTAACAAGCTTACTTGCAAGCTTGTTTCAAGCACGTCCAAAAATGGTACACTTTAAGTTACAATTGTGTATAATGGTTGATAGAATATGTCAGGGTATTGTAAGAATCTGCAAGAATCTCCCTAGCTTTAGCCCTCATCTTCTCTAATTTTTACACCGATACGCAACATCAAGACTTCTTTACGTAAAAGCTTAGTATTCGAATTGAGAGCTCCACGCCAGTTTCTTTTTATCTTCCCGAGTTATTTTTTTACACTTCTTTTTCACTGAAGCTTTGGCTTCATTGTTATATTGGCTATACATTTCTACTATCAATCTGATGCAAAATTAAGACAACCCGACTATGCTTTGTTCTTGTACTGTACACACCACTAGGCATCACTTGCTATTTTATAGCCATTTAGGCATTCATTGATTTTTAAGCCTTTCACTAACTAGACTTATGTAAAAACTTACTCCTTATAACAATATGTCTAAGAAAGGGACATGTCTCTATCTCTTTCAAAAACCCTTATTCTCATTTCTCTATGCTCATCACCAGATATTGGTTTGTTTCAAAAGTATGACCTCTGTAGACTTTTGTATCCATTAGAGTATCAGAATCAAATTCATCACACTTTTTTGAAAATTCTAGTTCGTAATTCAATTCGATAAGATTGCAGTTCTGAACTAGACTTATAAAAAACGTATAATTCTAGTTCAGAACTGCAATCTTATCGAATTGGTAGGGTCGTGATGGGCATGTTTCTTGAAAATTACTAAACTCAATTTCGCTTATTTGAATTAAAAATACCAGTTCATATTTTAGTTTCATTCGATTCCAACGGCCTATATTTACCTTCTTCGACAAATCGTACGACAAATGGACTGTTGCTTGGTTTATAACATTAATCGTTTGTATTCATTTTAGGAACAATTATGGCAATACTTGTTAGAAGACAAATTGGACATGGTTGTATCGGATCACTCGCCCTGTACACCAGATTTGAAGTGCAAAAATAATTTGGAAGCTTGGGGTGGTATTTCATCAGTTCAGTTCGGTAATTTTTTATTTTTTTTAAACGCGTTACATTATTCTACTTTTTCTATTTTAGTACTTACATAATGGTTATGCTGAAATAGAATAAAATAACAATTGGTATACTCCCTTTTTTACTGGAAACTGAAATATTACAGTGTTTTCTTAACTAAGAATATTTGTAGATCCTTATGTAATTCCAGAATAAAAAATTATGTTTGTTAAACCGCTTTATTTCAATATGTATGATCGTCTTAATGGGAAGCTGGAAAGCGCAGTGGTTTTTGCATTCGGTTTGTCACATAATGGAGGTTAAGGAATTTCGCAACGACCAGTCACAACACGATAATTCGTTGGTCCCGGCTGCATACTTCTGTAGTCGATAACAACCACAAATATGAACGTTTACCATTTATCATTTCACTTTGTCTATTAATTTTAATTTACTGATCTGATTTCGAATTTATTCAATTCAATAACTCAATAATAATTCAATGGACACGAGGCGCTCTTAAGCCTACTTTGTGGACGGATAAGGAGGATGAGACATAACTCTCGAAGCTGGCTTAATGCGGATTGGAGGTTATTAACGACTACAAATGCTTCAGAGGGAATGTTCAGGTTCCCTTTGAAGCATAGAGTAGTTCGAGATAATATTTCTTTGGTCATCCATCCCGTGACCGATCCTTGCGAAAGTTGCTTAGCAACAACGATCGCGTGTCACGGTACTTATCCATTGCACCACCGATGTACTTAAAATATTGGCACTTTGTATTCATGAGTCGCTAATCGCTTTAGTACTCCATCATCTACAATTTTTGAAATATAAAATGTAAGTAAGACAACGTCATTTCATTCTATCATTGGAGACAGTCTGTATTCTTTGCAGTGAAAGCATTATTAAGCTTAAACTACATCTGGCAGCACGGTATCGTGATTTTCCATCCTTTCCTGTCTCTCAGAACTGCCAAATTGCTAGTATGAGAAAGATAGCGGGTGTGCAATGGCACGCCGCGGAATCCTCAAAGTGATATGCAACACGCTATGTTTCTCGCTCTAGCAATTTGGTAGTTCTGAGAGACAGGAAAGGGTAGAAAATCACGATGCGGTTCTGAGCGACAGAAAACGATAATGTTTTACTATTTTGGCAAATTAAAGTTCTGATTCTGATTCCAATTCATTCAGGACTATCTCTATTCTGGGAAAAGGATAATGTTGTACTTTTTTTACTATTTTGGCAAATTAAAGTTCTAATTCTGATTCCAATTCATTCAGGACTATCTCTTTTCTGGACTAACATAAGCGCTAGGGGTCTTGACTTGAAGAACATCAGCAAGTATTTGTCGTCGGGTCCGGCGCATCTATGCGGTCTTCAGAACAAGAAGGGGGCACTGAAATCTGGCCTTGATGCTGACTTAGTGTTCTTCGATCCTGACGACACGTTCACGGTTACAACGGAAATAATTAGACATAAAAATAAGGTAGATTATGTATATAGATAGAATCTACAACAAGGAAGGTACCACAACATCCAGACACTATACAATATAGGAAAATTCATTTTGTACATGTATTAAACCTATAGGCAGGCCTACCGCATAGGTTATCACAAAAACTGCCATTTGGTTGGTTTTAGTTTCAATAAAAAATCACTTTTGAACACTTTAGTAAATGTTGAGTACATCTGATTCAAATCAATGTATTTATTGAACGTATACATTGTATCTAATAATACAGTATTTATCGTTAAGTACATTTTGATTGAATCCAATGTCAACAAAATCGAAGCCAATGTTGTTACGTGGTAGGGCCCCGGGAATCTGAACCCAGGACATCAAAGATGGCGGGCATCTTAAAAGTCGGAGAGGTAGTTACTATGCTACACACTACAGAAATGTTTTTTCTATATTAATCTATATATCGCCAGTATTAACAAAATAACTAGGTAATAAATTTTCTACCTAGGTATTTCAGTACTTTTTAAACTCATTAAAAATAATGTCATAAAGCCAGTTGCACAAACGTAAATAAAAATTTTCATTAGTTTTAAGCGACATACAGCCAGATGCACAAACGTCCATTAAATTTCCCATTAGTTTAAAGCAACATTACCCATACAAGTTTGACATTCATTAGAGCTTAAAGGCGACATTAAACTTTAATGGACGTTTGTGCAACTGACCGATTAACCATACAAATTTGATATTCATTAGAGCATAAAGGCGTCACTTAACTTTAATGGACGTTTGGTCCTTTTTTGGGTCTTATAATATTAGGTATTGTAGGTACACTTAATTAAAAAAGATTACTTTTTCGGATATATTCTTGAGCAACTCTACGTTACAAGTTATAAATTTACTTTTTATTCCACGCAAGATATCTCATTGGTATATAAAATTAAATTTGTATTACTCTCTATAATGATATTGGTAAAGTGGGGTGGGATTTTTAATTATGTCCGGTTCGTATGAAAAAATTTATACATAATTTTTAATTTCACAGTTGACTCCGTATTTGGATAAGGAGTTGAGGGGAGTAGTGAAAAAGACGTACCTGCGCGGACAGCTGATTTATGATAACGGTGACGTGCTCGGTGAACCTAAGGGAACACTCCTAATAAACGAATTGTGATTTAAAAAAATGTCTATCATTTATTATTTATGATCAGTAGCCTAATTGTGTGACTTTAAAATCTATCACAAACCATATCAAAGGTTTAGTTAAATCCGTCAAAAGATTGCAGTTGGTATGCAACTCTTTTGTTTGACTTTTGCAAAAGCTTTCAAGTAGTTATTGCTTTGGTTAGACAATAAAATTAACGATATTCATTTAACATCTTTCCGCTGCGATCACATGTCTAATAGTTGTAGCTTGTAGTTCGTGAATATCTTTTAAATGTCAAATTGGTAAGGATTGCGATATATTTTATAATTAGACAATTAGGTCCCAGATTTGTTATACTGTATAGCGAGTAGCTTTTCCGGCGATAACGTTCGGGTTATTATATTCGGGATATTATATTTTATTATAATATTCGAGGGCATATCCTGAGTTTTTAGTAAGCGGGCCCCCGCCCATTGACCTGCTCAGTGGCATCTCTTGATGGGTGATCATGCCTTCCGCAGCACGAAAAACTCGAGATAATATTTTTTTGGTTACTTATCCTATGACGGGCCTTTGCAAAGGTTCCTTGACTTCCACATCGTAGACCGAACGTGCTAACCGCTGCGCCATCTATCTTCTCTTCTCATTAAAAACGAAAGATGTGAGAGAGAGAGTCATTAAAAATAATGCCCATGTAAACCATTTGGAAAAAGTTGATGCGGGCATTAAATGCCGGACGACATAATGACAACATAAAGACATAAGAAAGAATAGTCCCCTGATTTATTACTTATTTTAATTTATTTTAGTACCTACTAACCACATATCTAACGTTCAATCTTGTGATCTCAAAGTACAATCTGTCTTAGTCTTGTTTAAATAGAAAGCTCGAAGGTTTGTAACTTGGGACTGTATACCAAACACGGCAAATCAATACATACACAATCCCACTTATATAATAAATGTGAAAGTTTGTGAGGATGTATGTATAATTGTCACTATCTCACGCAAAAAACTACTGAACGAATTTTGATGAAATTTGGTATACGGATAATTTAAACCTGAATTAAGATTTAGGCTACTTTCTGTCCTACCAAACACCTCTGTAGGGACCACGCGGGCGAGGCCGTTCGCGAAAAGCTAGTATAGAATAAAGAAGCGAGGACATGTGAGAAGTGTTTACAAAATAAAAACAAAGGAAAATTATCTTAAAACTATCATTGTTATGAGCGTAGCTTATCATCCAAGAACAACAATTGTAAAGTTGTAGTGAGGTTATTCCATGTCAAATCGCATTTTATTCTTATTACCTGTCATAACGTGAAAAACAATGAAAACTATTTTTCAATGCAGTTGCTCATAAAGCGCTATTTTTTTTTATTCCATTGTAAACACCGAAAGTGAGTCTTTAAACACGTGTTAAATAATAATGTACTGAAATCCTTTACTGCACACGTGCTTAAAGTATTTTTTAATTTTTTTTGGCCGAGCACCAAAGAAATTAAAAAAAAAATTGATGAAAATATGTCAAACTTTAGAGGCAAAAGTATTTCAAGGAGCCTAGAACGAATATTTTCAAATAAAAATGTATGACACGAAAACATGTTCAAATATCATGTTTAATTTTAACAAATAATTTTAACCTTTAATACATACTTAGTTTTATTAACCTATATATTTATTTTATTTCCTCGCAAAAAGCATTGAAAAATGTTGTAAGAAACTTGAGCGTAAAATTTGGCCCTTATTCGTAAAACCTTACTTTCCGCACTCGTATCTTAAATAACTATTCCAGTTAAAATGTTTTCCGACTGTATATTTCCATGTTATTATCCATAACAACATTGTTGTTGCCGTGTAATTGTTTGTCAGATAAGATATTTTTTATTCTAACCGTACATAGCAAAACTAAAGCTATTATTACATAAAGTTTTTGTCGCGTGGTGTGGTGGATAGGTACGACTTTTCATGTATCTCTCAACACGCGTGACGTTGCTAACTAATTAAATGAAAACGATCGACGCGAGATGGGACAAATATGTAACTACTTTAGTCTGTGTTAACCTTTACATCTTTTTAGTTCTCAAGTAAGAATAATAATAATAATACTTTATTGTCACACCATTTTTACAGTTACAGTAAAAGTTTTTAATATGAAATTTACAAATAAAATATAACATGAAGATGTAGCAATTGACGGTCCTATCGCTAACAGCGATTTGTATCAGATAACCTTTGGATGGAGAAGAATGAATAGCAGTTATGAAAAACGGAGGTGTAGAGTAAGAGTACGTAAATTCAAGATAAATAAGCAACATTTAGTAAAGATGCATTAATACTTATAAGATACATAAATATAGAAAATATATACATAAATACAAATGATACATACATAAGATAATGCTAATAATATATTTTAGTGAAACGAGGAAGGCTTTTAGCAACTTAAAATTACAAAGAGAAATAATGATTTTTTGGCAGTTCTTTGAAGATTGTGATATATTGTGCCTCTCTTATGGAAGCCGGAAAAGCATTCCAAAGGCAAACAGCTTGGACGGTAAAGGAGCCATTATAAAAGGTAATGTAATGGAGAGGAGTTTCAAGTTTCAGGTTTTCCGATGATCTCAAAGAATGTGTAGTGGAACAGTATAGAGGAAACGGGGATTAAACAGAATATTATAGAGAAGAGATAACATTTGAGCATTCCGGCGAAGTCATATTTACATAATCCAAATATAAGATCAAGATAACAGGTATCAGCGTAGTCACGTAAGGGAAGCAACAGAGATTGTGCTAGAGCAATTTTAGTGGTAGTCGGCAAAAAATTAAATTACGTAGCCTCCTTAATGATGCAGCAGAAGCATACAGCTTTCGACTAACAGCTTGCAATTGTGGTCCCCAGTTCAGACTCTGATCTATGATTATACCCAAGTTTTTAACAGTTTTACTAAAAGGTATGTCAGTACCATCGAAATTAAATTTTGGTAGGAGGTGCCACTCAAGTTTAGCGATCAGCCTAGAACTACCCACTATGATCGTGTTAGTTTTTGTTGAATTTACTTTAAGTCCAAAAGACTTACTCTATGCTGCTATACGATCTAAATCAATATTAGTGGTATGCACTGCCTCACTTAGCCGTGAAGGGGGGCCTTGACTACAGATTTGTAGGTCGTCTGCATAAAGGTGGCAGGAAGAAGAAATGTCTTTCATAAAAATTGCGAAAAGAAGAGGAGATAGAACGCCACCTTGTGGGACTCCTGCAGTCGTGTCGCACCAACAGGAAAACTTCTCGTCAATACGTACTCGTTGCCGTCGTCCATACAGATGTAAACCACTCAGTTGCGGATGGAGATATGTTAATAGAGCGAAGGAGAGTAGGATGTCAAAATTTACAGTATCAAACGCACAACTGAAGTCTAACAAAGTTAGTACAGATATAAGACCATATTCCATCCCAAATCGGATATCAATGCAGTTGTGATACTGTGGCCCACACGAAATCCAGATTTAAAAGGGTTTAAGAGTTCATCACGAATATGATTTGTTTATTGAGTTTTGAAAACTAATTTACTTATAAACATGAAAGAAAACCGGAAGGATTGTTATCGAGAAATCAAGAACGTACCGTAGCGACATCTAGTTTGATTTCGGGAACTAATATTTTTTTAAATACTTCCTCATTCAGAATCCATTGCAGAAATTTAACATATAGTGATAACCTGACGTGTAGACAACGCAGCGCGCGAGCATAGTGTCGTCACAGTAGATAAATGTATTATGTACTATGGTGTCGTGTTTTCGTTTACAGTAAAAATGTAGATGTATAAATGTCACGACTATACAATGAAAACATGAAAAATCATTTTTGTTCAAAGTATTGAAATTATATGACAACTGAAATCTATTATATGTGAGATATACGTGCACAACATCACATTTGTCTTTAGTTAACATCTCTACATATATTATTTCGACATCTGCCAGAGAAACAAAAATGCTGTTTCGATGATAAATTGCTTTTATACTTTGTTATGCAAAAATGTAGTAAGTCTCCTATCTTTGTCACGTTTTCTTGTAAAGGTATTAAAATTGAGTCAAGTGGCCATGTACATAATTATAATAGATGTGAGGGAATTATCTGTATGTCCACAAACGAAATATCGAAAAAATATTAATATTCTTATAATTTTTATACTGACAGAGAAAGTGTCAGATCCAACCTCCGTTGAATCATAAATTATCCATAACCACGTCATTAGCTTTTCGAATGTAGAGAAAATTTCCTATTAAGAGAAACACAGGCCTTCTGATATTACAAAACTACTTTTGCTCTTACCTTTGAAAAAAATCTTTTTTTTATCGAGTAGGTATTATTGTTGTGATTCAGAATCAAAATGATATATTAAAACTTCAGAAAAACAATTATGGAAGAGCTCTCATTATGTTAAACCGATTAGTAAAGAAAAATAAAAATTATGTATTTAAAAATGTTTTATAAATAGAAAACAATAACTTCACGTATTTAAATTTCAAGTCACACTTCATACTAAACAACAATTTTGTGAGGCTTCCATTGATGGATTTTGTTGGTTATTGAATCGAGAAACAATAGCGTATGTATTGTAGTTTTAAATTCTGAAGATTTTCTCATACCTACAAATTGCTGATATATTATATTGAATACATTTTTGTATTTGTTTAGATTTTTGTAGTATGTTCAATGAGGAAGCGACTCTAGCAAAAGTTGATTTTTGCAGGAAACAAATGGACCAAAGATAGTCATTCCCGTTCGGAAAAACGGAAACGGAAATTTGCAAAGTTCGAAACTTAGATATCAATACAAATACAAATATTTCAAATAGAATACGAGTTGTTTATTGAGTTTTGATAACTAATTTATTTTTAGACATGGAGAAATCAAGAAAGTAATTTAATTTCGGGAACTAATGTTTTTTTTTAAATACTTCCTCATTGTACAGTCAAAGGCACATCATTCAAGTCAAAAATTTCAAATTAAAAATTTATGTAATAATGGTGGAGTTCAAAATCAACTGAGATAGTTTGACATATTGCGATAACCAGACGTGCTACTCTGTGATCTATTCTTTCATTTTCTTGTGACATACCTAGTTATTGGTTAACGACTATATTTTAAGTAACATAAAAGTTATATGTTTGTTTTAAGAAGAACCCTTTTTCGCAAAAGTTATAACCACCTAGGGTTTAGCACAAATATTAAAATATAAAAACTAGACTTTACCTGTAAATTAGCGGGAATTTTTCCCAGGGGACAGGTAAAAAATATTTTCCGTATTTTTTCAAATTATTGGGTTAGTTGTTTCGGCCCTGATTGACGGTGAGGAATGAAGGATGGTAAATTTTTTTTTCTGTTTACAGTAGGTACGGAGAAAACAAGTTGTGACAGAGGACTGACAATTAATTAATAAATGAACTCTTTATCGTACATCACAAAGAAAAACATGAATACAAGCAAATATTTACAGTACAATCGGCGGTCTTATCGCTAAATAGAAAGTTCTTTCAACCGTACCTTAGACGGGATTGATTGAAATAATTGATGGGTAGCATATGATGTATCACTAAGTAAGTAAGTAAGTATTATTACAAAGAGCAAAATAATATATATGTTACCTATATAGTATACTCAATACATATATACACATCTACATATAAGATAACATCTTGGATTATGACAATCAACGGAACCCAAATATACATATTCTACTAAAAGACACAAAAGATTGTATTGTTCAATTGTCTATTTTATTTAGTGATCAAATATTGAAGGCCGTTGGGTGATTATTATAGCATTATGCAAGTTGGTAATATTTTTTGCTTAAGCACTATGAAGTTGTTTTTCAAGGCTGATTGTCTGAAATAGAGTTTCGGAAAAAAATATTACCTTAGATATAACTAATCCTAGATTATGATAATAATATAAACATCTAAAATTTGTTTCTAAAGATTAAGCATGTATAATTTACCTGGGAGTGACTATTCCTGGGGCCTAACTGTGGGGGAGAGTTCCACAACGGGACCCTGGGCCATCACGTCAGGTGACAGGGATAGTACAATACCTAGTTACTTGTTTATTCTTTCACGTATGGATACCTATTTATTCCGAATCTATTACAAATCCATATTTCATTTATCACATTAGCTAATTTGAAAAGTGAATTGAATTACCTAACGCATTTTCGCTGGTTAAAAAAAGTACATTTTGAGCCTTCTCATTTAATAATGAAAATGTATGTACCTACGTAACGTTGCGCACATTGTTAGGTTGCCTGGCAGAAATTGCTATCAATCGATAAGGCCGACTATTGTACTACGTTTGTGTAAGATTTTTGTGTATTTGTCTCTTTTGTGCAATAAAATATAGTTATTATTATTATTTCATTTAATTTCATAGTAACAAATGTAACAACAGAGTTTTCAATTGGTATAAAGATTAGATATAAAAGATTATTGCCCTGCGTTATCGTATAAAATCAATGACTTTTATGTTGTCACGTGAATTGAGAAGAAGAAAAAAAGAAAATGTCTATATTTATCAATTTCCGTATGATTGCGACAATAAGGATAGTGATCACGTATTATAGTCGAAAAGGATTTTTAATCTGTGGGATCTACATGTTGAAAACATCTAAATGTTTAAAACCTCATTTCACAACCTAGACTGAGTTCTACTAGCTATTATCCCGCGTAAATTATATCCCATATCACCCACGTAAGATGTAGATAAAATAATTTAAAACTGATCCAATAGTTTCGGACTACTTTTCAAATTTATTTATTTATTTATTGAGAAAACCAACAGCGTTACATAAATAATATTTTACATAAAAAACTTAACTATAAGTATGGCCAATAATAGGTTTCCCTTATCATTACACTATGATACATCGATAGTTAATATATTCATTTCATAAATTTTGCATTTACATATTTATATTGATAATAGTGAAGCTAAGGTCTAATGATGTCATTGGGTCTGGAGTTCTTATTGCAGGATACCAATTCTTTTTCCTTATTTAAGAGTATTCTAGAGAGTTTTATCAGGAATTTCGACCACACTTTCTTTTTCGGGGTAGGTCTTAGTGGTTCGAAGCATAAGGCGAATTTCACCTGCGTCGTTAACAATATGGGGTAGAGCAGTAGCCCGGGTCGTGAAATGACTTCGAATTTCATCTGAGGCATCTGAGTGTTGATTGTTTTAAGGGTTAAATACAAGATATATAACATAATAATATAAATTGTAAATGAAAATTTATTAAATACAATATTTAAAACAAATTTTCTTATTAATCGAATGTGAATAAAATTAATTAAGATATATATTATTACGACTATGCAAAAGCCGTTATCGTTTGTTTAACAAAAACATAGTTTTTTTCCATTTTCTATTTAATTCTACAAGCCTACAACTACATGATAAACGATGGGCTTACAATGGGCTACAAAAGTATTTAATACAAAAAAAACAAACAACAATTACGTCTGGCTAATATCTGTCTAGTTTGTTATCTATTATCTAGAAGTTTGTGTTCCTTCACAACAGATAATCAAATGAAACAAATACAACACAATTATATATATAGCTAAATGTTACAACTACATATACTCAGCAGGAGCCTTTCAGTGACGATATTTAATTAGAAGTATAGAAGGCTCATCGGTAAATCATTACGTTCAATGTTAATGCGTCGCCATTGGCAACGAATAATTATTCAAATAGATGAAGTGATTCGCGAAGACCAATACACTCGGCTGATAAAAATCACTATAGTATTTCACGGCCCGCCGTTTACTTCTAACGTGAAATATGGCGTTAATATTTGTATTAGGATTGTTGACGATATTTTGTAAATAATTTTTCATTGTTTTACTTTTGGTTAATTTGTTTTCTTTTTTACAATTGTAATAATTTTTAAAATATTATCTTCAGCTAGTGTCAACTGTAGAATTATTGAGTATGTACAACAGCCTTTGGGCAAACAGTTGTTCCTGAGTAGAAGAATAGTAACAGATTCCAGTGAATTTGACGGAGGGGTGTTAGTTAATGAGAACGGGATAATAGAAGCAGTTCTGGAAAGGGATGTGGTCAACTCGTTACTAACTCAGAATCTTGACGATTTAAAGGTAAGTGATTAATTAAAAATATTTGTATATATTTTTTATTAGATAGTATTTCTTGGTTTATTAAAAAGTATTGTGGACTGTGGGTGGTTTAAATGTCGATGTATACCGCCTGAAAACGTGAGCTTATTAGTTGAAATATTTACCTTTTGACGTTTCCAGAAAGGAATTCAATAATTTAGTCAATTTATTAGTTTAAACATTTTGCACCCTAAATAAGGCCCCAAAAATTCAACTTCGGAGTACTTACAGACAGCAGAACGAAAATTTGACTTTTTATGAAAATCCCTTATACTTAGAAAATTTAACGTGAAACTTACAGTGAAATTTATCATTGATTACACTATTTGTAAACAATCACCTTCGTAGAGAAAGTTTTAGATAGTTCTTTTCGAAATTAGTATAGATTAACTATGATAGGTATTTTTTTTTAAATATCACGCTCTGTTTAGTTATTTTGGTGTTTACTAAAAAGTGATTTCGTATTATCCTAATGCAAAATGCAATTTTATGATCAATTTGAAAACCAATTAATTACCAATATAACTTTAACGGTGTTCTAATCAAAAGAGTAAACGAGGTGCGTGATTTGGGTGTAATGTTGGTTTTAAAGTTGACTATGGCAAGTCACATAGATAATATTATTTAAATAAATCTTATAGAAACCTCGGATTTGTTATGTGTACATGTCAATCTTCTAAAACATCACAAGTTATAAAATTGTCTATAGTGCTTACGTTAGAATTATTTTGGATTTTGCTTTGGCCAGATTTGGTCACCGCATTATGCAATACATATAAATAGATTGGAATCCATTGAAATGGAATTTTAACAAGATTAAATTACAAATTTAATAAAACATCAAAAAAAAATATATACACTGATAATCGTCGCTTATATTCTTTGCTCACCTTACAAGACAGACGTTATATGTTGGACATGGGGCTGCTTTTTGATATATTGAGAGGCCGCTTTGATAGTCTGGAACTACTAGCTCTTATAACATTTAATACATCCAAATATCGTATAAGGGATACACCGATGTTTTATGTCCCTAGACACCCCACATCGTACGACAACAATGCGGTTGTTACTGGACTCATGCGAACGTTTAATCGAAGTTTAATACCCTTGATCCGTTAATCACTTGTAAGAGAACTTTTATGACCAACTTAAGAAATAAAACAATCAAATTGATTTGAAAAAAAAAAATAACATTAAAAAAGTAATGGTATATGTATCATGAAACTCTTACTAAAATGAATTAATGGGAGTACAATAAGTGCCTATTAAAATATGTATGATTGTATGACGTGTATTATTATATATGTATATATTACCTGTGATGTAACAATTAATATGATATGTATATTTTATGTATTTATGTATTTATTCATATCACTAAGTGAAAAGTTGGCAGACAAGGTCGAGCTTGGCGGCCGGCAGCGTCGGCAAACCACTACTTACCATACGCACTGTCGAGTGTTGATTATGGTTGATGCGTTCGGCCACTGACATTTCTCAATATTGTTTTACCCTCAACTGAAGCTGATTATTTTGTTATTTTATGTGGATAACTAATATTGACCTTCTAAGCTAATGCTAAAATTAAGTATTGAATTGTAATTTGAAGTTGTTGTTGTCCCAAATAAATAAAAATTAAAATAAAATTATTAGGTTAAACAAAACTTAAGTTGAGGGTAGTTCAAAATCAAGTCCAGAAACTTGAAATTATGCTATCAATTGTATTGTTGGCTAAATAATGTAGTTTGGCTAAATAATATATTTAGATTTTTTATATACTTTTTAAAAGATTTTTATCGTTATATTTGATAAATTTTGCATCATAATTCATGCCGTACATTATAATATTGATATTTATTTAATAGAAATACAGGTGGTCCAGTCAGCGACGTCAAATTTTTTTTTTATTGCTCCCACCTAGCGGTACCCGAAAACACCCCATGTATGTTATTGTTTTGTAGTTTTAGAAATATGATTTTTTAATGATTTCAAAGAGAATTTCGATAGTATTTAATAAAAAATAAAAATAAAAACTTTATGCTTTTTTATGTTTTTTTTTTCTAAAACATAATCTTGATAAACGGCTCTTCCACATGCATAACAGTTAACCTCCTAGCATTGCTGCATGTTGCAATAATTATGATCAAAAGTGAATAAATTACATTTCAGCGAGCTAGAGTTAAATTTTCAGCTTCAAATTAAAAATGGTTAAGGTAAGTTTCATACCTTCTAATCAATTTTAAAAACTTTACTAGGCTCTAAACTTTCTGAACAGTACAAAAAGTCATAGGTTATGGGGCTATTAAATCCTGTAATTGGCCGTCAAATGTAGCAGGGTTAAAATTTCACCACGTCGCTGTCTTGACCACCCTGTATAGGTAAAATTCAAACACCGATACCCAGTAACAAAATGATTACCCAGAGAAAAAACATCGGTCATAGTTCCGGTCATGGGATATCCCATGACCGATGATGTATTTTATTCAAATACCTTTCTTTAAAATAGATTTTTATCGATTTATTCTATTTTATAATCAAGTAGACTTTAATAAGATCGCCAGCATAGTTGGCAATCTGTACAATGTTGACTTAAACTAGTTAGATGAATATGTTTGATGAATTGTGTATAGATTATCGATGGAGGAAACTTAGCTTTGATGGCGGGTGTGGTCGACAGCCACGTACACGTCAATGAACCGGGCAGGAATCCCTGGGAAGGCTACGTTACTGCCACGCAGGCTGCCGCGGCCGGCGGTGTAACCACTATTATCGATATGCCTTTGTAAGTATGTAGAATTTGCTTTTTCGATGAAAATATACCATGTATATACCATGGTATAAATTGGTCAGTAATTTAGACATGGAAACGTAACAGAGTGACACAAAGACAGAGCTACTTTCGCATTCATAATATTAAGTACCTATGGATTTTGCTTGAGTCCAAGTCCGAGTCATTGATGTAGATAGATAGAAACTGGCCGAAAATTATATTTAGTTACATAATATTTTTTATGTAAGTTAATTATCCTTATCTTATTTCAAACAATGCTTCTGAGGTAGTTCATTGACGCCAAGATTTCTTTTCCAAAGCCCAAAGTAAAAGTGACATACACTGACTTTGTTGTTCTAGCTAGAACTTTTATGTGTAATTTAATTTATTTATTTCATCTAAAGATTTTGAGATATTTGCGAGGATTAATGGGGTAAATGCCGTATCATCCTCGGATATTGTAGTTTCAGAGATCTGTATATGAAGATGGAATACGAATTGGTCTAAAGACAGTAGTATTCCAGTGTTAATGTGGTTAATGCTAGAAATGCTTCTGCCTAACTAAGTAACTTACTAACTAACTCCTAACTAAGTAAAAATGCATACATTATTTTTTTTTTTAACACAAGCCACGTCAAGTTTTCTATGTTATATTCTATTTGCAGAAATCTCCTCACAGTCATGAGACATGCTATATAACTAACATGGTTTTGAAAGATATTATATTAGTCATTAAAAAACAAAATTGCTTACACAGAAATTCTATACCACCAACCACAACCCTGAAAAACTTAAAAACAAAGGCTGCTGCTGCAAAAGAGGAAGTATTTGTTGATGTTGGATTTTGGGGTGGAGTCGTTCCCGGCAATCAAGTAAGCATAGTTGATATTCCGTCTCGTAAGTAAAGTAAACCAAAAAACTTTAAAAGTAAATATTAATACTAATTTTAAATACGGTTAATACATTAATTCAAGAATCTTTTATTAAAGTCAGGCGATAAATATTAACTTACGTGCTATAATATGATATATTAAGATAAAATGTCGCTCACCATACATTCCAATGGAAACACAATTCAAACAGACACGGCTAAAATAATATCTTATTTTCATATTAAGTATCTTAAGGGAAATATATATTTCGTACATTGAGATTGTATCTTAAAATACGAAATATTATAACATTTATATGATCGTAATCTTAACCGTGTGTAATGCCTTAAAATGTAAAAATAGTTATATCTTAAGATGAAATATAGTATTTTAACTGTCTGTTATACGCTTAAAAGTATGGACATTAGAGGTACAGTGAAAAGTATTTTATTAGTTTTTTACTAAGCTTTCGGATGGATTTAGAAACGATCTCGGCAAGATCTTAGTCCCATCAATCCGCAATGGGTGCCATTGTCAAATGGTCCATTTGACAACTTAGAATTTTGGTTATCTACTTAACAATTTATTATGTGCAAATCAGCCTGAAATGTGAAATGCGAAATAGCGACTTGTCATTTGTAAATCTCGAACGGGAACGGTTTATAAGTTTTTGTTTATGTTATTCGATAGATGATAATTTAATCTCACAGATTCGTTGATAGTGCATGTTTAATCTAAATCTAAAGTACCTAATCTTGTCAAGCGTAATATTGACAGATATATTTGTCTAAAAAATATGTACTTGAATAAAAATCTGTAACAGTTACCAAGCTGGAATGGTATTAAAATACTGGACAATTAAAAAGTGCTTTCATATTAATAAGATAATATTAATTTAATTTCGTTATCTTAAAGGTAAATAATTGCATTCAGATAATGTAGAAGCCAAAAATTACACGCTGCCTGTAGATATTATCGACTATTATATGTATCTAATCAAACTGCAGAGATAGACTAACGTATAGCCCCAGCCTGGGCAGCCTTCGGAGTAAACAAAAAGATTTTGGGTGGAGAGTTGCCGATAAAATTTAAGGCAAAAGTTTTCGAACAGTGCACACTGCCTGTCTTTACCTCTGGCGCCGAAACTACGACTTTAACTAAAAAGTCGACTTAGAAATTCCGAGTTGTACAGAGAGCGATGGAAAGAGCAATGCCCGTTATTATTATGGATGACCACAAAAAAACGAATGGATCAAAATGAAGACAGGATTTCCAAAAGTAGATGGAAACGGGTGGGACATGTGGCACTCTTGGACAATAGTAACTGCTCCAAACGACTTCTGGAATAAACACCACATGCTAACAACAGATCACGCGGATGTCCTCCACGAGACATCTCCAAGAGATGGGTGGATGATTTCAGACGACACACGGGTCATGATTGGATGATGAAAGAATAGGATCGCCTTGCATGGAGGAGGTCTAAGTTCAGGATTGAACACAGAATGGCTGAATATGATGAAGTACGTTCAGCCGTGATTTGAACGTAATGAGACATATGAAGTTGATATATTAAGATAGCTACTGAATGAAGTCGAACGAAGAACTGCATGCAATAAGAATGAATACTAATTTTAATACTGTCTTTTTATCAGGTAGATTATTGAAAAATACTAGATAGGAACGTTCTTTTTTACGTAATCAATAAATTACAGCGATACATTGAGTTGAAATGTCACATGCCTTTATACATTTTCTACATAGCTCTGACGTAACAAGCCCCTCTCCTCAACTTCAATAACTATTATCTAAGCCATTTCTTGTTAAATTGACCAAAAAAGTACGTATAATATTTTTCTATTATCTGACTGATATAATTTCTTTTGAATTTCTTTTTTTTTTATCCAAGAAGCGTCGTCCCTGTTAAATAAGTATGCAGTTGTTTTTGCTATGTAATCTTATGGTAATTGTGTAGTTGTAAACTTGAATATTTTTTACAGGAAGAACTTCTCGATCTTATTAAGGCTGGAGTCGTTGGATTCAAATGTTTTTTAACAGACAGCGGTATTTCCGAATTCCCTATGGTCACAAGGAACGATTTGGCCGAAGCTTTCGCGGTGTTGAATGGAAGCGGGACGGTTTTAGCGGTAAATAAATGATATTCAAATTCTATAATGGATGGACAACAAAACGGGTCTAGATTTACATAGTTAATTAAATTCAAAAAACTTATAACCACTTTTTATGAACAAGTAAATGTCAATAGTCCTCAAAAAATAAAGATATCGTTGTTTTTATATTTTAAGACGTCTCAGACATTCTGTAGATTCGATAATAAATATTTTAAAACGAAGTTCCATTAATAATTTTCTTTCATTAGCATTTGTGATGTTAACCCATACAGATTAAGATTCAAAGTCTGAATATATAAGCCTGTTTCTCAAGTAATTAAATAACCACAGTGTATAACAATTAAATAAGTACAACCATAGATATAATCCCTATATAAACTATTTTTTTTAACTCATAATTGGCTTTCTAATATAAATGTATATAGTATAGAATTATAAAGTCCATCACCATGTATTATCAGAAATAAAAGCATTTTATAATGTTTATACCTACCTAATATTTATATTTTATTAATATAATCATATTTTTAGTGTTCGAATATGTTTTATTAAATATTTGGATATGTATTCATGTATTGCCTTCAGGAGAAATATTCCTTTGAGATAATGGTCGTATAGATTTTAACTTACACTTAATGATATATTTTTATTCAGTTTCATGCAGAGTTGTCAGAGAACAATCAAGGTGCTGAATGTTCCGGATCAGATTGTCCCGGTTAGTATTTAGAGATTTGTTAGTATAATCTTACCTACATGCATGTACTGAGAGTTTCTTTCGATTAATACTTTAAAAGAATAGCTTTCTGTCTGTGGTTTAGTCCGCGGGGAATTTGGTTTATTCGCGATAAAATCTATTCTTTGTGCTATCCCAAGGTCCACTCTGTTTGTGTTCTAAATTTCATTAAGGGTAGTTTAAACTTGAAAAGGTAACATACCTACGACTGAGTTACAGTTAGCATTTATATTATTTGTATGAACATAAGTGACAGTACTAAATGGGATAAATATATTGATGGTTTTAACTTTGTGAGCTAGTTAAATTACAATAGTTCCACAATGTCTCGACATAAATCATACTATAACATTGTAGAAATAGATTTTCAGCTCTACTTAGCATAAGAAGCGGTGAATAATGTAATACCTAGAAAAGTACTAAGTACCAAACCGTGTTATTGTTGTTTCTCTATAACTAGTTGTTTTCACGCGTCTTTACCTGCATAAATTGTAGTCTATATCATCGTCGTACGATGTTGTTTTCCGTAGGTCAGAAATTTTTAAAAATAGATAATGCTGCATACTTATTTTTGTATAGAAATAACAAAACTGCCGTTGAAACTTTGTTGTATAAATAAATAGATCCTATAATTTGATAGCCTATGAAAACAAACAATCTTTCCTGTTTAAGTTTCCAACAAGCTATTATATATATACAAGGAAACAACGGTCATTATTCTGTCTTTCTTAAAATAGGCTCTCGCTGATGTACGCTTACTTACGTTATTTATAGTTCTTATTGCCCTTTATTGTTGTTTGAGCACATTCTGTATTTCAGCAGCATTTCCCCATACTGTGATTGCATATCTTATAATTGAGTGAATATATGCATAATATACTGTAATGAGTGTGCGTTTGTCTACTAATGGCTTCAGTTTCATTAAAGCATAATTTGCACTGGCTATTCTTTTGCAAATATCTGTAATATGGTTAGAATGACAGATTGTATAGTCTACTGTATAGCCTAGAAATTCTATCTAAAATTGACCAAAGTAACACAAAAATAATACGAAATAATTCTTTATTTAAGATTATCGATCTAATTTAAGTCACTACAGTTGCTAAAAGTACCTATTCTATTAAAGGAAAACGAGATATAGTTGAAAAAAAAGCAATAAGGTAAATTGATACGGCAATGAATGAAGGTTGAATACAATATCTACAAGTTGTGATTACAGATCCAATATTATACAGTACCTACCTTGCCTCTCGTCCTGATGAAATGGAAATAAGAGCAGTTTCTTTGGTGGCATCATTTCTACCGCAAACCGAGTAAGTAAGAGCTTATGGATTTTCATTAAAAAGTTAGTTTCTATAGTCATTGGATATACAATTTGGAAAATGATAAATACATCCATGTTAAGCACATTAACGTAAATATTAGATTGTATGAAACGGGTATTAACGCGATAGATTGATAGTTAGATTTTCCACCTACCTATATTTCCCGACGTTTCGACCTGGTTACACCAGCCGTAGTCACGGTAAGGAGCCCTGTTTATAAAAGTTACTGGTTTCCTAAGATAACATCATTGTTGTTTAAATTTTCAAAGTTATTGGATTAATATATCTCGCAAGATTGTAAACTAAGTAAAAAAAAAAAAAGATTTTTCAACACTTTACAATCTCGCGATAGGATAGTTTACTGTGACATCTCCATCCCATTTTCCTGGAGCGAAAAAGGTAGAGAAAATTATAGGCGTAATCGCGTAAGAAATTAAATTATTTTACTTAGATAAGGTACGTATTGTTCGAAATTAAAGCGAAAAACTTAATTTAAATAAATCTAGTTAAATAATTATGATTCAAAAAGTTACAAAGTGACCATATTACTAATATTAGTAATCTTTACTATACAAAAGGAAATCAATGTTTAGTAGTATACTTAAGTACGAAAAAATATATCGAAGAAATTGTAATTTGCGCAATTGTATTATAAAAATAAAATTCAAAATTTTCACGTTATTAATTTTAGCGTACATGTACATATAGTACATGTATCAGCAGAGGGCGTCGTACCTATTCTAGAACAAGCAAGGGATGAAAGAATTAAGGCTGGCTACAAAGGGTGGCGCGGAGGAGTTACTGCAGAAACTTGTCACCATTATCTGACGCTTAGTTCTGAGATGATCCCGCCTGGACATTCAGAGTACAAATGCTCACCACCGATAAGAAACATTACAAATAAGGTATGAATTACTTACATAGGTACCTGTGTACGGTATTCTTTCTGTTATATTTGTCTTGTCATGGTTCAAATATTAACATCTCACTTGCCTTGTCTTGCTTGAACGAGCAGAGTCATTTCTACTAAATTTGTAGTAACTATTTTATTTTTATTTACCATCATCATTCAGCTAATTTACACAAAACTCGATGAATGCAGGAAGGTTTATACGTCTAAATAAACTAGGTTAAATTATATTTTGTTTATATCTACCTATTAAATTCAATAAATTTAAGTTATACTCCACCCACAGTTGCCTTAATGTTGACTTTAAAATTTTATAAAAATTCCAAATGACAAGGTACTTCTTACAAGATCAAAATATCTAATGTTATTCTTATGATCACCGAGTTTTTGGATACAGGAATAGTTTGGTAGGTAGGTACTGATATCTATCTGATTTTCAGCTTAAACTGTGGGAATACATCAATGATAAGCGATTGGATCTTGTAACGTCCGATCATTCTCCTAGTGTAGCAGAACTAAAGGGACCCAACTTTATGACAGCTTGGGGTGGTATATCGTCAATGCAGTTTGGTAATTAAATTTTATTTACAACAAAATCGAACAATATCAAGATATAATTTGTACTTACACAAACCTATGAATTGTTACCAACGTTACGAATGGGTTGCATCGGTCATTATAGTCATAAGGGTTGTTTTTATATATACACTTGATGTTCGGTACCCAGCCATTTTCAGAGCTGGGTAGTTGGAGAGCCCTAATTTGAGGCTAAAGGTGCATTTCCCTTGCGTTAAAATGTGCTTGCAATGCGGTGTGTGAACTCGCAAAACATCACGATGCGATGTCATATTACAGTTTGCGATGTTAGTTTGCAGATTAGAATATTTCTGTAATTCATTTTGAACTTTATCCTCGACGTAATAATGTTATAAGTAAAGCGAAGACATTTGCTGTTGCCTGCACAAACCTCTTCGCAGTATACATGATGCCATATTTTAATACAGGAACGAATTATTTGCTTTAAGAACTAATTTATATAGAGATTACTTAAGAAAATAAGCACTCAAATATTTTATATAATACAACCATAAACAGATGAGTTATGTTTGCCGTGTAATCTGCTAACAATAAACACGACTTCGTCAAACAAAATAGAATAACGGAAAATAATGACAGACGAGGTGATTTAGGTATTTCCTTACAGAATATTTTGAATAAGTTTATTATTCATATATTTTTAATGAGTTGTCGTTATTTTTGTAGTCATGCTTATATACTTAGACACGCCAATTTATATTGTAAACTACAATGCCTAATTATAATATTTTATTCATTAAAATTTTCAAAAACTGGTTTGAAAGATGTCTCTGAATGAGGCAATTAGTTTTGGTGATCTTAACTAAAAACTGTCTTATGTATGAATTTGAATTGATCACAAATTAATACGAACATTTTGACTGGCATTACTTTTTCTTTCAGGTTTTTTTCTTAGGTGTTTTTTTCTTAGATAATAACATAACAAACCAGTTCATATCTATCCACCACATCCTACAAAATATAGTTACTAATTGCACTTAAAAGTTATTGCTGACTGTCTGATGTTTTCTATTTTTAACGGCTGAATAAACTTTCAGACTTGTCTTTGTTCTGGACGGAAGCTAAAGCCCGTGGCCACAGCTTGAGCATGGCGAGCCATTACCTGTCGGCAGGTCCTGCAAGACTGGCAGGTCTTCAAGACAAAAAGGGCGCTATCCGGCCAGGGCTCGATGCTGATTTTATATTCTTTGATCCTGATGCTTCATTCCTCGTTACGCCTCAAGTTATACGTTACAAAAATAAGGTAAATAATGTTTTAGCTAGTAACTAATAAAATCGGCGACCAGGAAATACACATATTTTTTACGCGCTACAAGCTTTTCAAGTCCATTACTCTTAGAGGTAATTTTGAGTGCTTAAAAAGTTTAGAATTTATTTAATTACGTTTTAATGCGCCCAAATAAAAGCTTGAGTTTAGAAAAACTTTATTTTATTATATTTTTTACTTTTGTTACAATATATTGTTAAAGACGAATCTAAAGAGCTCAAACACGACGTAGATGCGTAATTTCATTACTAAGTTCGTATGACCACCTTCCAGCTCCATCATCACCAGAGCTTGGTCTGGAAAGCATCCAGTACCAAAGTCCTCATAATGACGGATTTAACGAGCCCAAACTCGATGCAGTTGCGTCATTTTATCACTAAGTTCTTACGACGACCTTCCCACTTCATCGTAATATCAGCTTACTGACACCATAATATTACATTGTCATCTGACTTACATGTCTATGCAAAGTTTCATATCTATCGAACATTGGGAAGTGGATCAAATTAGAGTTTTAAGTTAGCCGTGGCAAATAATCATGCAATAGTTATGCCATTTTTGAAAGGCAAGATTTTGATAATTTTTTATACTGTCATAACTAATTAATCATTTATAAATATGCGCACAATGAAATGATATTCTCAGACAAACATACCTAATTCCTTAAGAATCCGGAACATTCATAGTCACACAGTTTCAGTTATAAACGTGTCTATGAATATAAATTTTGTTTACAGATAAGTCCGTATATGTACCGAGTAATGACTGGCAAAGTGATGAGAACGTATCTGAGAGGACAATTGATATATGCAGATGACGAACTTATCGACGGACCTAAGGGGAAGCTGCTTCTCAATGAGGGTTTTAGTTATTAATGAGTAAATTGTGCTAGCTTTATTTGTTTAATAAATTTACTAACTGTTAATTTGTGTCCTTTTTGTGCTCACTTATAGTCCTAATAGTTATGTTGAGATACATAAAAACGTAAATATGCTATAAAATGCATATCATCATTAGGTTTCTTAGCCAAAGTTGTAATTTTTTTCTCTAATTGATTTTAAGCCTTATTTTTTACAATTACGCTGACATTAGCAGAACTTAAATTGGAGCCTTAATTAGTATCTTACGCATATTCTTTCTGTTAACTGACTCTAAAAACGTCATCGGACGAATGAAGACATTTAAATGAGTAGATATAAAATATGGGATGAATTAAAAGGTCTAATAAGAGGAACATTTGTATAATTTAAATTTAGAGACCAACCACCTAGTTTGGTGACCAATAACTCCAAATATGTGTTAAGCCTAAAAGTATATTTACAATTATTTTTTTTTTTGACTAACCACACTTTTACATTCACTCTTATGTACTTACCGACAATTTTTGTAAGTATATTTCATATAAATATAATCATTTCTAAATTGACATAATTTATTTATTGTTATAATTTCACATTTCATGTTACCATTAAACGTATTTGACCTAATGCTTTTAGCATATGCCTAATGCCTTTAAAATATAATGAACATATCCATTAAATTAATTTTATTAACACTTAAATCTTTTGTTTCTTTAGAAACCCAAGATATTATGTGGAGTAAATTAAAAAAATCGACGAATATTAAAAATAGTAATTCGGATCATAAAATAAAAGAACTAAATATAACAGATTATAAGGTAAGTCTTGAATCAAAAAGTAAAGAAGGTCTAACCCGTGGTCGAGACGAGATACAAATCGGTACGAAAGAAAAAATGGACAAAATGACTACTTCAAATATTAATCATGAATTAGCAACGTTGGTTAATACAAGCCATATTGCAGTTAAAACTATATCTAATAAAGAAAATCACCGAAATAACAATGAAGTGGCTCACAATTTTAAGACTTTTGATACAACAAATGAAGCCAAGAATGTTACCAATAACTTCAGTCATTATATCAATAACAATGTAAGAAACAGTAGTGACACAAATAAGACAGACATTAGAAATGTTAAAAGCACAATAAACATAATACCGGATCATAGCGATTCAATTATAACATCTCAAAATTGTAAGGCACTTAACTTGAAAAATGAAATTAATAATGTCACTAAAACGGTCACTAATACGGACGTAAAAAACAATGATATTAATATGACCGAAGTCACTAGTTTTAAAAATATAAGTAATACAGAAACAGTAAGCAACGTTACGTCTTTTAGTTCAGAAAAAAATCGAAATAGAAATTTGACTAATGCATCTGAAAATTCTAAAATATCCGATTTAGAGATTAAAGCTAAGAATGCTAACAATAATTTCACTCATAATGTCAATATCGAAATAAGAAATAGTAGCGGTACGAATGTAACAGGCATTAGTTATTTTAAATATAATACTGATTATCCTGAAACAGAAACTGATGTTCACACCGATCAAGAAAGTAATCTAATGACCAAGAAATCAATGTCACTACAAACAATACGACCAACAGGTACAGAATTCGGAGACAACAAGTATGCTTACATTACCAGCAGCACGTCAAGGATTTCATTGGAAATAACAAAAAATATCCTAATAGGTATTTGTTTTTCAAAAATTATGATGTAGGTAGACAATTTAATGTTAAATCATCTACCAGAATAAGTACGATCTTGCAGCGGCATTGTTTTAAAATACAATTTTTGTTTATTTATTAAGATGATTTAAATTGTATAAATCATCTTACATTGAATCAAATTTAATTAAATTCAATCAATTAATCATCATCAAAAATTGTAAACACAAAACATTAATAAAACTATTAAGATTCCGTAAGTAAACATTTGTAAAAATAAAATTGTGCTTTTTGTTGGTTGTGTTACGTGTATTTATAATCAAACGACATGGCACTGCTACAATGATAAAATGTCGTCAAGTCCCGTGGGAGCATCTAGAGGTGATAAATCATTTATAGATGCAGTAAAAGAAGTTACCATATGTTTTCTTTTTCTACTTATTGTTACCTACCAGGTGACGATGACGGTAACGGTAACCCGTTACCGTCATCTTTTATAGCGATATTTAATCCGAGCAGCGGTATAGCGTTATATGGAACAATAGTGATGTCCAGCTTGCTGCACGGGTTAAGCGTAGAGTTCATTGTTAATCCTCAATATTCGCCCAGCAACATTAGTTGAAATTCGATCATAACATTCGTTCTTCATTCTAGATAGAAAATTTGTAAGAGAATGTTGCTTAATTTATTAAAAAGACTACTTCTTTGTGAGAAGATGGCGCAATGGTTAATAGTAGTTAAGCAACTTTCGCAAGGGCAGTTTAGAGGGTGGGTGACTAAAAATTTATTATCACGCGCTTTTTCGTGAAGGCACTTTAAGCTGTTGGTTCCGGGTGCATCTGCAGTCGTTAATACTAACCGACCCGCACTGGACTCGTGTGGTGGATCTTAGCCCATTCTTTCCATCCGTATGGAAGGCCTGTGCCTTAGGAGTGGGGATATTAATAGGCTGATGTCAATATTTCAAACTTTCTTTGTGATTGTTTAACTTATAGTTTAATATATCGTTTGAAAGTGATTGTAATGTTTTTAAAATACCGTGGGTGATGTTCTTCAAAAAATCGTTGTATCTTTCAAGTATTATTTGAATAATAATAGCATACTGCATTTCTTCAAATAACTCTAATCTTCATACTCCTCAGTCCAAGTCCAAATAAATGAGTCAAGAATTCATACTTAATTAGAAGACTACATAATAGTATTAAGCTAAATACATTTTATTGTATTAAGCTAAATACAAGATATACGGCGTTTTTTACAAAATAATGAATATCAAAAATTTTCCTTCCATTCCAAATATACCTAGGGACAATACAATTTATTTAGCGTTTTCCTTAAAATGTCTAAATAAATTTGTGCGTGTTTTGGAGCGAAAATAAGGGCAGGTCGCAGACGTATAGAGGTCTCACCGCATGCACCACATAATACACCTGAAATCAATCAATCAATCAAATTCTTTATTTGCGCTTGGTCCCTAATAAACCGGTTAGAGAGATAAAAATTATCCTATATTTTAATTTAGGTTTAAAATTATATGTGTACAAAATTTCTTCAAAATCCGTTGAGTAGTTTTTGCGTAAAAAAGTATCAAATCAAAAGGATGTTTGTATGTAACAAACATCCTCACACATTTTAGTGTTTAGTATAAGTAGGATTCATTTAATTAAATAAATATATTTACGACAGCATCACACACATTGCTCAGATCGGCACAGTAGCTAAAGCACTAGTGTTAAGGAAACCTAAAATAACGACGACATCTCATTTATACCTCAATTTTTAACGAAAAAGTACCATTAACCATAAAAACACGTTATTAGAGATGAGTCCCTTGAATATTTATTTTATTCTGTTTTTTAGTATTTCAACATAAAAATTCAACTACCCAACTATTACTATTCATGAGATACAGCCTAGTGACAGACAGACGGACGGACAGCGGAGTCTTTGTAAAAGTTCCCGCTTTATCCTTTTACTAAGACTTCGCTGTCCGTTCGTCGGTCAAACCCAAAAACTGTAATATTTTGTTACAGATACATGAAAAATTTCCTTAAAATAGGTTCAGTCATGACATAGACCGTATTGGTATGTCATCCATTAATAAGCTTCGAAACAACTGAAACAATTTTTTATATATATCTAAAGAGATAGAGATATAGATTCACGAAGGAAGACATACCGTTTTTCTTTAAATTGATAATAAGTTTGTCCCTCATTGCAGTACTGGATACATTGAAAGAAAGAAATGTACCACGGCCTCTCACACTATTTATATGAAAAGGGTATTCAGTTTCCAGTTCAAGTAAACCGTTTTTCAATATTGTTCCTGACTGTTCCACTAAGCAAAGTAGGTTATTTTGTCTCATCACTTTTAAAACGCACTCTAATAATATCAATTTTCCCGGATCGCCCATCCATGTATTAAAAATCCGGTAGGGGTGTGGTGCTCTGTAACATTATTATGATATTTATTCTTAAAATCCACTTTGTCCCTGGCACTCTGAGATGGGACTCGAAGCTTTCGCAATTTGGGCGACTGCTCTAACCACTGAGCTACCCAGGACCTAACATAAGCCTAATGAATTTTTCAAGCACATGTTACTTTTTCGTTACTACAGAGCGTATTTTCATCAATGTTCAGGTAATTCACCCAAACATCCGAAAGTAATAGTTTTAAATATTTTAACTTTCGAAAAAGATGAAAAAATTTTCATATTATGTATTATATTTGATCAAGTTTTGATTTTCTTCTTAATCAATTTGATTCTCAATGAATTTTTAAGTATTTTTCTTTAAAGATATTTTTCAGTACTTATATCTTTAAAGAAAAATACTTATAATATTATGATATTTATTAAAATAAAAGCTTTCCGCCGATTTTCAACAAATGTTTACTGTTATAAAATTCTGCACTTGTCTGTCCAGTATTCGACATGTGCCTACCCCAACTTTTTCCAGCGTGTTCTGCAGGTTGTTTCACGCATCCATGATTTTCCGTTATAAAATAAGCAGCCCAAAAATACAACTGATTGACTTCCACACAAATATTCAATCCCTACTCAGCCTTTTACGAGTATAATTTAATTTTTTTGTTTAAATTTTCATGGTCATTCATTACATAACATTAGAATATTATGATCACAGATAAAGCTCATGACGCTTGGAATATCGGGAACTCTGTAAATAGAAGGCACATGGTAACAATCCCGTAATTAGCCATTATTCTTTTTTAATATTTGTTTTTTTTTTTAATATTTTTCAATAAATATTACGTACTTAAATTGAGGTTTGAAGTAAAACCCGCCAATTAACATCTTTTTACTGAACGTGACCACATCTGGAGGAGTGGGTAAGTCAAAATGCTCATGGCACCACATTTTACCAGTTGGACCACATCCTGTCTGTACTTCATCTATAATCAGTGCCGCTCCTCTCTAAAACATTTAAATAAATATAAAATCAAATAAAAGGAAATATTTTTATGCAAACTAACATCATAAAACGCAAGAAGGTTCTAAATAAGGCTGAACCACACTGCAATTATACGCATGCGTTTAAACGAAAAAAAAGGGACATTTATGGCAACTTCTTTGCAAGCACCGCACTTGTAGATTGGAAACATGGACCCCGATGCTTTGTGAAGCGGTTTTTAATTTTCAGCCTTGTGTTTATTCCCAATGCAGCCTCAGCTTTCTTGATGTAAAGAGGTCTCAGTTTAAAGTAAGTTTTTCTTTTTCATATTATACTTATTACAGCAAAAAATATTTTAGATGAATTAAATGAAATGAAATTAGGGACGAAATGATAAAAATTACAGTCCATCGATTTGAGAACCTTCTTATTTTACAGTCTGTCAAGGAGGCTAGAAAAGGAAAGTTTAAAAATAACTCTTACAATTGAACTTTAGAAAACAGATCCGAGACTATATATAGAATAGAATAGATATTTATTTGCCTTTAAATAGGGTACAATTTGATAGGAATTGATTAAAATAAAATTAGAACTTAAAACCTATTTAGCCATACAAAGATAGCATGCAAATATTAAATTTAATTAATTTTTCATTACCGGTAAAAACAATCAAATTATTATCAAAATTAATTAAATACAATTTTATACAAAATTAACAAATTCACTAAAATACCATAATCATTATCATTTTGAAGATTAAATGTCACAATAATAAATGTCAAGATAAAGAATTTCGTAATGAATAGCGTCAAAACAATAAAAGAGATACAAATCATATAGCAATTAAACTTTGTGTTAACTTATATAGCTTTGGCTATTAATTTATCTAGTAGCATGGTTTAAAAAATCATCAATTGAATAAAATGCCATTTCCAATAACCATTTACGTAAAGTAGATTTGAATCGGTTAGACGGTAATAGTTTGAAATTATTGGGTATTTTGTTATATATTTTTTGGCACATGGCGTAACTGTTATTCTGAAATCTTTGAGTTTAAGGGACGAATTTCAAAACTAATCTTTCAGGGTTTCTTCTTAATCTTTGGCTCAAATCCTGTGCTTATGTAAACTTTTTACTATTTAATTTTACAAATATGCAAACCTCTTAAATATAAAGACAGGGCAGTGCCAAATTTGGAGAGTTTTAAAGTAAGGCTTGCAAGAAATATCCGGCTTTAGATTGCATATAGCACGAATGCATCTTTTTTGAGCAATAAAAAGAATTTTAGTATCAGTACCCTTTCCCCAAATTAATAAACCATATCTTAAGATGGATTCTACATATGCGAAATAGGCCATGATAGCCGTATTTACACTCGATACTTTTGTAAGTTTATATAACGCGAAGGAAATGGAGTTCACTTTATTGCACACTTTTTCTATATGCTCTTTCCAACTGAATTTAGGATCAACTATTAAGCCTAGAAATTTTACATTTGGAGCACTCTGTAGAGTTTGTCCATTAAAAGATACGTCTACTGATTGATTTTTTAAATTATTGAAATTAATTATATTAGTTTTTGCTAAATTTACCTTAAGATTGTTATTCTGAAGCCAATTAATCATTGATGTCATTATATTTGTGATGTCAAGTTTGTGTTGTTCTAAGGTACTTTTCGTTGAAACAATAATGGAAATATCATCAGCAAATAGTACCGTCTTAAATTTTGTAATGTCAGGTAAATCATTTATGTACAGCAAAAACTACAATGGGTCTAGAACACAGCCTTGAGGAACGCCACATTTATTATGTTTTGGTTTAGACCTGTAAAGCTGAATTGTATTTTTTTTGTCAATCTGTGTTATCTCTACGAATTGCATTCTGTTAGATAAGTAGAAATCCAACTAGTTCAATGCAGGACCCCTTAATCCATAACATTCCAGTTTTTTTAATAGTACTTTATGAAAAACACAGTCAAAAGCATTAGACATATCGAGGAATATTACTGTTGTATAGTATTTCATATTTACATTTAACATTACTTCATTTACTAGGTCAAAAGCTGCATGAGTTGTTGATTTATTTTTTTGGAAACCGTATTGGTTTTCCTTGATGATTTTAAATTTTGTGGGGAAATTAGAATAAAATTTGATTCTCAGATATTGCGACATTTTGAAACCGAGTTGCGAGTTGGCTACAAAGGTCGTCAATTAAGTAAGTAAATGAATATAGCGACCTTCTGACATATTAGTTGCAGTTTTTGAAAGAATTCCGGGGAAGCTTCATTGTCTCCACCTTCGGATTGTATAGGCTCGACAATAACTCCCGCCACAGGATGACAAGCTCTTCTATGACATTCCATTAAATCTTCCACTTCTGCTAAACATCTGCAATATTATTTTCTTTAGCTATATTTGAGTTGCCTCTAAATCATTTTAACCTAATGAAATGCCATACTTATTTGCGTTATAAAGATATTTGGTACTGGAGGTTTGTGGAATCAGCTAAATAATATAACAAAATCTTTGTTGGACTGTGATTTTTTTTACATTCGAACAATCGTTTATAAATATAAGTAACTAAAATGTTGTAAATGATATAATAGATACTTTGCGTCTTCTTGCTCATTAAGGCATTGATTATCGCATAGAGGATATTTGTATTTTGGGAATGACGCTGCAGGCCAATAGTCGAATGCAGGAAAATCTACTTTATGTATTGCCTTCGATCTTGTTGTAGAAAGAGAGCCGAATGTGCGACCGTGGAAACCAGCCTGAAAATATATGATAGTATAGGGCAGGTTTTCATGGAAACTGCGTTTTTACATTAGATTTTAGACAAGACTAGACTAGAAATTTATCGATGTACGATAAAATAACTGAATTTGATTTATACATCCATATATATATATATATATATATATATATATATATATATATATATATATATATATATATATATAAAAATCTATTGATGTTAATTTGTCTCGCTAATTGCTCGCTTTCAAATGTTTCTCGTAGTCTAGAGAAAGTTTAAGCGTTGAGAGATGATACGAAATACACCGGGTCATCTAGTATTGAATTAATTTTACAAAATTATTAGGGTATAATTACTTAATATCAAAACTGATGGTAACTATAAAAAAATAATAAAAAACACGCGACAAACTCTAAAATAACTAAAAAAATTAAACTGTCTGTGAATATTACTGACAGTTTTCTGGTAAAATCTGTAGTAGCCTTTTTCTTTGCTATAATAAAATCTTTAATAAAGTAAGGATGTGCGTAACTAACCATCAAAAACTAATCGATTAGGTACCTACGTATCTCAACCTATAAATAGCCCTAGAATATTTTGGAATCTTAGGGCTGGACCCTGGATTGTTGAATATTGATTTTCGCGAGAAAACTATAAAAGCTTTTATACCATTTACTAATGTGCAAATGTTAATTTCGACAAATGGCACATCAGAGATCCAATAAAGAAACCCACAAAAAAGACCGGTGAAATATGTACAGAGGCTGTTATCTGGCTGTATAACATGGTGATCAAACTTTTTGCTCCTCCGTGCTATAGAAGACACTACCAAAATTTGCTACATTTGTCCCAGATTAGCAAGATGGATGTTAGGTCAGCTTGTATAAAGTTGTCGTCCTTACCTTAAAAGACATAATTGACATTTTCGGCGAACCTGGTGGCTGATTATACATGCAGGAAGCGATTTCTTCATGAGAAAAGTCAAGTCTCCCGCCTCGCTCTTTCATTCGATACCACATAAATACTGCTTTGAAAGCGTTCTCATTCGAGCAAGAACCACACATCATTGTCATAACTTTATTTAAACCACATGGAGCGACCGATAATAAAACGCTCTTTAATTTTGCCGGCCAATCTTTGGAAGGAAACACGCCAAGTGCTGGCCTATTAATCATAGATCTCTGAAACATTTTAAAGTGACTGTAGCTAAGTCTCTTGTCGGCACTACTCAGTACAAGGTATCTGTAATAAGCAGTGGTGTATTTCGAGGTTAAGCTCCTCGGGTCTTTTGTCACTCCAGCGGACTGATTTTGCCGTCGTTTCAATTAAAGGAGAAAAGTATAAGATTTTGGTTAGTAAATACAGAGTGTCCAAAAATCTAATCCAGCAGCGTCTTTGTATGATCTGAGAATATTCCCAGGTTGTCATCACTCATACTGCCAGGGACAAAGCGAATTATTTAAGAATTTTTCATTAAGAATATTTTTCAGTATAAAATTGAAAAATTAATCAAATATAGTAATAATTAAAGAAATTATAAAACGACATTAGGTAAAGAAATGAATTTGATCCTCGCCGTCCCATGTAGGTTGTCATTTGGGTCATAGCCTTTTTGGAAAAAAATAAATTTAAATGCGAAAACTTTATATGAAATCAAAATTTGAATATTTTACCTCAGGCAGTATTGAAATAAGCTGCCTTACATATTGAAAGCATTAAAGTTAAGATTATTCAAAAATTCAATTTCAAAATAAATATTAATTAAAGATTATGATGTAAGTTTAGAACTATTTTAGTGAGTATAATTACAAGATATCACTAACTAGGTTGTGCTGATCTTCAAACACTTTTAATAACTCAGGGTGATTATATCCAATAGGAATTGATGAAATTTGTGTAAAAGTATCCAAAAATTCATTACCATCTGCATCAACAAAATAATTGCCGAAACTTTGGTCGAAATCTGCAAACAACTGTACGGTACCAGCTTGCTGAAAAATATAGACTTAATGTTGGATTATTCTCTAAGCAAACTAGGCATGTGCTTAGAATCCCAAACATACAAATGGGCGCTAAATTTAAAGAAGAATTTATATACAGTAAGGTGCAACTAACTCATCGATGTACACTGAGCAGAAAGCTAAATTTCGAAAGCGGCAATTCCTGACCAATCAAGTGTGTGAATGAAACGTACATCTGACGCGTTCTATTTCAACACCTTATGGTTATTTGAACAAGAGTCATTTATTATTATAATTTTTATGGATATATCTTTAGACAATGATCTCTTTCAATCCTGTTCTTCTTCTTCTGTTTCCGACGCTAGTTTTCAGAGCTTAGATCGCCCTCTGAATGAGCTCCTTGATGAAACTTTTCGCGATGTTCCTAAAAACTTTAATGTCGTGCACATTAATGCACAGAGTACCATTTGATTCCAAGCATGTCCACGCTATCCTTGTCTCTGAAACATTTCTTAATCCCTGTTTCTCTTCTACTTCATATTCCTTGCCTGGTTTCCAATTGATCCGTAACGATCGTGTAAGTTCCTGTCATGGGGGAGTTGCTATTTACATATTTGCATTCACATATTTCTTTTTCTGTTCTAAGTAGATCTCCCCAGCCTCCGCCCCCCAATAGTGCCGAGCATCTCTTCCTTGAGGTATCTTTGTCCCACTCTAAAATCCTTCTTTGTGTATTTTATAGCCCTTCACTGCGTGTTGACTATTTTGATTCGTTTGAACAACTCCTTGAAAATTTTGCTCCTTATTCCCATACTACAATATAATCATGGGTGATTTTAATACTTGCCTTATTAAAAACGACTTCCGTTCCAAAAAGTTATATTTAATAATAAACTCTGTGAATTTACATATTCTTCCATTACAGGCAACTCATCACTTTCCCAATTGTACTCCTTCTTTACTTGATCTTGTAATTGTCTCTTCTCCCTCTTTTGTTGTTAAGCATGGCCAGTATTCTGCTGACGCTTTTTCTTATCACGATTTGGTATTTTTATCATATCGAGTTCGTTCTCCTAAGCTAAAGCCGACTGTACAACTTCAGCGTAATTTTGCAAATATTAATCAGGACCGACTGCGCGCAGATGCAGCCAACAAGGACTGGTTGGCGATTTACGATATCGACAGTGTTGATGAGCAAGTGGAACTGTTTAATAGACTTTTGACAGAGTTATATGACGTGCATGCGTCAACGCGGCGTATTAAAATGAAATGTCTTCCTGCTCCTTGATTGACAAAAGATATTCGAGTGTTGATGAAAAGGAGGGACAGGGCTAAAGTGAGGTACCGACACGATCCTTCAAATGTAAATGAGGCAAAATATAATCGAGCTAGGAATCAGTGCAATACGGTGATCAGGGACGTCATATTCACAAGTCTGTCGAAAATGCAGATCCAGGCAAAGTATGGAAATTTCTAAAATCACTTGGAGTTGGCAAATCGCATAACAGTGTTCCTTGTAATAATTTTGATGTTGATCGACTTAATAGTTACTTTTCCACTTCTGTCCTTATGGATAGCAATCGTAAGGCCGAAACTTTACATCGTCTTTCTAATTTGGCAACTCATGATTCTTGTTTTTTTCTACACCGATTTGCGGACTGTGATGTTAAGAAGACAATACTGTCTATTGACTCTAGTGCTGTAGGTAGCGACTCCATCAGTCGCAAAATGATCATTCCTATTATCGACGTCCTGGTTCCCGTTATAACCAAGATCCTTAACAATTCAGTCTCGACTGGAGTTTTTCTTTCGTCTTGGAAGGACGCCTTTGTTATTCCGCTTCCAAAAAAATCTAATCCTTCTACATTCTCTGAATATCGTCCTATATCCGTACTACCTTTTCCTATCGATTATTAGTAGTTGGAGTAAATCATACGGTTTGACCGTTAACCCTTCCAAGTCTCAAGCCATAATAATAGGTTGTCCTCATTTCATTTCTAGGATCGTTTTTGGCCAACTTCCTCCTGTAATTCTTGATGGTACTATTATTCCCTATACCGAAACTGTCAAAAGTCTTGGCGTCGTCTTTGACCGCTGTCTTTCCTGGAAACCGCAGGTAGAGGCTGTTAGGAAGAAGGTGTTTGCAGCGTATGGCTCTCTGAATCGATTACGTAATTTTCTGCCGACCAGTACCAAAGTCACTTTAGCGCATTCTCTTATGTTGTCCATTATTGATTACGCTGATGTTTGTTATACAGATTTGTCTGAGGAACTTCTCACTAAATTAGAGCGTCTGCAGAATGCCTGCATCAGATTTATTTTTAATCTTCGTAAATTCGACCACGTGTCTCAATTCCGCTCCAAACTCAACTGGCTCCCTATTCGCCGGCGCAGGGACTTGCACACTCTAACGGTTCTTTATCTATACTTTTCTTGCCATTTACCCCACCTTATCTCAAGCAATGCTTCTCTTTTCACCACACCTCATTCCATTTTTCATTGCGATCCTCTTCCAATCTTACCCTCAAGTTTCCTCACCACACAACTGACTTCTTCTCTTATTCCTTCTCTGTGCACGCTGTCCGACTGTGGAACTCTTTGCCAGAAACCATCAGGAAAGCTCGCACGCTGAAATCATTTTGCGATCAAGTTAAACACCATTTCCTTTCCAGATCATGAATTTTTATCATAATTTTCAATTTTTTTTTTATTTTTTTTTATTATATATATATCTATTATACTTCCTTTATATTCCTTATTTAAGATATATTTCTTCCACATGTTGCACCCATTACTCCATATTATTTATTATCTGTTTTCCTCCATAGGTTGCCTGGAAGATATTGCTATGTAGCAATAAGGTCGCCTTTTTGTATACTGTTTTTTTTCTTTTATTTTCTCAAACTGTGTAATTTGTAATTCATGTGTGCAATAAAGTATATTATTATTATTATAACTTTTAATCATGCTTGTGGTCATCATTGAAATTGGGTAGGGATGATAACTATTTTTTTTGTCTGTTCGTCAAGTATATTGAAGAATACTAAACCTTTTTTTTTTGCATAATCAATAAATTACGGCGCTACTATATCAACTTAATTGAAATATCACACTTTTGTACATTTTTTTTATAATTGTGACGTAGCGAGCCCCCACTCCTCAACTTTGAAGCAATCTTGTTACATTGAAGCAAGAAAATACGTATCTAATATTTTTCTATTATCTGATTTGAAAGACTAAATAATTTTTCTTTCTAAAATTTTTATTACTATAACTAACTTTGGTCGTTATCTTTATTTATTACATTAAGTGAGTGAATAGAAAATAAGGCTTTTCCTACTTTCCTCACTCAACATATGTATTAGCATTTATAATTTACTAGCTGTTTGTGCCCGCGATTTCGTCCGCATAAATTATAGCCTGCCTGTCACCCGCGTATGATTTATGATGACGATTGTTGCTTAATCAGGGATACAAACTAGACAATTCATCAATAACACTTCGTAAAAACAGTGAAGACTCTAAGAAGCTTCCGCGCTTCTGGGTGGTGTTGGGTTGGCTGGAAAAACAGTCGACTTTTCACGTAGCCATTATTAGAGAAAGGCGTCTTAAATGAGGAAAATTTAAGCCGCCATGCCTAACCTAACCTATCTAAAAGAATTTTGTAAAATTTTTCCGGTAGTTTCGGAGCCAATGAAATGCAAAGAAATAAACAATCAAATCCTTATTTTTTTAGACGTATATTTATAAGTATATGTTAAAATCTATTTATAGGTTTCTATTTTAACTTCCTCCCGACTAAAGTGGTGCGTAAATGGGGCGTTTTTCTAGCGCGCTAATCTTTAGTCCACCACTATATTAAGGCTTAGGTAGGTAATGTGAGAATTGATAATTAATTAAAAGTCATAGAAATGTTAAGTTTATATTGATAGGGTTTGTATTATTGGTACTATTATGTGGAAATGGTGTAGGACGTATTACACTCCTTCTGAAAAATAGTTCAGAAGGAACATACCTGTATAATGTTTAGCTCACTATATAGCTGTTGTGATATTGGGCCAGGTAAAGGTGTCTTAACATTAGGTCTAGAAGGTTCATTTTGTTTCATAACTGTGGATAGTTGTCGAAAATCTAAAAACAAATAATTTATCACATTCATGTTGATTTTTTTAAAACACTGGTCTGCTTTCTCATGAATTAACATCAACAAGTTCGTGACAAAAATATGCAACGAGTTCTCTAATGGTCAATTCAAGTAGGGGGAGTCCGGAGACTTGAACCTCTTTTTACTTGAATTATCATATCTTCGTATAGATTTCTCGTAGAGACTAGATTATAATTTTAATTGATGTGTAATTTGTATAGTCTTGTTTTTGCATGATTACTTTTTAAATATTTCAATACTGTAAATTGCTAAGCCGATATGAAGTAAAAATGGGAAATGGATCAACTCTCCCCACTATGAGGGACATATGATCAAAAGTCTGAGGAAATTCATTATCAGGGGTTTTAGTAATTGTGTTAATGTTTCATTAGCTTGCAATTTACGTTGAATTTTGAGAAGTGTTTCAACTCTCCCATCTGGGCAAGTCTCCCGGACTCCCCTAGTTTAAATGATATGGTAGAAAACCCTTTCCCTTGCGTTAAACAAAGGTGTTCCAGCATCTGATTTCCGCGCACTGGATACTGAATGAATGTATCGTACTTACCCTTAGTACTTCAGAATAGTTAGAAACTCTCTTGTATTTTTTTGTCACGCGCTTTACTAATGGTAGTTTACTCCAAAGAATAACAACTTAACTGCAATTATTGTACACGCGCCATTATTCGCTGTCAATATCGTTGCGCTCTAGGACTATTCTTAAAAAAGGCGGATATACGCACTATAGCTTTAATTGCCATAAATAGGTAGACATTCTATAGAGTTACTGTAAATCCATAAGAGCAATTAATTAAAATAAGTAAACGACTTGAACTCACAGGGCAAAACACTAGGTAACAAAGACCATTTTTTACAAACTATCATTATAGTTTGATACGTCCTTTTGGTTCTTTTGTATTTATTACTATAAATAAGGTATTAAAACATAATGCTTACAATCTTTGTAGTGTAGCAATAAAAATTGTAAACATATTATTTATGTGTTCAAAAGATTCAAATTCTCTTTCAAAGAGTAAAATATGTTTGACCTTCTTTGACCTTGGAAAATCATAGATATATTATATCACTTTAGCATTTAGTCAAAGCTCTCAAGATCACTCATGAAATAAGATATAGGTGAAACGCCATTCAATTTCATTTTTTAATCTAGATTTTTCGACTTCAAGTGACAAAAAAAGCATAGAGGATTACTAGTAAAGTTTTGGCGCATGCAATAAATATACTTGTGTAACTTTATTTAAATAAACGAATAAAACACTTATTTGTTTGGATCTTATATGCAACAAGGATATGATAATTTGTTTCGCTAACAAATTATCATATCCTTATTGCATATAAGATCCCAATAATAACAAACAAATGTAAAAAATATCCGACGTCGAAAAAAACAACAAAAATAAATGATGAAATGAAATGTTAAAAGAACTTGAATGTTTGGCGCGCTATTAGTGAATTTGTGATGTCAAATCAATGTTTACTAGGGATTTCATTTAATTTTTATTCAATTACTCTAAATCGATTACTAAATAGTGGATTTGTGTAACAATAATTTAGTAATTCTGTAACAAATATTAAAAATAAAACCCTTAAAAGGCACTTAATTTTTTATTTGTTGTTTATTTTACTGTATTCATAATTAGATTATTTTTTTCCAATCTCAATTAATTTAACACGAGCCCAGACTTAATTTTAAATCGTGCTTGTCTTCTAATGGTTCCTTAAACAATGAAATCATATCAAAATTATTCAGTCTAGGCTGTCACAAACACTTGTGAAAGTCGAGAGCTACGCCATCGGTACGTAAATATACGGCGGGAGACCTCATACCGAGAAGAAGCGGCAAAAGACCCTACAAGGGCTGCTTTTTTCTTACTGTTTTATTTTATACAGAGCGTCAAGAACGTAAAATATTAGAAATGTAAGAGTCAAACAGTATTATCGTCAATCGAATCACATGTCTAGTCAAACAAGTTCACCGATAAATAATTTAATATACATAAAAATAAGCCATATTTAACACCAAGTAGTTTTGTCGTTTAAATATTCATTAACAATATAATACCCTTTATTACGTGTGTGAACGCATTTATTTGTACATATATGAAACGTTATTTATGAAATAATTATCTAGAAAAAGCATATATAGGTAGTTAATAAATACTAGGGAGTAATAAATGTTTGATAATCAATGATTAACATTTTTTGAATGGTAACTCATTAAAATTTTTGAATGGCTTTCTAAAATATGCCCCATTATAACTCATCCCCCATAATTAAAAATAATTGCATATCGTATAAGCTGTATTTACATCATGAAAATAGTTTCATTGCATTAATTTCGCTAGCAGTTCACAACACTAAAATAGTTTCACGCAATGTGCATATTTTCGATGAAATTACTTTTCACCTCGATATATATGTTGAAACTAGTGTTACGACAACTATCAGCGCATATACTCTTACTGTGAGCATATAGTATCGATATTGACAGTTCCAGTGCTTCAGGGATACTCTTTCACATATTGTATATGCTTGTTCTAAGTTTCATGTGAATACTTTTTATGGTAATTCGGCTTTAATTTCGAATCATTTCATTTGTTATGAATCGTCACTATAAGAAACGAATGAGACAACATGGAGTATAAATTAATCCATTTAATTGCACTTGATACGAGTAAGTTATTTGATTGTTTAATTATTGATAATTTGTTACATACCTATTGCCAGTTTAGTAGATACGACTCGCGTAGCATTTTGTGACTCGAGTCACTCGAGCCATCTAACTTGCTCAATCGAGTCGAAGTTTCGAGTCACTCGTGTGAAAAAAATTGCAAACATGCAACTCAAGTGTGATTTTTTTTTGTATTATTAGACAAATTCCTATGATAATATAAAATACATTTTGAAAGAGTTTTAACATATTATTCATTTATGTGATTAAAAAAAAAATAAGCGGCATAAACAAATAAATCAGAAAGAATATAGAAAATAGAGCATAAAAAAAGGGAAACTAGATGAGCTCAAATGTAAAAATCTATTCTATGCACATACATATACATTATTTTAGTGACAAAAACTTTGATACGAAATAAAAATCAAACTTGGTGACACAAATTTTGAAATATCCCTAGAAGTTTCTGTAATTGTGATTCGTATCACAATTACAAAAGCGAAGACGGGCAATGATTTAATAATCAAATTTACTCACAAATAAACAAATGTAAATCTCCGCAAAAACAACGTGTAAACTATGAAGCAATGGATTTCAAAAAAAAACAAACTTTATTGAACATAGCAACGTATTTGCCCAGAAATGGCCCTCTGGTTTTCTGAAGTCTGAAGCTTGGAACGGCAACTTTATTTTTATTTCTTGTGTAAAGGTTATGAACATTACTTTTATTGTGAAGGAATGTTAATGTTTTCTTGCGTACATAATATTTTCATAGATGTATTGAGAAACAACAGTCAAAATATTTATTTCTTTAAATATTCGTCTGAGAGATTCCCTAGACTGTAAATTATATATAGCGCGGACAGCTCTCTTTTGTAGAATAAAAATATGTTAAATGCTAGCCGCAGAACCCCACAACAATAGAACATACGTCATTACACTATGAAAATAACAAAAATATACCAATCTTGCCCTTTCAATATTTGTCAAGAGTCTAATTTTCTTAACAGCAAATGCTGTAGAACTCAGTCTACTTGACAAGTTATCATTATGAGGATCCCATTGCAGTCGGGAATTTAGTGTAATACCAAGGAACTTTGTCGATTCCACCAACTCAACTTTTTCTCTATTTACATTTATAAGTGTACTAACATGCCTCACATTAGATAATGCAAACTTTATGCATTTCGTTTTATTTGAATTAAGATTTAAATCATTATTATCAAACCATTGTAGAACTTTGTCGAGAGCATCATTTACATCGTCAAAACAATCATTACCCCTCTTTACTTTAAACACTAAAGAGGTGTCATCAGCAAATAATACTGTCTCGCACAAATTCTTCGTAAAGCGGGGAAGATCATAAATGTAAATTAGAAAAAGCAATTATCCTAATACCGATCCCTGAGGTACACCCATGGTAATGGGTGCTCCTGCAGATTTCTCTTCATTAATTACTACTTTTTGAATTCAAGCAGAAAGATGTGATTTTATTAGATTTAGTAAATTTTTTGTCACACCATAATGCTCTGATTTCCCCAACAGTGTTTCATAACTAACGCAGTCGAATACTTTTGACTGTCTTTGGTCTATTCGTTTCCTGCAAAAATTAATTTTTGCAAGAGTCGCCATATAGTGAGGGTGCTTTTTAGTGCTTTCGTTTTTTTAAAATACTTCCTTATTGTTTATGATATTTTTCATTATTGTCATAGTTTTTCTCTTCTCTTCTGCTATTTTCCTATATATATTTTATAAGCTCAATAAAGCCTTTAATTCTCAGGGCTTGTCTTCATTTCTTTAACACTACGGGACCATATAACTGAAAATTACAAACAATTTATATAAAGTTCCTCTTTACCATCTTGTAAGACACTGAAAGCTGTTAAATGTATCACTTAATCCGAGATCATTATTATTTTTTAAATTATGTTCTCATTTATGTGACTATGTCCCAATCAGAATAAAAAACTTTGAACTGAAATAAGAGCAGCGAAGTGACATCGAGTGACAAAAGAATCAACTTGATAACTTGAGTGTATATAGACTCAAGTAATAATTATTCAATCGAGTACGACTTTGAAAAATTTACTCGAATAAAACAGGATCCAGTGCAACGCTAGTCTTTGGTTTGTTGTTTTTGAATATGTTTTGAATGGATGGAACGTTCAATCGTTTAAAAATATTTTGTGATTCAATTCAAGAACACGAATAACGTTTCAGATCGACGAGAAAGAGTGTAAATTTGAATTTAATTTATATAAATTAGAATATATAATGATAAGTGATATAATTTCTTAACGGTCCTAAAACGGAATTCGAAAAATATTAGCTACCATAGAAAAGGTAAAAAATTATTGTCACATTTGACAATTAGTGTCTTCATTCATAACCTCAAAACCAAAACAGTATTTGAAACAAGATTTATTATTAATTTAAAAATGTTGGTTTAAGATGCCGAGTGTAATAAGCAGCAGTGTTGACGTAACTAGGCCAGTCGACAGCAGCAAAATGCAACTCGAATGCTTAGAATTAGCTGGTTGCACCCTTGACCGGTACATTAGTTCTGATAATTCGCGCCCTTCGTTTTTAGAGGTATATTTTGTATTATAAATTCTTAGTTACGATTTCTTCCATAAATTCTATACTAAAAAGAATCCATGTTATAATATGTGCTGCTGTAGAGTCACAAGGAATTTACAATTTGATTTTAGGTCACTGGTATAGCAGCCCAACGCAGTCCAACATGCAGTGGTCTAAATGCTGGAGATTACCGAAATTTAGCTGCCTTATTGAATCATCCAAATTTATCACAACTGAAGATATTGAACAAAGTTCCATTACCACCAGAAATAATGGAACATTTTGCTCGTATCCTTTCCATGGCTATTTTTGTTCATATTGAAATTTTTTTTGTATAATTTCAATATTTTAAATAATTTTATTTATTATATTATGTAAATAAGAAACCAGTATTTGGAAATTGATTTATTTATTTATTATTATTTTGAATTTATTTATTACTAGCTTTTCACTAATGCCTTCACAAGCATAGATACTAGGGAACTGTTTATTTGGATATTGATATAATTAATAACAAGTTGAATAGTAAACAATGTAACTAATAGTAGTAAGTAATAGTAAACAATCAAGATGAAGAAAAGATGTCTACACACCTTTGAATAGGTTGAAGAACAGTTTAGATGTTTATCTTTATTAATCTTATTTGTTGCTGATAATTTTTTTAACCAATGAATAAGATATGCAGTGTCATTGCTTGATGGGAGTATTTCCAGAAATCAGTCGTGTCTGGTTAGCAATAGATAGCAATATTTATGTGTGGGCCTTTGAACATGGCTGTGATGTTGCTTATTTTGATGGACTAGGTGAAACTATTGTCAGTGTGGGTCTAGTCAAACCTAAAGTAGGAGTGTTTCAGAGTTTTGTTAAGTATCTGTTAGTGTTGACTACTACAGTCGAGATTGTTGTTTTGGGTATGTACTGATGACTTAATTATTTTTTTTAGTTTTTTTAACAATGACTAATGGAAAATATCTTATTTTGTAGGTGTCACATTTTCGTCTAGCAAGAATGATGGGTCAACTGAATTCCAGGAGATACACTTAGTACCTGAACCAGTATTTGTTTTGCCAACTGATGGAATATCAATGATGTCTGTTAAATCAACTGCAAATGGACGAATTTTTATGGGAGGCAAAGATGGTTGCTTATATGAAATCACATATCAAGTATAGTATCTGAATAATTTACATGAAATAAAATTGGTTTTTAGCGTTGTTTTATTTTTGATTTGTTTTTCAGGCTCAACTTGGATGGTTTGGGAAACATTGCAAAAAAGTTAATCACTCTACAAGTGCCTTATCATTTTTGGTCCCTTCATTTCTCAATGCTGCTTTGTATGATGAAGATGCAATAGTGAAAATTGAAGTTGACAACTCTCGAAATATTTTGTATACTTTGAGTGTAAAAGGTTGCATCGAAGTATTTGATTTAGGTGCAGATGGTGAAGGTCTTAGCAAAGTTGTGAGATTAACACAAGGGAAAATTGTTTCATCTGCTGTAGATATTGTCAAGTAAGCTAAACATAGATGTTTATATATTACATTTTCTAACAGACATATTTATAGTACATTTTATTGTCAACAGAACATTAGAACCTAATAATTTCAAACCTGTGGTAGCAATTTCTGCTGTTGATGAATCTGAATCGGAACACTTGAATCTAGTTGCTGTTACCCAGACTGGTGCAAGATTGTATTTTAGTACTGGAAGTGGGGAGTAAGTGTCTGCTATTAACTACCTAAAGATATTAATCTTCAATGATAAAATTTGCATTTTCAATATTATATTAATCTCTATATTACTAATGTTTTATAAATCAACAGTGCGAACCAAGGCTGTCATCAAAGGCCGCAGTATCTGACTCTGTTGCATGTGAGACTTCCACCTGGGTTCACTCCCAACGCGTCAGTACTTAGACCAAAACAAGTTCATAGTGCTGTGTATGAAAATGGTGAGATTTGGAAATGTCTAGAAAAGTGGTTTCTAACCCATGGATAATTACTCATCAGTTGTTCTATGTAGGTAGCAAAGAACCTTATAACAAAGCCAAATTTAATAAAATCATCTCAACAATATAATATAGGCACTGCACTTTGGGTCAGTTTTCCTTAGGGCATAGAGGAAACAATCATGGAAAGGTTATAAACCACTGGTTTAGATAATTATATTTAACAAGATTTATGTGTATCTTGTGAATGCTAACCTAACAGTGAAATGACACATTAACTGAATGGAAACATAATTGAAAAATATCTGAAGCTTGCATAATCACCCAAAAAGTATTTAAGTTTTGAATCTACTTACTAAATTTTAGTTAGTAAATAAAAGTACCTATATACAAACCTTTACATGTGTCATTTAATTTGTTATGATTTAATGTGCAGCATATTGGCATTTGGTAATTTTTTTAAGTCTTATATGGGAATAATTTGCAGTTGGTGCACAAAACTTAATATTGTGTTTTGTTGTTCTCTAAAATAAAAAATATAAAAAAGACTATAAATATAATAATCATTTCGTTTTTTTATGAATTCTACAAATTTATTTTTATTAGTAATTGCTTAAGAGTGCAATCGAAAAACATAAATCAAGTCTGCATTATATCCTGGACTAGGGATGTTGACATGATTTGTATGTTAATAGGTTCACTGGTGATGGTGTGTTCAGCGGGTGGTGGAGGCGAGGCGGAGACCCTTTGGTGTCTTTCTCGCGTGTTACCAGGTCCTGGGTTCAGTGAAGCACATACCATATTAGCGTTAGACGGACCTGCTTGGGCTTTAACGGCATTACCACCGCAACATTCTGCACATTTGTCCCAAGCACTCCGTCCAAAGAAAGGTAAATTTATCTCTATGAATGTTACAGTTATGCAAATCGGTATTTCTGATATAAACCCCGTAAATTGCTAATGCGCTGGAAACCTTAAACGCGCGTGACGTCGTTTGAAAATAGAAAGTATAGATAGCACAAAAGGCAAGAGATAAATTATTTATTAATTTTATTGAAATATTTATAATATTTATCCCCAAAATATTGTTATAATAATTTCATAACTTTTAGTTTCTTAATAAAAAATGCTTAAATCCACTCTGAGATGGGATTCGAAACCATGACCTTTCGCAATCCGGGCGACTGCGCTAACCTCTACGCTTCCCGAGACCTAACAAACTGACGGATCTTTCAAGCACTTTTTACTTTTTTGCTACTACAGAGCGTATTACTACTACCCAAACAGCCGAAAGAAATATTTTTACAAATATTGAAACTTTCGATAAAGATGAAAATTTGTTTGTTATATTTGATCAATTTCGCATTCACAATGCTATACTGAAAAATATTCTCATTAAAAGATCCACTTGGTTCCTGGCACCCTGAGATGGGATCGAAGCATTTTTCATGACAAAAGAAACTCCTTATGGTCTAAAAGTTTTGTATTTTTGAATACTGCTGTATGGACTCAAGATTAAAGAATAAAGGACTCCACATGGGCCATGAACGGATTGGTGGACATTAACGGCTATAGATATAGCCCCCAGGATCAACAACCTAACCTTGCTTCGGTCTCTCTCTGATCGTCGCTCACGAAAATTGCTTAACACCCGCATCACAAACCTAATTTTTTTTAACACTAATAGATGAAGAAAACATACATTGTCACTTCACAATTTGTAATTAGAGTTGTCACTCAAAAAGGTTATAAACTACTACCACAACCTACGGACTTCGCCTACTTTTATACATTTTATTAAGCTACCTACATTAATCGATGTACCCACATTAGCCATTTGATTTGTTGTAATATTTTTATGCGCGTCGTTCCAGTTTTTGCCTAGGGCTCCAAGTTTCCTTGAACCGGTGCTGGTCAGCTATAGATGGATTCGTGATATAGTAGTAGTCCACTATTGATAGGAAACTCTTTTAAAAATCTTAACAAACGACCTGAGGTTGACAAAACCTGATTTAGTATATAAATAATTTCTTGTCCTGGGCAGAGGTGTGGAGTGTATCTCGATGGGCGGTGGTGACGGGTGCTGGAGCAGCTGTACTAGCGGCGGGGGCGGCGCCCGATATACTGCGGACGTTGTTGCGCGACTGCAGAGGACCGGATGCACATCCGGTCAAGGATTTCTTCCAGGTATCAGATCAGGATACTGTCTGCTTCATGTAAAGTTTCACTGTTAAATGTATAAGATTTTAGTATGACATTTATTGTTGCTATTTTGATATAACGTCTCTATATCCATAACTATCAAGAATTACGATAATGAACAACGGCTCATGGACGTTATATTTTGTTTGCACAGTTTGTTATGGTAAGCCAGAACATTAGGTTCGAGAAGTTATTTTATTATAATCATAAGGGACTGAAAAAACACGAAGGTGTATATGATAAAGAGAATTTAAGAACTGATATATAAAAAAGCAAGCGCAAACAATATTTGTCTTATTGATTACAAATAATGTAATTTAAAAATATACTTTAAGAAAGTTTGTTGGTCGACAACAATAATTTTAGGTCAATTTTGAATTGATAAGCGAGTTTTATTAGATAAAAATTTCTTTAAAAAATTAAAAATTCAATAACTAAGATATATTGTTTTTTATAGAAATGAAAAGCGAGAGAGTATGGATCTGTCAGATTATTATTAAAATAGAATTTGCTTGATTTTATACACATGTAGGTGTTGTAGTTTCATATGATAATCAAATACAATCCTCAGATCTCAAATTCATTAGCTAAAACACTTATCTGAAACAACGAGGATAACAATTCTCAGACCTAGACCCAGATAATATGAAATAGTTCATTTGTTACATTAACCCAACTGGAAATTAAGCCATATACCTACAAGTTTTATGAGAATTCCTTTCTTTTATCTTATACAAATGCAGTATTTACAGATGACCTCTGCAGCATAATGGTTCGCACGCCGGTTTCAAGTTGTCCCCATCTCGCCCGGGTGAGATTCCCGTCTTTTCTATATCGTCTCAGGTCTGGGTGCTGTGGTATCTGTGTTATCTCAGATTCACCAAAATACGGGGACTTTAGCTAATGATCTTGGAATCTCAGCAATGTGTGATGTTGTCTTATATTTATTTATAGAATATTTTGATATGTTTTCATTCTAGCTGCATAGCGTGGAGCAAGCTTGCGCATGCGCGTTATATCTAGCCTGCGAGGATACAACGTCCAGTGACCTCACAGTGAGCGAGTGGGCGACTCGCGCCTTCTTCCTATATGGAACCCAGACTATACCGACGCCTATATATCAACAACAGCAACCATCGCAAATAGCGTCTACTATAGGTTCGAAAATAAATTATAATACAATATTATGGTTCTGTACTTGAAATAGAAAAAAAAAACAATTCTTATATGAAGATAGTTGGTGACCCTAATGCGGATGTGTAACGTAAATAATTTAGTAATAATTAAGTAGAGTGGGAAATTATTATGAAAAAAGCTTGTAGGTAAAAAAGAAATCAGAAAATGGTTATTAGCTATAAATTTTAGGAAAGCTTATAAGAAGTGTATGATTTATTATTTGTTTGAAAGCCTGCATATACAAATCAGATTCATACTTGTCCAGTGTTTTTAATTAGATATTTTTCGTTATTTTAATAAGTTAGCATCAAAACAGTATGATGTGTAAAATAATAGGTTAATCATAATATTTTTTAGGATCACCTAAGTTCTCACCTCGTCAAATGTCAACACCGATGTCCATGAGAGGGCCTCAAGGGCAAATTCAACCGAAAATGAATCAATCATACCAGCATGGTGGCATGAATCAGTCATTCCCTGGGTCACCGAACCAATCAATGATGCCGCAGCCTTACCAACACAATATGATGAGTCCAACTCCTTTCAACCAGTCTTCGTTCAACATCACACAGCAGCAGAGAGACCAGAATTTCCCAGTACATATTGAGTACAGCGCTAAACACAATGGTCTTTATATCTACGTCGGAAGGATACTTGCATGTGTTTGGAATCTGAAATGTGTTTCGAAATCTCTGACGCCTGATAATAAAGAATTTGTAAGTAACAAACTTATTATTTGATAGAACAGTCTGATTTTTTTGCTGTTAAAACTATAGATTTATAAAAGTTATGAGAGTGAATACATCATTAATTAATTCATTCACATCAGTTTTATATCGCAATATATACATATCGCAATTTCAAAGATATAGCGATTTATGGATATATTTAACTTTTAACATCACAATCGCTTATGGAATGAATGATGATTTGAATGAACAAGAAACAAAAACTTCTAAAACCCGTTGACAGATTGCAATTAGCTTTCAACTCTTTCATTTGACATTTATCCAATAACTTTAATACTAGCTTTTGCCCGCGATTTCGTCCGCGTGGTAAAGTTACTTTGAGCAGCATTTCTAACGAATATTTATTCGTCGTTTCTAACGAATATATATAATATTTATTCGAGAGTCATCCCCTATTTTATCCCCTTAGGGGTGGAATTTATCAAAATCCTTTCTTAGGAGATGCCTACGTCATAGTAGCTTTATGCATGCAAAGTCTCAGCCCGATCGGTTTAAAATTGACAAAGTTTCATACACACTTTCATCCCCTATTTTATCCACTTGGGGGTAGAATTGATCGAAATCCTTTCTTAGCGGATGCCTACGTCATAATGTCTACCTGCAGTGGTTTGGGCTGTGCGTTGATAGATCACTATGTCAGTCAGTCACCTTTGAGTTATATAATATATATATATATAGATTTAATGTTTTTCAAATAACCGTCGCGATCGCATCGCTTTCATGTCTAATAATTAGCTTGTGTACAAAGTTCGTGAATATCACAAATTGAAAGGGATTGCTATTTTAAAAGTTAGCAATTAGGCCCTAGCTCTTGTACAAAAATATAGTGTATATTAATCTATAGATAATGTACTTTATTAGATGTCTAGCAACGTGACTGGAGAGGATTGTGCTTACATAGTGCAACGGCTACAACGCGTAGCATCTTTCATGCAACGTATCGTCGCGCCGAAGCATTCGGATGAACACGCTTCTCTTCACGCTCTCAAGCTATTCATTAGTAAGTATTTATAATTATATAGATAAAAATTTGACAAGATAATTGATGACAAATGAATTCATTCCGTACAGTCACATTATAGTTTAATAATATCTTGGTAATTGTTTTCATTATATGTATATTTCATTCTATGCCAGTGGTTTGGTTCACTCGGGCAAGATGTTAAAAGAGAATTTATTTTTTCAATGTAAAAATGATATTTCGAATACTTGAAATCTGTGTTACATATACAGGGTTAAGTTCATAGCTCAGTTCTAATTCTGCTATTAAAATCGTAAAGCATATAATATATGATTTGAATAGTAAAATGTAATAAAAAAAATTTATTTCATACCATCAATATAAAAAAGCTAATGATGGACTGCCAAATTCGAGTCTGCAATTGGCCATCGACGAAGCGACTGTTAGGTTTCATTTCAATGAGCGAAACATTATCCCACGATCGTCACCGATAGCAATAGATTTCAACTTGTGGGTGACACGTGATAGTCATCATCATTATCATAATTTTATGATGTTAGCTATCTATTCTTGTGAGCATTCTGGTGTTTTACAAATAACCCTGTATAAAAAAATAAATATTAGACAACATCACATATCAGATCTCAGATTCCAAGATGAATAGCTAAAGACTCCGTATTATAGAGTATCCGAGACAACGAAGGTATTACAACACCCACACCTGAGACAATGTAGAAAAGTTCAATTTAAACATTGACCCTTCCGGGAATCCAACGCCGGACCTCAGAGATGGCAGCACATTGAAACATGCGTGCGAACCATTAGGCTCGGAGGTCGTCAAATATTACTATTTACATATTTAAAAATGATACCATAATTTTTCATTTATACAGCTATGGCTATCGAAATGCTGAGTCTTTGGAAAGTGTTGTGTGAACACCAGTTCCATATGATTGCGGCCAATCTACCGCCGGAGCAACAGACTGCCTTACAAGCTGCCAGCTTTAGGTAAGTTTAGTAACTTTCTCTAATTTTATGAATAAAAATACAACCTTAAGTATAAAACCACATGAATGAAATTAAATGAGACTGTTTCTTCGCCCGCGTAATTTATTTAAATGGTTGATGTAACTTCCCGTAGGTGTAAGAATTTTCATGGTCGGATCAGCGTTTCCGAAGAATACCCCTCTTTATAACTGATTGACTTGGAGAGAATGCTGTATGGCATTTAGTCCGCCATTTACGAATTTCTAATAAAGATTAAATAAATAAATAATATTGGCGTTGATTGAGTAAAGAGACATTTTTTGATGAACTTCCAATATATAATAATTCGTTTTAAGGGAATTACTGGTTGGCGGTCAAGAAGTGGCATGCCTCCTTCTCGGGTCCTTAGTAGCCGGATACTTGCGCGATAATGCATCTGTAGATGGCATATCGCAGAAGCTAAGACAACTTTGTCCTACGCTATATCGACAGGAAGATGCGACCTGTTCGAAGGTGAGAAATAACTTAATTTTTAAAGATTTACTTATTTTTATTACTAGCTGTGCCTTCGTCCGCGTGGAATATAACCTAATTAACTCCTTATTACATAAGCTATATGCCAGTTAAAGACCAGTCAAAGTCAGTCCAGCCATTTGAGTGATTAGCCGGAACAAATGGACAAAAAATTTAAAATTATATCTATCAAATATATGGTATACATACATATGCATTTGGTAAAAACCAGTTAATTTAATATTACAAACAGACACTCCAATTTTATTTATTTGTATGTACAGATAATTTTGTCTACTCTACGAGATGGATGGACTTTTATGATTAATTTGTTTTGATCTTTTTTAGGCCAATGAACTCTTAATGTTTGCAAAACAACAAAAGAATCCAGCTGAGAAGGAAGAAATGCTACAGCATGCTTTGAAATTATGCAAGGTATAATATAAAATAAGTATATTCTATAAATTACCGGTATATGCTTTAGCTCATTTAGAGTCCTAAACATAAACAGTGTTATTATTAAACAAGGTTTAGCGTTGAAAAAATTTATGCTGAGACTGGACTTAGTATTAGTGAAAATTTATATTATTTAACAGAGACTTAGTAAAGGTTAACCTAGTACGAGGTTCTACGGGAGTAATATTTACTCCTAGAAGATAATAGGTTTGTTTATTCCCCGTATAATATGAATTTGGATCAATTCTAAAATTGCAATTTTAGCGTAAATTTACTCTGACGCTAAACCTTGTTTATTAATAGCACTGAAAGTGTAAACATTGCCTTCAATCTTCAAGGATTTTGATATAATAGACAGATATACATAAAATATTATTTCAGGACGTCGCTCCGAATGTAAATTTGCCTCTAGTGTGTTCTAAACTTGTATCGGCTGGGTTCTATTCCGGAGTTGTGGAACTGTGTGTGGCGTGCGCCACTAAAATAGACCCCCAGGACAAAGCGCTCCACTATTACTATAGTGATCAACCCGCGCAGGATCGCGATGGTCATTTGGCATATTATAGAAGGTATAAAAATTATCCTATATATCTAGCTTTTCAAATTCTTATTATTATATAACAAAAACTGTAACACCTGCAAATATATGTGTTACAAAAGTAGAACGTGAAGCTTTCTTAGTACTACAATATCGGTTGCTGTAGCTCCAAATCTTATTAATCTTGTTCAGATATATATCGGAACAAGATTAATATATATAAACTAATGCCAGAGTTACTCGAGGTTAGTTTTAAAAGCTAGTAAGATAAGCGACTCACGACGCTAACTTAATTATCTTTTCACAGTTTACTAGCCTAGAAAATAAACTACTTCTGTATACATGAAAATAGAGGCACTAGCACTAGATTGCTGATCCTGGCTTGAAGAATTACATTTCTGTACATCGGGCTTTAATATTAAACAGTTCAATATATTTTAACGGATTCCACGCATGATGAAAGAAAGACAACGGATTTTAATGCGGTTTTTTATCTATATACAAAGTGATTCAAGAAGGTTTATAATTGTATAAAATACAGGACCACGCAGGCGAAGCCGCAGACGAAGAGTTATATTTCTAATATTCATTTATATTTTAGGATGGAAATATACCGTGAAGTGTGCAACGCGTTAGAGCGTCTATATGAGCGTAGTTCCGATACTAGCAGCGAACTGTCGCCTTTGCGGTCACAGTCACAGTCTGCGTCAGAGACTATGCTCACGCTGTCGCCTGCCGATGCTAACTATCAAGTAAGATAACTGTCCCATTTACGTGTTCTAAAGAATCGCGTCCAATTTTTACCTAAAAATTTACTAATACGCCTAATGATATATCTCGATATATAGTTTATTTTTTACTTATTTCTTATCGGAAAATTAAATCTTAAAATCAAGCCTGGATAAAAATTGCGAGGCTGATAATTATTTTTAAATAGTGCTGTGATAACTACCTGAATGCGATTTGGACCCTAAAATAACGGTTTGCTACACTACCCCAATGCGATTTTGACCCAGTGACAGTTTGCTACGTTTTGTTTTATCTATTACCTCGTAAAAATATTCTTTCAACATAAGGTAAAAAAGTGGACATTGACATTTCCATTTAGATTTATTTCCATATTTTCGAGTCAAAACTTTAAAATTTTTTGATTTAAATGCATTAATTTTTAGAGTCACAATTATCTCGAGTTTTGACAGCTGCTATAAACTCACAAACATTATTTACAAATTATAAATATTCCTAGTCTCCAGATGAAAAAATTCTAAAATATTATTCTTCTTTAAGCATAAAGTAATTTAAACTATCACTAATGGTGGGTAGACACGCTCTTTAAAAAGAAATGTGACAAGTCAATATATAGAATGTGGACATGATTCTTTGTATTTGGAAAATAGTATATTGTGACTTTATTGACGCATATGGCCACTAATAAGCTATAGGCATCAGTACAGATGTTATATGCTAGCTTAAATTATACCTTTACTTCACTAGATATTTTTTTTAAACTATGTCAAAATAACCTGAATAATAATATGGTCCACAGTAACTTAGGCAAGTTACAATAGTCCAAATTTCTACAATCGATTTTAAGTCTTAATCTGTCAGTAGTTCACGTCATTTACATTATAAAAGAACAGGAAGATTTAAAATAAAATATACATCTTTTTTGATCATATTTAAAGTTATTTATTTTTTATTGTTCTTATATGATTATATTAATTGTTACAGGGTCGCAAACTAGTATGGGAATGTTTGTCTTGCGATGACGAACTACTACATGTCGCAGTGTACCAGTGGCTCGTCTCCAAACATTTGGGTTCAGGTAATCATAATAGGTGTTTTTACATCATTTCTAGCCTATTAATGTTCCCACTTCTGGGTCACAGACCTTCTAGGGAGAATGGTTCCATGACCCACGACACGGGCCCAATGTGTTTTGGTGGATGTTAAACGACAGCATATGCAGCCGGTACCAGTCTTAATGCGCTTTCTGGAGCACAGAAGAGCCCTACTTACTTTTAAAAATACGTTTGAATTCGATCTCAGTAAAGTAAAGTACTCAATATTTGCAACTTAGCTAACAATATCCCTAATTATACGTGTAATTATATTATGTATTTAAATACTTCTAGTTGAGTTTCTATTGGCCTAAGGCTGTCATTGACATATCGACCAACGAAATGGACCAAAAGAAATCGCCTAACGACCTATCTAAATGAGCTATTAAGGCACTAACGTCCGTGCACATTACTATAAGTAGGATTACTTTCCAGGCGGTTTATGGTCGATGCTGGCCGCTAATATTTTGAATTATCACTTTTTCCGCGTTTAAATTCGCATTATAAGTGATTTCCTTTGATGAATATTATTTTCCAATATACTCGAGAGTTTGAAGAATTACACCCAGGATTTCATTGAGCAACCGTGAGCTACTTCTGATCCCGCCATAAGAATACCTTGTGATGAAAACAAATAAAAAATAAAACAAAATGTTGTAGAACTACTGTCTCTGGGTACGGCACCGCCTCCATCGCTTCGCACTTATCTTCAGACTGCAGCTCGAAATGCGCCGCCCGCAACTGCCTTACATTTACTGGATCTATTGTGGAAGGTTCTGGAGAAATGTGGCGATCATCTCGCTGCTGCTAATGTGCTGGAAGGCCTGGCTACTAGACCCGGGTAAGTTTCTTCCATATAAATTTGATTTTTATATGAAATTTCATGTGTGTCACAAAAGGCTAAAAGTGATGTCAATCATAAAAGTTGTTTGGTTCTATTCATTTTTTATCCATAGATTTAGGATGTTTAATATGGTTGGATACGATACCATACGATAATTTTGTTAACTGTCTTTTCTTTCTACATGTGTTATGTAAATGTAATTCAGAATCTCGGTTGATTTACATACATATTACTACTACAATATATTACTAGTTTAATACAACATACTGTAACATGTGTTAGAATCTTGACGTGACGGGACTTGAAATTGGGGCGTCATTTATACTTCAATGAGTTTTTATAGTTCTGTATCCAAAGGATAAAAAGGGGAGCTTAAACATAAGACTCTGTTGTCCGTCTGTCTGCCACCAGGCTGTATCTCATGAACCTTACACGGTTTACGTTTACGGTTAGAAAGTTGACACAGATGACGAATTCCTGTTTCCGCTATAACAACAAATACATATTTAAAGGAGCTTCCATTCAACAAACATTTTTTTTTATTATTATTTCTTGTATGTGCGCGAGATCAACTCGCACTTGCCCGTTTTTTTTGTATTAACGAGACTGTTATTGTAATAGTACGGGCGCGAGTCTAGCTCAGCGTATGTCGTGGTTGTCGGCGGGCGTGGTATGCGTGCGGGGGGCGGGCGCGGGCGGCGCGGGGGGCGGGGAGCTGCTCCGCCGCTTGGAGGAGGCGGGGGAGGTGGCGCGCGTGCAGGCGTGCGTGCGCGCCGCCGCCGCAGCGCTGCCGAGGGCGCTGCAGCCGCCGCCTAATGCGCTGCAGCGGCTAGACGACGAGCTGCTAGAAATCACGCAGGTAATACGGGTGTAGACAGTAAACGAAAATAAATTAATATATTCGTTTTTATCTACACTCAAATAGAAAAATTCGAATTACGAATTCACAGATGATTTTATACATACGCACTTTATAAACGCAAATACGAGGGTCAAAATGAAAGTTCTTAGAAAATCAAAAACTGATTACATTAGCCAGTTATTAGTTTTATTATATCTTTTCAAAATATTGTCCATTCACGTCAATACACCGCTGCATGCGATGGAACCACTGGGAAAAGCACTTTGCCCACTCGTCCTTAGGGGTCTCTTCAATGGCATCGCGATACGCAGCCACCGCTTCTTCAGCATTCATAAACCGCTTTCCTTTAAGTTTTCTTTAATTTTTGGAAATAAATAAAAATCACAAGGCGCGAGGTCGGGGCTATACGGCGGGTGACCCAGTAATTCAACGTTTGATGTCGCCAAATAGTCGATCGTTCGCTTGGCGGTGTGCGACGAGGCGTTGTCGTGGTGAAGGAGGATCCTACTGCGAGGTCGTTTCTCTCGAACTTTTTCCAAGACAAGTGGCAAACAATTGGTAGTGTACCATTCTGCAGAAACTGTTTTTTGATCCTCTAACACAATTGTTGCAAAATGACCTATCCTTCCAAAGAACGAGGCCACCATTTTTTTTCCCGCACTTCGATCTCTCTTCACTTTAGTTGGCAACTCCTCGAAAGGAAACACCCACTGAGCAGATTGTCTTTTGGTTTTAGGATCATAACAGTAAATCCAGCTTTTGTCACCTGTTAGTATGTCGAACACAGCATTTGAGTCACCTCCGTTAAATCTTTCAATCATTTTACGACACCAATCCACACGATGGAGTTTTTGAGCCTCAGTCAAATTATGAGGTATCCACCGGGCGCAAAGCTTCCTGACCGCTAAATGTTCGTGGAGGATTTTGTGCACTTGACTCATACCGATGCCTAAGCTTGTCCGAATCTGTTGATAGGTCACTCTTTTGTCAGTCTCTATCATACGCCGCACAACACAGATGTTATCTTCAGTCGTCGCCGTAGAAGGCCGTCCCTCACGTAAATCATCAGTGAGATTAGTGCGACCACGTTTAAACTCATTAAACCAGTTGTAAACAGTCGCACGAGATGGGGCTTCATCGTGAAAGGCCAATCGTAGTCTATCATAACTTTCTTGTTGACTTAAATGACATCGAAAGTCATAAAAAATCATTGCACGAAAATTTTCTCGTGTTAAATTCATGATGACGTGACACAGACAATTTTCAATTTGCCGCCAAATCGTAAAACAAATGACAAATGAATGAAATATATACTCAGTAATATTGGCAAAGAGTTATATTTTCAAATTTTAGAATTATTTTTTTATTATATTGTTTATAAGTGGCCAGTTCTAAGAACTTTCAGTTTGACCCTCGTACATAAAATTAAAAATGAAACTCGTTATAGTACCGCCAACTCTATCATAAAACTCATTGGTCTATGGTTTTAGGCTGAATATGAAAAAAATGGCGCATGCATGCGCAGTTCGAATTGTGAAAAAATGGCGCACGCATAAATTACTTCCTCGTAACCTTCCTAATTTGTTTGATTTCAATTTTTCCTATGAGTGAAAATAAAAGTAGTGTATGAAACTGCATATAACTTAGGTATTAAAACACTCGAGTCAACATATTATCTCATAAACAGATTCTCGTGTCTTAGTACCCCATCTTATATGACAGTTGCATAAACTACTATTTTCTGGTAGTGTTTAATGCTTATTATATTTATTATAATGTTGCTTAAACAAACATTTTACACTCGTCACTTAAACGCAAACAGCGCGTGACATCACCCTCCTCTTACTTACCTCAGAATTTTAAAAATTTAACCTTATTCATACGTAGAACGTTATTAGTTTGAGAGAGGCGTGATGTCGTAGCGATGCCATGGCAGAAAGTGGCGTTTTAACGGGAAATTTTAATAATGAGATTTATCATTAGATTTTCACTTATTCTATGAATGATACTTTATATATATATACTATCTTTGTTTATTTTCTTTTCTTGTTTATTATGGCCTGGGCTGCGACCATATCTAGCCATGATTCTAGCCATAGGATACGACATCTATGCGATGTTGTGTCTATATTTCGTTCCAATTTACTACTTTAATAGGTACTTTATTAACGACCAACAAATGTTAAAGAAAGATGATTATGGATCTGACAGCAGCGTCACTAAATTAGTAATTTATCATCTCAAATTTATCCACAGAAAATTCAAAGAAATAAGATAAAACGAAATACCACCGACGAAAAGATATCGTATCCTATCGTTAGAATCATGGCTAGCTAATTAAAGGCGGTCGCGGTCATTGTTGGATATATCCTTAAGAATTACATTTATTTCAGTAATTTATAACGCTCATTTAATATTGTTTCTGCCAGTTGTATGAAGAATACGCCGACCGTTACAACTTATGGGAGTGCAAATTAGCAATAGTGCAGTGTTCCGGGCATAATGATCCCCTTCTCGTTGAAAACATCTGGAGTAATATATTGGCGGAGGCAGAAGCGGCCGCAAGAAGTCTGACTACTGCCGATGAACGTATGACGTCAGTGCTCAGCAAACTAACCACACTGGGCAGGGAATATGTGAACACGGGACACTGTTTCCCATTATGTGAGTATACTAGGGCTTATTATTTATCATAAATATAAATTTAAATATATAAATTTATTTATCTAGTATATACAACATATAAAAAAAAAACATTATCTTCAAAAGACCGCGTTGACTAGGATGGACTTCTTAAGTTGAATCTAATCCGTCTTTCTCTCTGAGAAAACTATTTGTGAGCCATGAACACAAATTCAACGGTCCCGGGCTAACAACCCCCAGTTCAGAGGAAACAATTACCCTTTAGTCTCCCTTACTAGTTGTCTCTATAATACAGTATGAAAACATTCGTAATGTCATATAATCTTATTGAAAGCACTTAAATCTTCCGAAAAGACTCAAAACGTCCACGCATTCTTTAAATAATTAGAATATATGCTGCCTGATATGAGATCGACATTCATTTATTTTTGCAGATTTCATTGTACGACAATTGGAAATAATGAGCTGCAAACTGCAAGCCGACAAAAGTATGGTGTTCAGAACCATACTGAATATTGGCGTTTCATTAGAGCAAGTTCTAGAGATTTATATCAAGTAAGTCAAAACGACATTTCTAAGCCAACTTTTTTATCAATTCATAATGTAACGAAGGTGATAAATGGTATCGTGTCTGAAGTGCTGATAGTCTACATAAAAATAATTTTAATGTAATATTGGGAACATTTCAAATTCATGTCGAATTTCGTGTGGAAGTGGATTTCTGTACTGAGAGTTTTGTAAAGTTTTGTGACACACATTTTTAACTTTTCATTATGCAAATAATCATCGTATAAATTTATTTATATATTATAAACGCGGAGTGTATACATATGTCGTTCCCTCTTTTAATTTCCGATTTTAGTCGGTTAAAAACAAGGAAAAGAAAATGTATATATATTTTACATAATAAATAAAGAATTTCTCTTGTTGAAACTTTTATATTAACCAACGATGGCTTCTGAGACACAAATTTCTTAAATTCAGAAGCCAGTGTTTCATCAATATGTTTTCTGGTAATGCCGCAATAAAGATTTTCTTTTTCAAAGATTTTCATTTATAACCGACTAGCTGTGACTTTATCCGCGTGGAAAACAGCCCTAATCCTCCCCCTTATTGCATAAGTTATCTGCCAATGAAAGTCCCATCAAAATAGGTCCAGCCATTAGCCAGAACAAACAGACAGACTAATAATGTAAAGAAAAAATAAGCGCCGGTGCCCGCGATCGTTGTTATTAAGCAGCTTTCGCAAGAGTTGGGCTTAGGATGGGTGACTATAAAAAATATATTAGCTCGAATTACTCTGTGCTTTGTCAGGCATGTTAAGCCGTAGGTCCCAGCTGTATCTGCAGTTTGCGTTAATATCCACCAATTCGCATTGGGCCTGCGTGGAGGGTCATGGCCCATCCTTCTTAACCATTGTTAAGGGCAGATGATACCATGTTTACATACATAGGAATTTAGTGAAATATTTTATTTTAATATACACTTTATTTGCATAGATTGGTTAGTGTGAACGAGCGCGTATGGCTCGGTTGCGGTGACGAGACGCACGTGTGCGCGGTTGCCGCTCTGCTTTTGGACGCGGCCCGTAGCGAGTTGGCACCGTTGCACGCGGCCGCTCGCCGCCGCGCCCTCGCACGCTGCAAGGACCTGCACGAGGCAGCGCTTTCCTCGCTACAGGTGAGTACTGCGATGCCGCCGTTCTGCTATTCTACACTGATTGACGAGCTGGCATCGTTGCCATCCGCCTGGGATGGAGGCCTTCGGTGAGGAAACTTTTGGCACCGTGAACCCACTTGGCAGGTGAGCTGCCCAGTGGGTCCCCAGATACCCACCAAAACCCCTATGGTGCACCCTCTCGTCGTAGTAAATGGAACTTTAGTGCCGCAACTTTATAGGTTGTTGAGCCCTCACGTAGGAGAGTCCCACATACTTGTCGCTTGGAAGGCGGGTAGTGCCTAATGCATTTTCTCGGCGTAAAAAATAAAAGGTTGTCGACCCCTGCCTTAGACGAAAAGAAAAAGATACGCCGCTAGCTGGATAAATATTTATACATGATCCCTCATTATTTATATTTTGTTAATGTTTTTCTTTATTTACAGGCGCGGCCTAATACCCAACGCCTGATAGACAAACTTACTGTTGCACAGGCGCACTTAGATCGCATGGATTGAGTGAGTCTCTTCAAGGATTAGTTAATTCATTCAATTCCAGTAATTTAAGTTTATTTTGTAAAATCGTGTTAAGCTATTCCAGTAACAGGATTTTTGCTTAGAAACATTTTACAATTAACAATGTTATATTAGTAATCAAGCATAGTTTTCGAATCGTTTATAATCTCTGGGAAAATAAATTAAAATGACAGTTCACAATAATTTATTCCTAATAATTGTTATACATAGAAAACATTTGACTTTCAATATATAATATATAATAATTCTTAATTATCTATTGTGTAATAATACAATTGGTTGGCAGTGAAATATTTTTTCGATAAATACCAAAAGCAGTCTAACATTGTTTTAACATTATTTTAATCATGTGCATGTGAAACTGAGAAGATAAAAAAAAATAAGGCACTAGAAAGTCACTATGTAAAAGTTTCTATTTTTGTAAATAAATGATGATTGAAGTACATAATACGAGTTATCAATGAAAAAAAAAATGTATAGTTATAATTAAAATATTCATGAGATCTAAATGTAAAACGAACCTTAAATTCTAATATTCATATCCCCGATTCTTTAGCACTAGATTGGCAATTGAAAGTCGTGAAAATTCCACTCGGTTTCTGTGAATGAGACGTTGATTAATGACGTTGACGATATCGATGTTATGACGAGTCTTCACCGAACGGATTTGTACTTACCTGGGCTCTATTCTCATCTTCCGGGTAACTGTACACACTGTTATGTGCCGCACTAACAGTTGGCAGTCCGACCGTGTTCATAGGTGATATGACGTTACTATACTGTTGGTTCGCTTGAGATCGGGAATCTTTTCCCTTTTTTACTGTAGAGTAGGTAGGTGAAGATTTAGGCATGTCTCTTATGCGTGGACCTGGTCGATAGCTGCCGTATTCGTCTGGTGGAGGCGGTAGAGAGAACCCGTCTGAAGTCTGAGTTATCTCTGATGTTTCGTCGCTGAGTTCCTTTGCTAGTTTCTGTCTCATTTTCCTCGGCATTGTGTAGAATGTGTTCATCTGTATAGAGTGATATAGATTTTAACAAAATGTTTATATATAGAAAAAAAAAATTAGATAACATAGTTACATTGCTTTGCAGTGCTTTTCTGTTGATAAAAATACATTGTCGAACACAATGCTGTCACAGCATTAGAGATTCAATCAAATAAAACCTACTTCAAATGTAATAATAAAGATTTTGATTGAACTGCTAATACCAAGGTTGCAGTAGCTAAAAGAAAGGTCTTAGTCCTTGTGTTAGGTAAATTTGAAACAAGTAAAATAACCACATCATTCAGACCTAAAATTGTTTATAATTACACGATACATTTATTAAAAAAAAAAAAAAAAAAATTAACTTATCTGAACACCTATTAATATTTATATTGATTGAAAATCATGTTTAGCATTTAAAAAATACTCACGGGTCTAGAAACATTATAGTTGATTTCAGGCGGTAGTTGCATTACTAGGTGATCGCACAACGCATCCATCTCTTTCTTCCTGCTAATATTTTGCAGTGAATGCACCCTGCAATTTGCGCTGTGTCTGAATGTGTCGAACTTTGGCTCTTGCTCTGCCATATCGTTCATGTAACGAGCGGAGTGGAATGAACTGGTCCGTCGTACGTCAAAATTTTTCGACGGATATCTCGAAACCGCTCGCCGGAACGATTCTGTGCGTCTAACGTTGCATTCGCTGCCGTCGTCGCTGCCGTGAAATGTATCGCAGTTCGACTCTGTAATAATTATATATAGTTGGGAGACAGACCTTCGGGTGTCTATTAGAAAGAGAGGGAAGATCGAGATCGAGGTACCCTATTTCTTTCTTTACCTGCGCATGCGTAGTTAGCGTCAGCATAGAGAGAGATATGTATCGCGATAATCTTCCTCTTTCTAACCGAGAAACGTTTCCACTTATTTGCCTACTTTATCTATAACACTTATATGGTAATCTGAAGTTAAGGCGAGACGTCATGAATGCCTAGCTTTAGCTGTCAATGGGTAAGGATTAATAATTAATTTTCCATATTCATCAATAGTGGGGACGTAAAAGGGCTGGTGATGATGATGATGATGATTCATTTTTAACTTGGAAAATTTTAAATTCTTGGGTTTGTATTTAACTTGGAAAATTTTATTATTATACCTGAGTATCTTTGTGTTAGAAAATAATAATGGTAAAACTTGAACCTCTCTCTTAAATTAGGCATTTAAGGTATATTTATCTAACAGCTGGCATTATGAAATACAATGTCAATATATTCAAAATAAGAACATGAAATGTTTTCCACACCTTCGGTATTGTACGCGCATAGTGGCGGATCGCTAGTGTGGGGTAAGTGATGTCTATCAGTCCGCTCATGTGCGCACAACACTAGTCCACATGCCGCCAGCGCCACCAGTAGTACGCCGCCACATAACGCCAAAGTCAACGTAGTTATGTTCGTAACAGCGCTCTTTGGTGTGTCATCAGAATCTATGTACATATAATTTATTTATTCTTAACAGGGAATATGCGTCTGATTAAAGAAAGGGTTAAATATATCTTATTACGACCATTTTCTTTACAATAAAGTAGTTTACATAGTAAATATTTTACAACATTAGTTCGTGTTCGTCTTCAAAATAAATATTAAAAAAGTGCAAAAAATGCGGTAACTTCAAAATATTCTAACGCCATGCTACTTGTCAGAGCGAATGTGACGAAAATCTATACGTATAGGGGTTTTGTTGTTACAAAAGGTTAACGTCGATGCAATGACATCAATATATTATGTCGCAAAGTAACAGATTACAATTACAATTAAAATTACGTTTTAGGCTTTTATTTTTATTTCACCAATTTAGTAAACTATATCATTATTAAAAAAGTGTATTATACAGTTCTGACAGTTAGAATCCTCATTCTGACAGTTAGAATGAAGATTCAATGATGTGAGATGCACAACTAAAGGAAATCTCTATTACACAACATGAAAATTCAGGAATAATAATGTACACACGGCTGCCCGTTGGACTAACAGAATTTGTCTTTATGCAAAGGATTCTGTCTACCTTCAATTTGTTAAGTTTTAAGATTGGGTGGGGGAATTTTGTGTAACCTGACGAGACTTGACTGTACACCAGGGCCAACTTTTATACAAATCTCACTTGGGGGTCCGTAACTACATTATATTGGTTTGGTTGGTATCGAATTCAATCAAAATTCAATGTAGTGTTTATTTCATACGAGGTGGCTTCAAAAATGGTGACATCTTGAAACTGAAGTATGAATGAGCCCCTATCATTAGAAGTCGACAGTAATAATATCTTACCTGTTGGAATTTCATCAACAATATTGTTTTTGTCTATTTCAACTTCGCTGCTTTCTCCTTTATCATTTTGAGCTGTTATGACGAATTTATAGGTTTCTTCGCTTGGCTCGTGAATTAAGAACTTTGGTTCTATGTTACTTATCGATACTACCGACTTTTTGTTGTCGGTTGAAGATATTACAGCAAAATTAAATTTCTAAAATAAGAAAAGAATCAATATAAGTACCATATCTCAACACGAGGGTTTTAGCTCCTTATTTCGGAATCTAATTAATTATATATGTACACAAATGCCCAAAATATTCGTTAATAAGGAACCTTAGACAAGTGTCAATATAATGCAAATGCATTACCTAATGTAATGCTTTATTAATCAAAATTATTGGATTACGACATTAATAAAAACAAAGAAAAAGCAAGTTGATAATTGATTGTTAAAAATAAAATTGTTTTATAGATATCTATATATATTGGCAAAAGGTCTTTAGGGCTTTGAACTTAAAATTTAACTAGGCATATGGAATTTTTGATACTTTTGTATTATAATAAAACTTCACCTGAGACAAACCGCCGTCATAACCTTTCTCGCATGAAACTATGATATCCTTAACAGCGTTTCGCGTAGCGACGCAGTTGTAAGGTGGTCGTGGAATCGTTTCGTCTGTTATCAAATAAACGCATGGTGTGTGTGATAATCCACTGCTAGGCACACCATTAAGACCCCAACAAAACACTGTACCTGCAAAACGTTCTATTGTGAATTACGGGATATAACTGACCACGCGGTCCCAGTTCTATATATATGTATTTAGTTGCTTTCCATGGATCCAGTGGTCATAGTTTGTCACCGTGGATCAGCTGATCTCAGTTGTCGATAGCACCCAACAATAGGTGCTATTAACTGCAAAGGCAGCTGTGGACTATGGCTGCAAATTGCGATAGTGCCTAATGCAAAAAAGGCTGCAAATTGATAATGCACTAGACCGCCATTTTGTTGACCAGTCAGTACCTTTAGCAAATAAACACTACCTGGCGAGTATGCACATTGAGCTGGGTTATTTTGTGACCACACACTATTATTTTTGTTTTTATTCTATTGTTATTGTTTTGTTGTTATAAGCGCTAAAAATTTACTGGATATATATGAAAAATTACTCGCGTTCGAAGGCTATTTACTGACGTCTGGAGTGTACATGAACGCAATGACCTGTGGCAAAAACAAGCTAAATTTTATCCTTTAAAATACTTACTATAAGGAACACCACTAGGTCTTTGGTAAAGTAAAGTAGGTTCATCCGTTTCCAGAGTTTCTTGTGCGACAGTCTGAAGAGTGTTTATGGTGACGGAAGAGTTAGCTAGGACCCATCGGTATGTACTAGGCGTTGGATTACCGTTCACGTTACATGTTATATTCAAAAACTCGTCTTCGCCCAGCCCAAATTCGGTAATACCTTCATCCTCGCAAAGAGCGGGATCTGTAATAGATAAAACTTAAAATCCCTGGTCGCCTTTAATATTACTTTTATAAGGAGGCTTTAGAACCATGCAGAAATTTCTCCAAGCATAACTGGACCAGGACGCTCGTAAAAAATACAGTAAGTCAATAATAATCACTTATCCATATTTTTATTAAGATATGTTATGTTTATTATTATTCTTTACTTTTTTAATATATTTACATCAAATTTGCTTAAAATATCGTTATTTCATCATTGGATAAAAATTTGAATAAATGAATTGAACGCAACTCTGCAAGTCAATGTATAGTTGGCTGCACACCAGACAAAACAAAACAATCACATTTTCCCGCTCTATTTTAAACCTTAATATATTGAGGGTAGAGGTCAAAATCTATTGCAGAAATTTGACACATATTTTTTTCTTAATTAAAATCCACTTTGTCCCTAGCACTTTCATATGAGGGGTATAAAAGCAAAGGCGCTTCAGTCACAAAATTCCTAGACTGACAAACCGCAAATTTCCACTGTGTCGTAATAAATTGTATTTTTTATCAGAATCCGATGTTGGTACATTCAATAGAATACATTAATCAAATAACAATAATCAAAAGAAATAAAATATACATAAATTCTTTATAATTTAAGAAATAATGTAGGACTGAGGTGTTTTTGCATTTAAGCGTTGGACTAAAGCATGTTTGCTTTTCATTGCTTTGGATCGAAGCGAATTTGCATGTCACTATTTAATTCGTCAAATGTCAATAAATGGCGGTACCGATTGCAAAATAATACAATGTTTTACAAGATTATGAATTTAATTAATTTTGTTAACAAATTAGTTACAGGTACTTAAAATCAGGACATCATATTGTATTATAATTATTTATGAAAAGTAAAGATAAAATATTATTCTTGCGCATGTAAAAAATGTAAAAAAAACTAACAATTAAATCATAGTATTTGAATCCGTTGTGGGTGGATCGCAGATAGGCTCATCCTCTTGAACTGAATCACTGTTATTATTATTCAAAATATTATTGTAATATTGGAGTTTATTAAGATTTTCCCACTGCGGTCCATAGTGTTTCTCCAACAATTTCCTCACATCATTTTTTTTCTCTGCTTCTAATGCCACATTATTTTTTGGAAGTGGCAATGGCAGAACATCCTTGAAAGATTTCCCTCTTTTTAGAATGGATTTTAATTGGGTAAAGTCAGATGTTTAATGGAGTTCCCCTTTAACTTTTACCTTATTACCAATCCTACTTATAAAAAAACGCTTACTTTGCGCAAATTGAAAATGCCACTGACCAGGCGGTTTAATAATATCCTGTAGGGCAGATATCCAGTCATAAACCATCTCCATGTTGATAACCGTCGAATTTTTTAGCCTTATGTTTGTGAATTTTTTTTTTTATCATGTACTTTGCTTTAACTGATGAATTTTGTTCAGTCTTAATTTGTTCGTCCAGTTCAGTACATTTCGAGCAAACATCAGTTCTTGGGTTACAAAATCCTAGATTATAATGCGTATTAAAAATTCTTCAAAAATAACACTGCTTTACAGAATCCATTGCTTGTTTATTAAACATTTGCCACATTTTTTTAATGTTTAATGTCGAATCTAAATATTTCCTTTCGGTAGAAGACAAGCAATAGTGAGACTCAATACACTTAAAGGATTCAATAAATGTTTTAACTTCCTGTAGTTAGTGGACATTTTTATGTGATGTGTGACTTCCCTCTCTATTTTCTTTTACGAGACCACCAGTTGTTTTATAAATTTCCGCTACCCTGCTGATTCTATTCCGCGGTATTTGCAATATGCCCAAAAAAGTTGATTGGCAAACGTGGAGCAAGTTATTAGAATTCCGAAATAATTTCGTGGAGTAGTTTGCCTGGCGTGCTGGCCCCTGTGTTCCTAGCCTGGGACGACGACGTTGAACATCAGCTACTTCACAATATTTTAAAAGAAAAGCATCTTGACCTTCTTTTGATTTATTAGCATAAAAAGCATCATGAAAATATTTAGCATTAGTCAAACTTATATTTTTGCAGTCGTAAATATTTTTTTTGTTGTGCTGACATGCAGGTGTGGGAGATCTTTAGCAGAGTACCTTAAGCAAATGAAAATAAAACCCATTACCAAAAGCAGAAAAAAACTGTTCAGTATAGCGCGAATAAAATGTTAGTACGTTAGGTGCTTTTACAATTAATTTAAAGAAAATTGAAATAAAATTTAGAAGAAGCAAACCCTACTTTACCTTTTTATAACGGCCAAAATATTAGTAAATTGTTTGTTACCTTTCTGCTTTTTCCTTCACTCTTCGCCACTGACTTTTATTTACCAGACATTTCCGTACTCGTCCTGCACATGCTGGTGTAATGTTTTCTTCCATTACAATAAGTTATTTAATAAAAAACACAAATTAAACACGCGCTATGCTCAATCAACTTACTATGAAAAGTAACTAATTCGCCATCTTAGAAATTTTGAAATGGCTGCTTCTGGTTGGTTGATTGTGATCGAGGCGGATTTGCTCCTAACAAATTTTGAATCGAAGCGGTTTTGCATCTAAACGCTACTTTCTAAGTGAATTTTATGTAAGATTGAGGTGGATTTGTATGGTGCCGATTATAATATATTTTAGCATTTTTTTATCGCTACAATTTGGTGTGCTCAGTGTAAAAATCAACATTTTTGGACTGAAGCGCTTTTGCTTCTATACCCCTCATATTGGACTCGAACTCATGACCTTTCGCAATTCGGGCGACTGCTCTAATCACTGAGCTAGCCAGAATCCAACAGGACTGACAAAGTTTTCACTTGTTACTTTTTCGCTACTACAGAGCGTATTTTTCATCAATGTTCAGGTAATCTACCCAAACAGACGAAAGCAATATCCATACAAATATTTAAACTTTCGATAAAGATGAAAATCTTGTTCTTATTATTTTATTTGAACAATCTTGCATTCACAATGCTAAACTGAAAAATGCTAAAAAAACCCCTTTGGTCCTGGCACTCTTGACTCAAATCGATGGGACTCATGAGTTCATGGGTTCGAGTCTACTACTAATATTATTAAATAATAAGAGTTAGTTTCTGATCTTGTTTGTAGTGGACAATCTTCGAAACACTGATCAGATCGTGAGCACTATTTTACCTACAGGAAGCGACATCATACGCGATTGCTTTAGGCTATAATTTACGCGAGTGAAGTCGTGGGAAAGCAGCTAGTTTTGATATAAGTAAGGATTCTGCTCACATGTGACGTCAATAACGATAGGTTCGCTGTATGCTGTTCCCTCCGCGTTAGTTGCCTCGCAAGCATACTCTCCTGCCATTTCCTCCGTGACATTAGGCACCACAAGTGTAGGAGTCACTTCATTCGACGTGTACTTTGCGAATATGTCATCCTAAACACAAGAAGATATTATTATTAGTGAAAACTATCTTATGCCCAATAAATAAACACTAACCCTAATGGCTAATTTACGTGTAAATCAGTTATTAAGTAGTAAGTAGATGTTTAACTTAATTATAAGTGATTAAAAAAAATTAAGTACATGTAAACACACAAATAAGCAATAAGTTAAAATTTAATTCTTATTAAGCTCGTAAGTAGTTAACTAAATTTTAACTTGCTACTTAGTACTTATGTTTACACTTACTTAAATTATTCAATTAATCTGCTATTGGTTAACTTCAAAATAGTTTGCAGTTTTTTTTTATGCTGCAGAGTGCAACACATTATTAGAACCATGGTATGTCTTTAGCTTTTTTGATAACCTTTGATAAAAACTGAAAAGTGATTTGTTTGCGGTTAAATAAAGTTCAGTAAGTTTCAACTAATATGATACATGGTCAATCTTCGAATGCGCAGAGCAATTCTACAAATTCTGACGATGGTCGAACATATGATCAAAATTTATAGTGAGCCTTCTTTCAGTAAACATAAGGTGTAAAATACAATGTATTAGGTTTCCATATCACTCATACTCAGAAGGAGTAAGACCCATGGATAGTGGTGAATCGCCCAATGGCGTAATACTTGAATCATTCTGATTGGCCGAAATTTGCCGTGCTTCGTTTAGCCTTCTACGCCATTCATCAATGAGCCACAATAGTTGTATCTGTACAGTGACCATTAGATCTAGATTCTAAATAGGAACGTATCAACTATACCTGGTGATACCACATTAGTCTATCGACGGTCGGATTTGCTTGATAACTACAATTCATTGTGACGTCAGATCCTTTAACTACTGTCATGGTGTTGTTGAGTAAATCATTCTCTACGACAATTTGTACAGTTGGTGGATCTGAAAGTAAAGATAAAATAGACTTTATAAAATAGGTATATTTGGCGGAAGATGCGTCGCATAATGTCTATCTTAGAACATCATAACATACTATTGGGATGTTGCCTACAAGCGAAAAATAATATGGTTTATCGGAAAATTTGAAACGTAATTTTTTTTTTATAAATGTTTTACAAAAACTGTTATACAACACTAATTTGGAAACTATAACGCCGTGCATACTTGAAATAAAAAGAAAAAAATATATAACAAAAAATGCTAAATTATAATTATTATTATATTTGACCAATTTTTGCATTCTTTAAAAAACCAATTTGTCCCTAGTAGACTCGAACCGTTGACCAACTATAAATATAAACGTACAAATAATAATAAGGATATTTCTACTATTTTTCAAACATCATTTTTTAGCCTGTACAGAGGTGTAAACACCTTTTTTTTATCTTTTTTAGTTCTTAAACTAACATACTAACTATTTATTTATAAAATATGTAAAACGGTAGCTAACTAGTCAATTATATGATATAACATTTAACTTTGTGAGTATTAATTACTGCAGAAGATCGACCGCGCGGTGTTGAGCGCGTTCAGTCTGCGATGCGGTAGCGAAGCGATTTTCGCAAGGGCCAGTTATTGGATGGGGGACGTAAACACTATCTTGAAGGCACGCTAAGCCGTTGGTCCCGGGTCCAATGGTGAATCATGGCCGTCTCCATACAATTCTATACACAGAGAAGGCCTGTGGCCTAAAAGTGCAGGCATTAATAGGCAGGTAATGAATAACTGCATATGCAGCTAGGACAATGACTTAAAATTCCAAAGCACGGAGGAGATCTCAAGATGATATTTTTTTGCTAACCCATCCTTTGGCTGACCTTTACAAAACTCGCTTAGCCTTTGTAATCACAGAAGGCATACACTAACTAACACGCCATTTTAGCACGTTATAAATGGTATACTTACACAACACAACAATATGTAGCGGCTGCGCACAGAGATACCTTTTCTCTTCGCCTCTATTATACATCTCTGCACAACAAGTCACTCGGGACTCATCGTACTCCGGGCCCAATCTCAACTGAATCTCGCTCACTAATAATCGCTGAGATCTTTCAGTCTAAAAATATACATAATAGAGTTATTGAAAGTGTTCAATTTAAAATGCGATACTTATATTTAATAAAAAATATATATTTAATAATTAGGTACACACAATCGTTATTGTGTAAAAGACATTGGGATAAAATCAGTCTCAAAGGGCCCTATTACTTTTATTTGAATCTTTGAAGATACGATAAGTTATGTGTTATAACAATATTTTAGTAGCAACTATCTTTGGCAGTGTCGGATTAGCCCATTAACAAAATTGGAGTGTGTTTGATGGCACCAAAACAGGAACTAAGAAAATAATTGCTAGCTAGATTTTTAAAACATCTATTCAAGACGTGGGCTCCACCGGGCGACGTGGTATCAATTAGTATGCTAAAAATTCTATCTCTGATCGTCTACGTTTGGAAAAGGGGTAGCTTGCTCAAAATAGTTTGGAAAATCTCTGCTTTATAGACTTCATTATGCTTTTAAAAAACTAAATTTCTTGTATTTTGTAATAAAGACAGGATGATAAAACTATTTGTCAATGGCAATTAGTGGTATTGGTTTATTTTGGAAAAGTTATCTCAAAAAAGTTTCAAAATCTTTTTCAAACTTTTGGTAAACTTACCAATTACATAATTTCTTCCATGCACTATACGGAAAAATACCATATTAACATATAATTATAGACTCACTGTTATGTTTTGTTGTAATGTAGAGAGCTGATTATCGTCTATTCTCCATTCAACTGGCGGCGGCGGTCTCGCTCCCAACACGCGGCATTGTAGTTCCAACGGTTCACCGGACCGTACCCGTCCTGATGCACTCAAGTCATTGGACGAACCGCGTAAAGAAACTAATTCCGGTGACACTGAAATAATAAATAAAAAATCTAGACAATTCAATCATGCAATTGAATGATGGTTCAATTGCACGATTGAATTTTCTATATTTCGATTTTTTTCGGGTTCGAATCTAGTCTATACCAAATGAGATTTTTAAAAGTATTAATAGATCATAGAATATACAGAAAATATATCATAGAATCAGTTTATATGAGTCACCACCGTTGAAGCCAATCTTAGCATATATTAGAACCAGTAGTGGTACAGACGAACATTATCCGTTTTATAATAAAACGAGTACTAAGTTTAATACCAGGTTTAAACCATTAACCGACCAAAATAAGTAAACACGTCTCGATCTGTCGTTTTCTGTTACTTTCAGTTTGCTTTGGGCAACCAATGGTTTAAACTAAACACTAACTTCTTTACCAATCCGCGTTCCAACTACTTTACTAGTCTGCATTTTATATTAAGAAGGTACGGGTTATGACTTTTATTGATGATGAGAGATGAAATTTTATATTTTTCTACTTCGTTAGTAAATAATTACTCTATCGATACGCCTTCATCTGTCTCTATTCACCTCATTGATTAAGTCCCCTGAATTTCATGACAGCCTATATAAATTCTATTTAATATCAAACTTCTAATAATTTCGTCGGAACCCCCAACATGTGACTATAATTACAGTCTGAATATAGTAACATCACTAACAGTGCATGTTGATGGTGACGTCAATGGCGAGTGGTCTGGTATGTTTGTTATTAGACGCGTAGCATGTTAGAACCAGCCCGTGGTCTTCACGTTCCAGCGGTCCGTACATTACATCGCTGCGGACCCGCTCTAGAGACAGTGGCGTCGATGTTTCTTTCAGCAGACGTTTCTCGATCCACCAAGATAACGACGGTTGAGGTTTGCCTGCATAGAAAATAACGATATATGCATTTCTGTAGGTTGTAGGTAATTGCATTAATGTGTAGACTACGAAATTAGCTACTTAACAATAATCAATATATTATGAAATATTTTGGAAATGGTAACTTATATGTAAATAATAGCTATGTAGTATTTTTGTTTTAAAATTGTAAGTATATGTATTTTATTTTTGCAAAATCAACTTGTGATTTATAGTCTAGATTACAAGAACCGAAACGCGGGCGGCCTTGACATATCATCGTGTGACGTCACATTTAGATAAACTAAACATCAATGTCGTTGTTGCGAGTGCAACGAGTTTATTGAAATGTGACGTCATGGCTCGAAATGTCACGAGACTGATTGTTTTCGCAGGGAAATTTAAAATAGTGAATAAAAATATGTTTTCCTTAACACTTTTTGGTAAAAAATATATCTTGATAGTGGTTTAATATAGTCATGAAAGTTTTGAAATACTTTTCACAAATCAGTCAAATAGCAATTTTTTTTTATATGTTACGTAATCATCCTTGAGCGGTTAATAGATTTAAAAAAAACTTATACACTGTAAAGAAAGAAAAATCGCAAGAACAAATATACTTCAATAATATATGGATATTATATAAGAAGTAAGTATTTCGGTGGCGTAGCTGATCAGCGCCGCGGCCCGCGATCGTGGTTATTAATCAACTTTCGCAAGGGTCGATTACGGGTTGGGTGACTAAAAATTATTATCTCGAGCTACTCCGTGCTTCGGAAGGCACGTTAAGCCGCTGGTCCCAGCTGCGTCTGCAATTAATACCCTCCAATCCACATTACGCCCGCGTGGAGGGTCATGGTCCATCCTCCTTAGCCATCCATAAGGAAGGCCTGAGCCCCTGCAGTGTGGATGTAACAGGGCTGATGATGATGATGAGACATTAAGGGCACGATTGGACGAGTGGTAGGCGCTGGCTAGATAGCGCATATTTGTTCTTAATTAATATTTAATTTTAAACTCTATTGACTAGGCGACACAACACCTTGATTATCACGTTAAAAGCAAATTATAATTCTTTTGCTGTTCTTATTCATAGCAAACTTTGTGATATTTCATATCTATGAGGGAATTTTGAAGTAACAAGTGAATTTACCTCCAAAAGAGATGCAGAATAAATGAACTGTGTCTCCGACAAAATAAGGTCCAATGGTCCCACTCGTATTTTTATCCTTAGAAGCAACCCCGAGTCTCGTACCGTTTTCATGCACCAACCACAAATATTCTGGAGGATCTGTCAAAAACGGATCGTAGTAATAAAATTAATTTTAACACTTAGGGTCGGTGCAAATCCGACTGAATATCCGTCAAGTGTAAGTGTAAATGTAATAAGTAGGTACTTATCTAAAATGTAATTAGTTAAGAAACTTCATTTGAAGTCTGATATTTGTGTACTCGTAGATTATTAATATCATCCACCTGATTTCAAAATTTTTTTGAATAAATTAACCGCCTTTGAGATGTGAGCATTTTTTAATTTTCACTTTTTGAAATCTCTTTTACTTTTGTGTCTATTTCTTTTTAAGTTTTTTGTTCAAGGGACCTACCGATATATTTTTTATTTTAGATATATGGGGCGTGAATGTTACAGCAAAAATACAATTTGAAATCTCATATATCTGATTTAATATTTTTTATAAATATATAGGTCATTTATTTATAACCACATATAATATAATGACGTGATGTTGAAGTCGTGGTAATTGTTTAATAGCTGAAGTGAATTGTTCCGGCGCGGCTTCCTCATTAGTGGGCAGCCAATTAACTAGCACCAACAGTTTCGTTGCATAGGTAAACAGTTCGCGCGTCAATTAATACACCCTTTGTTTTGTTTAATAGTTATTTGGTAAATAAGTAAAAAAAATTATAATAAATTCTTCCAAGGAGAGTATAACGAATGGTGATACTATTAATGATATAACTGGGTTATGTGAATGGTAGATATGTGTGAATTTTTTTTGAAGACATTTTAAATGAAGATATATAGAATAAGAACTACATATTTCTTATAAATATTGATTTTGAGGTATTAAGGAAGACTAAGTTCAGTTCTTAATTTGTTCACAAAATAGATGAATTAGTCGTGGAGATTCGCGGAGGTTCGAGCTTGTATTAAGTATTTTGGCCTACAGAATGCGAACCGATAAAATGTGAAAAATCTTGAAAATTAGGATTTCGTGTTGTAAATAAAAACTAAATTAAAATAATATGGATCTCTGCAAATCAAAGGATATATTTTGTTTTATATTTATATTTTTCAGTTTAGGCGTTTCGCGACCGACTATAGGGATGATGACTAATTTTTGTTTATTTGTCCGTCAGGTAGAGTGTTAAAAAATATTAAACACGTTTTTTTTTTGTAATCATAAAATTACGGCGTTACATTGAGTTGAAATTTCGCATGACGTCACGTTAGAGTACGTTTTCTACTCAACTGTGAATGTGATGTAGCGAGCCCCCACTTCTCAACTTTAATACCTGTTATCTAAGCTATTTCTTGTTAAATTGAAGTAAAAAAAAAATACGTATCTAATATTTTTCTATTATCTGACTGACGGACTAAATAGAATTGCATTTTTTTACCCACTCGTCATCCCTATTATACGACGCATTAGATATGCACCGACCTTAACTTTATAAACAATGTCTCAGCTTACCTATAACTTTGAGTTGCACATATGTTTTCATGGAAGGGCTCGAAGAAAGGTCAACATGACACATATAGACACCAGCGTCGCTCGATTTGACAGCCGCAATCCTCAACATTACCATGTCTTCGGCGCGTACCAGTTGATAGCGACCAGATTTTGTGCTTCCGCCCTCATCGGAGCGGAAGTCGCGACTGCTGATGCAAAAATAAAGCAGGGATCACATCTGTAGTTCGCAAGCCGATTATAGATTTTATAATAAAACTCATAGGTAAGTCGATAAAAATGCACGATTAGGTACAACAATAAGTATGTCGAATTTCCTAAATTGATTTTGAACTCTACATGTATTGAATTAAGGTTTAAAATGAATAAGACGGAGGTCAGTTTTGTATAGCTGGATGTGATATTGACTGTACGTACATAGTGATTTGTGATTAAATATGACAAGTGTACGTGTAAGGTACTTAGATCATGTTAGTGTAGAAACTAAAACAAATGTAGTTTACCCTGAATTGATTTCAGTGTGTTAGTCTTTTGTTTATTTATATAATGACAACTAACTGTGTGCAGCTAAGTATCAAACAGCCAGTTGCACAAACGTTCATTAAAATTTTCATTAGTTTAAAGCTACATTACCCATACAAATTTGACATTCACTAGAGCTTTAAGGCGTTATTAAACCTTAACGTACGTTTGTGCAACAGACCGTAAGTATATCAGAAGGTTAAACTAAAATGAAACGAAGTATACGATAGCGGGCGCGCCATGACAACTGATTTTATTTCAAGTCAACTGTACTTAGTGCTAACTAGGAATAATATGAATTTACAAATGTGTCCTACACAAAAAATATAATATAAATATTCCCATGATTTTTACCGGAATATGTCAAATTTCTCCCTTTGATTTTAAACTACCCTCAAAACGTTAAGGTTTAAAATCAATTGGAGAATTGACAGATTTCTATAACGTGACGTATTGTTGACGGTACTTTACATCTGTTTGTGTACATAAGTAGGTACCTGTAAAAAGAAGTGGACGATCCGTCTTTGTACCAGGCGAGGATGTCCAGCTTGTCCCCTTCTTCTGTTGTAGTAACATTGCAGGGCAGCTCAGCAGTTTCGCCAACCACAGACTCCACTTTACAAAGTAAAACATTACTTACTTCTCATAAGTTTGTCATCAGAGAGTAGTTCAATGACGCAGGAGTTAACGCGCTCGGACTGCGATACGGTTATTATGCACTTTTCGCAGTGGCTGCTCATTGGATTGGATGGGTGACCAAAAATTAATTATCACAAGGTCCTCTGTGTTTCGGAAGGAACGTTAAGCCGTTAGTACCTTGCTGTCGTTAATACACACCAATCGGCACTGCGCTCGATTCTCCCTATTCGATTTGATTCGTTTCCCTCAGAGTAATGTTAAAATGTACTTATTATTTAATCGAATCTGCACTTTAATTCAAATGAACTAAAGTTTATATTCAATTGGTTAAACAGACGCTGTAAATTAATATAATAGAAAAACTTAAGTCAGGAACGGAACACTAAATTAGAACTCTAAAAACATTTATTTAGTGAATTAAACTTCACCAAGACTTTATGATTATACACCATCTAGAGACTTAGTCTCTAGTTACAGATATGATAAAATATTGAGTTCAAAGTCAAGATTAGACAATTATTATGATTGTGCAAAGTATGTAGCGTGGTTAACTAAATTTATTGATATCAAGATCAATTTTATCATTTGAAGTGATTGTACGATTTAAAGGATACGGATGTGATCCACTTATGCCAGATGACTGTTCCGGAAGTGCTTTTAATAAAAAACAGTTGAACGCATATCGCAAATTAGGGATAAAGTTTTATTCCTCTTTATGAACAGAACATTCACCAACACTGAAATTCACTTGGATTCATTAACGCGTATTAGACTATTGGCCGTTTATTTACTTGTTTGTTTGACCTTGGATCGGGAAATCATGATACGGTTTGCAAATTAGTACCAAAAAATTATAAATCTGTAAACGCTTTGGAAAAGACAAGCAGGTATACACGTAAGAAAACTAAATATATCGAGCATATTTATTATTGTACTAGACTAGTATTTAAGTTTGTAAAAACAATTAATAGTTTTTAAAGATAAAAATATAATATTTTTATTCCGAAGTTTCAGTAGGCACATTCATATGAGTATCGTCAAATATATAGCTTATTTGTTATCTAAATAACCGATGATATTTATTTAAAAAGTGTATGTTATTTCATATTAATTTACCTATATTTCATTCGAATGCATATGAAACTTAATATTAGCAAGTCTGATAACTTCGCAAATAATTTAACATACATAAGACTTACAGCGCCGTTATTTTAAAGTTGAGACGCATCTACGACAAATAAAGTCTTTTTTTACACTCATTTAGTTATTTGGTAATCAGGCAAGTTGTTATTCTTGGCAATCATACGGAAATGACATGCAATCAAAATAATGCGACAAGAGATAGCTATATTATGAATTATCCTACTTTGATTATTTCCTTAAAAGAACAACAAACTTTTTCAAATCTTACCTGTTTCAAGATCCTCTTGAGCACTCATATTCCTGAGTACCACTAACATTCCAATCAATGTCTTGTAAAGAAACATTTTTTTTCTCGTATTTTGAAACTTATGCCGCAAAATTTGTAGTCCGAATTGCAAGGTGCATGGTAGTATTATTGGGCGCGAACGGACACGCGGTCCAATTGACGCGATCGGCGGCAATAAACGTCCGTCGTCGGTCCAGCGGGACTCCGGCTGAGGTATGGGCTTCCGCTGCAATACAACGTCACGCCGCCCGTGCCATGCTCCCGTCAGCCGTTCCCTTCGAAATAATGATTAATCCTACTTTGCAGTTTTTTAGGGTTCTGTACCTCAAAAAAACTCTTTGGAGTAGTAGTAGTAGCATCTAAATCCATATGCGTGTCAAGACAATTTGCTCAAAGGAAAAAAGAAACTCTTATAGGAAAAAAGGAACTCTTATAGGAAAAAAGGAACTCTTATAGAAGAAAGGAACTCTAATTAGCTGTCCGTCTTGCTGTCAAGACAATTTTACTTGCGTTTTTGCGCCGAAATATTAGGTTCAAAATTAATATCAAATACTTGTCTCTAAAGCCATCAAATAACCAAAATTCTAAGTGAATGCGATTTCAAAGTTACATATTTTGACAAGTGCAAGGAAATCAAAACTATAGGGCACTTGTCGTTGAAATAGAATAATTTCTTATAGTAATCTAATAATTAAAACTTATTTACGACGTAATTATACTTGTATTTAAATTATCATCACAAATCATCCCTAAAACTCAATTACGAACATAAAAAAACATAAAATAAAGTCCGTCAAGTTCCAACAAAAGTGTACCAGTCTCCCCAACAAACGCCGTCGGTCCTGCAGCCTCAATGTTTACCTTACACTTTTTAATTGATGAGGCCGATACAATTGGGTCAGCTGGATTTACTCATTGTGCAAACTGGGAAACGGATCTGTTACAATTTTGGGGGCAATTTAGCTTGCACTATTTTTATTTTGCATTTAGTTTGTATAAACGGTATAATCTTTTAGAATATTATAGAACGTTAAGAGTAGAATGTAGATCAAATTAAGTATCTGTATACTTATTAAGTTTTTAAGTAGCATTATTATCATCATCATCAACCCTTTTAGCTCCCCACTGCTGGGCTCAGGCCTTCCTTATGAATGGTTAAGGAGGATGACTATAACCCTCCATGCTGGCCCCAATCGGAGGGGTAAGCATTATTATAGCTAATGAAAATGTAGTTATGTCTAACACTAATATAATATAGAGGAAAGATTTTATTTGTTTGCATTGTATATGGTTCGAAACCACTGGAACTCTTTTACTAAATTCTAGATTCTTTTACTACATAAGTTTTTATTCATGGGTGACACGGGCTGTAATTTACGCGGGGAAAGTTGGAGGAAGACTAAACTAAAATATTTGAGACTTGGTAGGTAAATATTACTAAATTAACTTAGAATAAATATAATATCACAATGATACTTAAGACATTTATTCCAGATAGTCTCTCAGTTGTTTACATTTTTATTAACAAATTTAAAGAGGTAGTAAATTCAGTCCTGTAAGTTCTCCAGCCCTGATAATATGTGTAACACTTTATAGCAAATCCATAGAGATTGAGCTAAATAACAACAAATATAATACTTCAAGTCTCAAAAGGTTGAATAACAGTTGTTTGGCCAGTGTACAACAGCTTTTTTAGTTTAAATTACTTTAACTAAGCGACTATAAAATGTTTTAATTTTATAGACACTTACTTGAAGGTATAAAATCATTTGTAACCCATATATAGCCATTTGGTCCTCAAAATATTTATTAGCTGAAAGTCACCAGCCATAAGAAACAATTTCCTCACAATATATTATAAAATAATATTATAAACCAGTAAATATAACTAATCTGTAATTTATTGTTACTATTTTAAATCTTTTAATGAGCGCACAAATAACAATGTTAACCCAACTATTACAACACTGCCAATAGTACCAATTATTATCTTCTTATTTCTGTTTTTTCTGGAGTCTGTTGTTATTGTCTGGAAATAGAATCATTTATTAGGGATCATTCGAAATGTTATTATGTTTTGAAAGTTTCTTATAACTAATTATTGTCAATTTACTGGCTCGATTTCTAGGTCAAAGAAAATTAACTTTTTCCTATTGTAGTTTAGCAGTAGTTTCTTTAAATAAATTTCTTTACCATTGCAGACTAAACATCACAGTTTAGTCTGCAATGGTAAAGAAACTTTTTCATAGGCTTGGACATGGAGCAAAATTTTTTTTTCCGAACATTTTTTATTATTACCAACTTTTCAGGACAGGCATGTATAGATAGCCTTGGTTTGAGGCTTAAGGTGTATTTCCCCAAAAAATGTGTTTTTGCCATATTTGATTCCATCCAAGGTCTGTGCCCCAGTCGCAAACTTTATAGACTGATTATAATGAAGATTGTGCTTTTACATGCAATATAATCAGAAATAATTTTAAACTTACCTTTAATTGTGTATGTAAAGCTATATCCATTGAGTTTAAAATATTTGTTATTTCACTCAAAGTTGATATTGCTAGATCTGATGCATATTTATCTTTATAAACCAAACAATCTGTTATGTTCTTTGTTTTTTTTATAGCTAATGTATTAGCTAGGACACTTAAGTATATTCTGTATAGATGTTGGGAACTTTCTTCAAGTGTTTCCACTATCTCTATCAGACTTAGATTATTATTAATTTTAGATCTAAAAATAATAAATTGGATGACTAGCAAATTAAGTAAAGTTACTTCATTTATTATTACGGTACAATACACTTTTCCAAGAGCTTTATTAATTTATTATTAATATACTCACAACTCTGATGAGGTCTTACTATAAAGCGGCAGATTCTTCACCTCCTCAAGTAATCGATTCCTAATATCAGCATCATCAATTCCTAACTTTATTAAATCTTCATTAGTCAATTCTGTTAGAGTGCACTGACCAATATTATGTTTTCTGAAGACAAATATTTAATATTTATGCGGGGTAGTCCTCATTTAGAAAATAACGCTATATATAGTTAACTATAACTCTAACTGTAAGTTATAGTCAGCATCGAAACTTAAAATGTTTACAGTAAAACGTGTTATTGTTTTCAGTTAAGCCTTACTTACTTAAAAATATCCAGATATTTTTCAGCACCTACACCCAACAATAATGCGCTTACTGTAACATCAAATTCTGTTGGGTTTATTTTATTAATAGCAGTTATTTTTTCTATTACATTATTTTCGCTAGCCATTTTATTAGTTTTATTTTGAAAATAAAAACCTAATTCGTAAATTGTAAACAGGCGGCAGACGGTTCAACCAATATCTGTCAAATTTCAATGTCAGTCAGATAAAGATGTACCGAGTCGGGTAGACTTGATTAATGCTTGATTACCTCGATTTGATTAGAAATATATTTAAAATTATCTGAGTGATAATATTTATTTTATCAAACTAACATCACATTACATATATTTTAAAGTAAAATTATTATTATTATCATTATTGGTACATTGGTACATAATACAATGACTAAAAATAATATTTGAATTTGCTTTTATCACTAAGCTTTCGTGCTGTATTCAGCTGCAATCGAATTAATATTAAATAAATACTTAATCGTGATTATAAGTTTCCTTTTGAAAAACATGGACATTGCAAGGTATCAAAGTTTTTATTTTATATTGTAAATAATATATACAGAGGACCGCGCCTCAGAATAATACTCATTTCAATCAAAACATTTTTTTTAAATAAAATTGTAGTTACCTTCTATTTGAATTATTACAAATAATTTTACAACTCTATTCACCAAAATATTAGTGTCGCAGTAGTTTTATAATATAAAATAATAGATAGTTGTTTTAATTTCAAAGCGTCAAAGCTGCCAAAGTTGAGGACGCTAGGTGTCGCTCAAGTTGTGCACATAGCCAAATGTTATTATTATAATTAATTAGTTGAAATTCAGTATCAAGTTTCCCTATAGTTCATAAGAACTTGATGTTTAAGGTTTTACTCTTAAAACACATTGCAAAGTTTGACTCAAAAGTATTCGAATGCTCATGTTATTACTCGAAAACTTGTACACGTCTTCCGTCTCATCACGAGTCCTAATGAGGAACTATTTTACGAAAAAAAAGAAAGCACTTAAAAAGCACCTCACTATATGGCCACTCTAGCAAAAGTTGATTTTTGCAGAAAACTAATGGACAAAATATAGTCATTTCCGTTTCTCTTAACTAAAAATATTCAAAAACTGAAATTTGCAAAGTCCGAAACTTAGATATCAATACAAGTAGAATACGAGTTCTTTATTGAGTTTTGAAAATTAATTTAATTTTAATACATGAAAGAAAACCGAAAGGTTTGTCATAGAGAAATCAAGAAAGTACCGTAGCGATATCTATTTAATTTTGGGATCTAATCCTTTTTTAAATACTTCCTCATTCGAATAGTTGTAATCAATATAAAAATAATCGAATACTAAAAATAGCCGATTCAGCACATCCCTACAATCATACTTACAATCGTAGACACTAAGCTTACAATAGTCACTATCTGTCAGTTAGTGTCAGCGAATCTGTCAGTGTCAACAAAAAATATTTGACAGTGAATCGCCACAATATGTCAAAGAATAATGGCCATCTGCCTAACATGCTTGGACTAGTAAAATCGAATAAAACGTAACTTGATGAAACATATGTTATTTTGTTTGCCTATGCAACTAGACAAAGAAAGACGTTAAATATATTTTTAAAAGCTGGGAGTATCGAGTAATTGTGTAATATGTTTTTGAGGTTATGTCGTATTATTTAAACTGTAGCATTTTGAGTTAGAGGTATTACAGTTGAAATATGTAAAGCACACGTCAGATAATGCCTAACCGTAGTCCTAGAAGTGTATACTTTTACATAATACTTCAAAGGCTCCATATCTGATAAATTATTTTTATTGACTGTAAGAAATAAAATCGTTTTTTTTGTGAACCACTGAACATAAAAAAGAAATAGAATTTTTAAGATTGCTCTCAATAACTCTACTTTTCTATGTTACACTATAACTTATATAAAGTAGTCGTGAAAATACTAATTTCAAAAGGATATAGCAAAACAACATGTTGATTTTTATTTTCTTTATTACAACTCTAATGAATACCTCATCACGGAATGCTGCAGGAGCAGCTACATTCTGTTCGTGTCTGGCCTATCCAAGATACCAAACTATGATCATCATATGAGCACAGCATCCCAGTGTACATCGACCAATACGACAATTACAGCAGTGTTCTCTTATGCCATCTAACCCGGATGTGTCATTATTCTTTAAAATGTACACATAATATTGTTTCCTCCCAATGTCTCGACTTAATTCTACCCCTTATAATAAGGACTTTATTAATATTTAAGTCTTATTCTAATAAATCTAGAAAATCCGGTATTTCTCTCCAGACCTCAATTCTATACTGCCCATGGATCCTAGTATGCTCCCCATAATACAGAAGATAATACAAAATCACCGCCAAAGTTACATCATACTTGTCTAAAAAAGGGAGGTCGCAATCGATTGAATACTGTAATATCGATTCTTATGAATAGTCATTTGTTTTTAATTTCGTTATAAACAAACTATTTTCCTCTAAGGAACATCTAATTATATTAGTAATCTAATCTAAGTTTTATAATTTTGACGGATTTATATGGTTAGTAAGTAATATAAGATTTGTATCAAATTTGATTAGTCAGAAATAAAATCAATCTTGTCCTTTGAAAAGAGAGGGACTTCTCTAGGAATGACATTATTAATAAGATACGTTCAAAAATAACATAATTTAAACTGCGTTCTAAAAAATAAAGAAATATTTTAGAGAAGATTATCTTTCTTTTCCCAGCTTTTAAAAATAAATTGTTGGTATAAAATAATTACATTCAACTTATACTACATTTTGGTGATAGTTCCATCTTGGTACAAGAACTTTTTTTTCGTGGTCCATTTTCACCATTGTTCTTTCTGCAATGAATTTTGACTTCTAACGTTTAATCTATTAAGGTTTAAGATCGAGTGGGAAAACTTGATTGTTTTATATAGTTTGACGTACATTTGACCGTGCGTTCCAAATCTTTAAAATTGTGAATGCACCAATACAAAAGTGTTACAAAAAATTAAACACAAAAGCACAGACATCTAAAATCATTAAACACATTAAATATCACCCATTATTTTGCTTCTATGATATGAACATTTCTGATTAAAGGCGAATAGTGATCTACTGCTAGTGTTTTGCAACTCAGCGGATAGGTGGAAAATGAGGTTTTGGCGGTAATTAGAATTACTAAATCTTTTTGTCGACTAGAAACTTTAGTTTTTTAGTTTTTGGTGGGGCCCACTTAGGAAAGTATATGATTGGTGACTGTTTATTATTATTATTTTTTTAATTTCATTTCTACGTTTATAGGTCATATAACTAACGGCCAGTTGCATAAACGCCCATTAGCATTGTCATTTGTTAAGGCGTCAATAACTATACATAATTTGAAATTTAGAATTTTCATTTGAGCTTAAAGTCGCCATTTAAACCTAAATGGTCAACTGGTGTAACTTGGCCTTTATCATTTGGTCCTCAGTAATGATTGAAGTCAAAATGTGGTTCACTAATATTTTTTTTAATATTCTTTTCGTTAAACTTAGTAATTTAGTTAAATAAATTACTTCACAAAAATCTGTTTGGTTTTAGCAGATGTGAATGTACCACAAACGCTGGAATTGCACTTCTGAGATATATCTATGAGCATTTGCCCGTGACGTCGTCCGCGTAGTAAAGTTACTTTAAGCAGCATTTCTAACGATTATTTATTAATTATATCGTCTAAAATACCTGAAATAAAGTTTCATCCCATATTTTATTCCCTTGGAGGTGGAATTTATCAATATCCTTTCTTCTTGGAATTCTAGAAGAAAATAAATTGACTTCTTAGGGGATGCCTACATCATTGTAGCTTTATGCATGCATAATCTCAGTCCGATTGGTTTAAAATTGACAGAGTTTCATGCTAACTTTCATCCCTAATTTTATCCACTTGGCAAGATTGGTATATTTTAGTTATTTTCATAGTGTGATGACGTATGGTTTATTGTTTTGGGGTTCTGCGGCTAGCATTCAAGATATTTTTATTCTACAAAAGAGAGCTGTCCGCACTATATACAATTTACGGTCTTGAGAATCTGTCAGAGAAATATTTAAAGTAATAAATATTTTGACTGTTACCTCTCAACACATCTATGAAAATATTATGTACGTAAGAAAACATTACGATTCCTTCACAAAAAGTAGTATTCATAATCTTAACACAAGAAATAAAAATAAACTTGCCTTTCCAAGCTTAAGACTTTAGAAAACCAGAGGATTTCTGGGTTTGGGCAAATGCATTGCTATGTTCAATAAAGTTCCACAAAATGTAATTGACCTACCCATAAATAAATTTAAAATTCATGTAAAGAACATACTTATGAGTAAAGGCTATTATAAAGTTGATGATTATTATAAGGATCGCAATGCATGGAATTAATAGCCTTCGCTTTGTTATAAAACGACTAATTATAGGTATGTATAACCTACGACCTACAGACTTTGAAAGTTGTATTTATTATTGTGATAATAAATATTATTTTGGTAATGACATGATTTATGTAAATGGCATTACTTATGATAAAGAGCTGGTAAGTTTCTTTCGCTTGTTCTTCTTGTCAGCTAAAAGACGTCCTGAACAAGTTCATTTCATTTCTATTTAAATATGACGGACGGTGAGCCGCTGATTGATATGGAGTGAAGATTGCGAGGTTCCTAGCCACATAGGATTTGGAACCTCTAATCTAAATAATAACTTGTAACACATTATAACTTCATTGTCTTAAGCTCGATAACCGCATATTTGGTACGGGCTGGAGTAGTTTTTACTACTGCACTTTGTGCAGTAATATAAGTGAAGGCTAAAAGAGATAATATCTTGCAGAGATGAGCCCATCTTTGCAATCACTTCGCTTACCTATTGTATAATATCAGTAAACATCAGGGTCTTGGACTTTATACGCCTATGCTTACAATCCTACATATTTTCCTTTAGGCTGTGCGGTGGCGCTCGCCAGCCCAAAAGTTTAAGAATCACTGACCTAAAAATAGAATCCAAAAGGGTTCTAAATTAAGTAAAAATACCCAATACTATTTCAATATTTATTACCTTTTTATGTACACTTGCTTAAACAATCGTTCAGAAAAGGATTGAAAATAAGTTTTTAATCCTTTTTAAACTATATTTTACACATAAAATAGATGTATGGGAATAGTTCAGAATAAAATAGCTTTTAACCCATTGTTGTACATATTTCTATATAAGTAGTCCTTTATTGTATTAAATTTTCTTAAATGCAACTCAGCAAGAGAGGTTTATTTAGTTTTATCAGCTCGATTTAATTGTGAAGAAAGAGTTAATTTTACTACTTATCCTAAAATAAATACTTAATTTAGTTTATCGTTAAAATTTCTCATGAACCGTCAAGAGGAAGAAAAATTCAAACATTACTATTAGTACGGTGCAAACCTCACGGAAGATCTGTCAAGGGCATAGAATTAATAAGTACTGTTGTACGTAGTACTTATTAATTCTATGGTTCAGGGTAACAACGGAAGTATGAGTTAGTACGCGACGACGCATTTGTCGAGCGACGAGTGGGCAAGTTTGATTCATCACCTAATTTTTGTCACTTCTGGCTTTCCGCATCTTCCGTTAGATATACATCGACTCTACGTGAAGAATTATTTGATTTTGACATTTTTTAAATTTTTACTATATACTTAAAAAGTTTTTATTGTTCAAAGATTGGTTCGAAATGTATAACCAAATTGCACGTGCTAGAAGGAGGAAGGTGCTATATTATCTACAATGGCTCTAATTGCTTGCCACGTTTCTTTTGCCGTGGATACTATTTGTGCTCCTGGTAGTAAAAAGCCATAAGGCCCGTATGAATCCCTTAAATCCACATGGTAAGAAAATTTTATTCCAGCACGTGCGTTTGCCCAGTCGTGTGACATTCCGGATGCTGGCTGTCTTATCTCAGCTGCGGTACCAACCTGTGTTAGAAAAAAAAAAATGAAAATTAGCTCGCTTTTTTTAAGTTTATTCTTGGCTAAATAAAATTGTATAGAATTGAAACAATTAATCGACGTTACCTACACATTCAACAAGCCAATCCGAGCGAGAACCAGAAAAATATTTTTCGTATCTCAATTGAATTCTGTAAACAAAGCTGAAGAGAAACCAGCTTTCGCAGCCAATGCAGTCTTGTAGATATTTTTTTTTTCACCCACAAATAAGTGCCCGTGTGTACAAATGACCAAAATCATCATCATCATCATCATCATCAGCCCTTTTGCATCCCCACTGCAGGGGCTCAGGTCTGCCTTATGGATGGTTAAGGAGGATGGGCCATGACCCTCCACGCTGGCCCAATGTGGATTGGAGGGTATTAACGACTGCAAACGCAGCCGGGACCAACGGCTTAACGTGCCTTCCGAAGCACGGAGCAGCTCGAAATAATAATTTTTGGTCACCCATCCCGTGACTGACCCTTGCGAAAGTTGCTTTACTACAACGATCGCGGCTCGCGGCGCTTATCCACTACGCCACTGAGCTACTGACCAATATATACTCGAGGCAATCATCGAACAAGGCGTAATGGCATACCTTGAAATCCTTCGTGCTTCAGAAGGCATATTAAGCCGTAGGTCCCAGCTGCTTTTGCAATCGTTAACACCAACTGGGCCCGCCTGGTAGGTCATGTCCCATTTTCCCTATTATATTTGATTGGATTCTATCCAGTGGAAGGCTTGTGCCCCAACGTGGCATTACTAGGCTGACGATGATTATGTGATGGTGGATCATCAAAACCCAACCCAATGGGATCGTTTCGTTGCAGGCATAACGCCGTAAGAGTAAGAGATCAGGTTTGTATTCTGTAGCATAGTGTAAATACCGCGCTGGCGACAATGGCCTGGCAATGAAATCTGCATCCGTCTACCAAATGCCACCCGATGGTAAAATGTAATTTACTAAGCCTATATTGGTTAACCAGGACAGTTAAGTAGATTAATCAAATAGTTGTTAAGTGATGTCCTGGTAAAAATTTACTGACTTACTTGGTATCTGGTACCATACAAGTCAGCTAAAGCAGCTGTGGCCAGCTTGCCCATCTCCATCGACAGGCCCTCGTCAGCAAACTGCAAATGTGCATGTGAACTGGATACCAACCATGCTTGAGAGTACGCATGTAGAGAAACGTAAACCTGAAATAAAAATACGAATATTAAGGATTAGACAAATATATTACACTGAATTCTGATAGAGTAAAAACTATTTAGAGTAACAAGAGCCCTTTCAACCGGGCTCAAAATCGAAATCTGTGTTCGACGGCTACGTAAGAGTATTTTTAATGTATGTTCGTTCACAGACTTACAAAATCATTTGCCTAAACTAATTATTTTTTATCGATATCGCTTTAGCAGTTCGTTTTTACTTTTAAACTTTGTATTCATCAAAGTTAGCTACTATTGTTTTTTTAATCCTGCAGCTATCATCACAAATTTTAAAGATACTTCACCGCTACAAGAATAAAACTGGAATAAATAATAATAATGGATATATCGTACTCATTTTCCTGTTATATTTATAAGATTGCATCATACCATACGTAAGGTTCATCAACAATAATGGTCTCATATACTAATATTTTCTATACAATTGAAACAATTTTATCAAACTATATATATGTATATACATAATTAATTCAACTTTTACCAATACTCAGGCACAAGTGTTAATAAATGCAGCCTATTTCAAAATTATAAATGCATTGTCTTTTCGAAAGTGATTGAAGAAAATGCTTTGGAAAGTTACGATGTCGCAAAAATTTATTCTATCACAATTTCTCGAGCTGCACAATGAACGATGGATGTGCGGTCTACCTATTACTGGTCCGTAAGCATAATAATGCTTTACAAGTTTGAAACTAGAAACTTCTATTTGTGGTTCTACTTCTAGCTATGACTTATGATATATTTTTTTTAATTTAAAAAGTCAGTTACTTTAATTTCTGTATTATTGTTAGATACACAGTTAGACTTAGACACAGTAATTGTGATATAGTGATTGGATCAGCCCGTGTTTTTTATTTATATATCATATAAATCATTACAATTACATAAATAGAATTATCTTTTGTTAAATAAAAACTCTACACGCTGAACACACTAAATGGCCAATTAAATGAAAAACAATTACATGACTGGAGAAATCCTAAAGATAAATTGATATTAGAACTATAGAGCGACTTAAGACACGCGACAAAGAAGAAATTATATTTAAAGGGTTATAAAATACTTGCTATTCGTCCGTTTCGCCCGTGTGGTTTTGTATCATAAAATAATCCTTCCTCTTGACCCACTCTGTACAATGATGGAAACCGCATTAAAGTTCGTTATGTTGTTTAAAAGATTTCAGCATACAGACAGCAGGTAGATAGTGACTTTGATTTATCCTAAGAATGTTAAGGTGATCTCTATCTCCGTGAGTCATATTCTCCTAAGTGAGGTTAATACCTTTGTGGCACATCTGTTTAATAATCTTTGTCGTCCACTCTGTGGCGACGTAATCTGTGACATTTGTAATATAAAAATAATGCATTTGCAAGTCGTCATTCAACATTAAAACAGTCTAAAAGTAAACTCATACCTCTGAACGCGTTTATTCATTTTACCGACCCTTCGTATAAATAGAGTCAGATAGTCAACTTACCAATAAGTTAAATATTACCCTATATACCAATTAATCAATACCCAAAATACGGTAAACCTTATTTAGGAAGCTTAATGAGGTTGAGAAAGACCAGTAAGATCTTGTTTAGGATGGTATACTGCCTCGAACTATACAATTTACCTGTATCATAGGCTTACACCGTCTTAATGTTGCATTTATGTACCTAGATCAAATAACGTAAATGCATATCAATAATAATTTAATCGTGTTCAACTATGTTATTCTGTTAGAAAACCGCCTCAAACTCGATGTCGGGCAAAGCGCTGTCGTAACAAAGAGCTTCGATGAAATAAAACCTATATTATCTTTTGCAGTAGGTTTTACTGAATTTTAAAACCTATCATTTGATTGAATGTTTTTTAATTATTGCCTTGACTGCATATTGTAGTATTTGAAACATTTTTTTGTCATTATACATAAAGGCGTCGCAGAGAACACTAGGGCAACTAAGACAGATCTAACGATACCTTAATTATATAAATCCGTTTAGGGGTTCTGAAGATATGAAAGAACATACGCATGTAAATCATATTTCTTCCTTTGCAGACGGGTAAAAAGAGCATGGTAAATGTACCTTTGTCTATGCGTGAATGTTGTTGCCATATTTAGAATTTCACAGAAACTATTTCCGGCTCAGATATCTAACTGGTTTGAAAATTGCAATAGAAATGTAACGTAGAAGATAATTATACTGCGATCGGGGTTATGTCTCGTTTATTAAAAAGTAGGTCATTTTGTAGGCTCTTTAATACTGATTCTTTGAAGTTAATCTTTCAAGAGGTAGATTATTATCTTCAAGAAATTTGACTTATATAAATTTCTCGATTCTCATTGACTGACACTTAAATAAATAGCGCCATTATTATAAGCAGCGCCGGTTCAATAAAATTTAACGCCATGCAAGTCATTGGAACGACTAATATAAGAAAACCAGATCAAAGTAAAATAATAGATAGATAATATTTTAGTGTTAACACCAAATACAAAACATACATAGAAAAATAATAATTATTAAGCTATGTGTCAAAATCAGCGGTCTCATCACTATAGAGCGATCTCTTCCAGACACCGTTTTGATGGAGAGATGGACTAATTAATAATACAAGGGTGTATAATAGTATTATGATTTCAATAATACATTAATAATGTATACATACACCAATTAAAATGTGTTATTTTGTTAATGACATAAGAAACTCTTTAAGTACTTACTGGTTATCTGACTGCTAATTGTACTTTTGAATACCGCTGACATGGATTCATGTCCAAAAACTAAAAACGTAATTTTTTTAAGGTACTGCATGGGTTCAAATAGATCAAAACAAATACGAGTGCCCCAAGCAGTTGCCTAAATTGCCTATATGGAGAAGCCGGTTCTTATTGTACTTAAGACGAGGACTTAATTAAATTGTTACTAGGACGAGTAGTATCTATCACTAATGGCTACTTTGTGTCAACCACAATTCTGTGAACTTCACGTAGGAGACCATTAAATACATTCAATCAAAGAATTTTATGTGACTATCACGAAAAACGCAATACCTACATCAAATGTTACTTTTATCGGGTCGAGAGTGAGATATCGCACCCGTATGAGAGTATGCTGGCACCCAAGAAAAGTGACATTCGGGTCTTCGTTCCCGAGTTCGTAATGCTACGTGAGATGGTTTAAACCAAGAAATTGTTTAGATCATTGGCCGCCTTATGCAAATTGACAATGACAGAAGAGTAAACGTTAAAATTGAGACTTGTTGACTTAATTTGGTCGGACAATGGTTCAAGCCTGCTACTAAAATAAGTCTCCGTTTTATAATAAGACTTTTTTTATATTTTACCTTTATCCGATCTCTGTGTTCCGACAGGAATTCGGACACAGCTCTCGTTTCAGGCTCGCTGAATGGGTGAGGGCCGGCGTAATTGTCCGCGCACGGGTCCCGGGAGGAGTCCAGCTCACCCCATCGATAGTCCCAGTTGCGATCTAGATCCACTCCGACGCATTCTGTACGACCCCAGTTCCACGGAAACCTGTGGACAGTATTCTTGGTATATTCAAATATTCAAGTCGATTGGAACATTGATATTTATAAATCACTCATTCGATTAAGTATTCATTCTATTTTGTATAGTGATATTCTGATATCTGTCTTACAAATAAAGAAATTCGATGAAAAAAACTGTGTTTTCACTTTTGCTAGAGTCCAATCTGAGTACATTCCCAACAGACATGATTTCAAAATAATACTACCTACACCTACAGGTATAACAAAAAGTTATAATTAAAGTTAATAGGGATAACAACTGGGTAAAAAAAAAAACAAATTCTATATTATATACGTATTTTTTTTGTTTCGATTTAAACAAGAAATGGCTTAGATAACAGACATTAAAGTTGAAGAGTTGGGGTTAGCTACGTCACAGTTTTGTAAAAAATCTACAAAAGCGTAACGTTATGACACATTTCAACTGAATGAATGAATAAAATGTATAATTACAACTATGTACAGAAAAAAATGCGTATATAATGTTCTTCAATAAACTACAAAAATTAGGACAAAGAAACAAAAATTAGTCGACGTCCCTTTTATTTCAATTCACCTTGGATCAGTTTTTCATGTGTTAATTCTTACTAAATATTTTTCAATGATATATGTAATATATATATATATATATATATATATATATTATTTTTTTTAATTAAAGAAAAGTATTTTAATTTATATTTAAGAAAAAAATTGAATACTTCATATATACGCAAAACGTCACCTGGACCGTTTTGGCTGTTTCTTAATTTCCATAAATTTTTATGTTTTTCAAAATAATAAAAGAAAATTGCCGGTAAACCATAAAAGCATGATGAAATTAAGTGCTGTTTACTATGGGGTTTTTCCATGACCGAACAACGGTTATCTTATTTAACTATAATGATTAGAAGGAAACAAACTTTTAATAAATCTAGGCAGTAGTATAATATATTATTTACTAGTATATGTTGTAGCTACATAGCAGTAAAGGTTGTTAATTAAACTGTTTAATGTCGAAAATATCTTAGAGGCAGAGAGATATAACGTGTCGCAAACAGACCTACCTTAAACTTTCACAGGAAACTCGTATTGTTCTAGTACTTTATTTAAATAAAGATAACATTTAACCTGTTTTACCGTCAAACGCTTTTACTTAAGTAACAAGCGTGAATTTGTGTTTTTTAAGAAAAGTAAAACGTATGATCGTGATTACTTTACAAATAATTATTTTTTTACATTCTTTTGTTATGTTGTTGTGTAACAAACGTTCTTTGAGGTGTAGGGAGTAAGTAGATGAAAGTAACCAAATATGGAACATTTTGTTATTTCTTTCCAATAATTTTAGTACACTTAATACCGTGAAGCCATCGTGTATTTCCTTGTTTTATTTACAATTTTTTTCTATTAGGAATATGTTAAGAAGAAAATTCAATCGCATATCAATTAATAATGCTATTTTTTTTTGGCCGTGACATTTTTTTTCTATTTTTTTAAGGACTTTGCGATCGTTAAGATATGACAGTCCTATCGTACCCTAAATAAACATTATCTACAGCTTTAAAATAATAGTTGAGAGATCAACAATCATCGATGACTTATTGCCCGCGACTTTGTCCGCGTGGTATTGTTTTGGGCAGCATTTCTAAAATCGCTAAGACAAATATTTATTTATAGCTGAATACAAAGTTTCTTGACTTCATCTTTGACAATGACTAACTTCTATACCAATTTGAAATATTTATTTCAATCTTTTTGACATCGACATTGAGCAGCATGAACAACATCAACGACATTGAGGTTAATATATAATGAATATGTCGTAACCAACCGGGCAAAACACCTGTCTAATTAGACGGCTAGCTCTATAGTAGAATATCACACATTCATTTGTACGGCTGAGTAAACATCACAACGTCCTTCTACAGTGCGGCTGTACAAACCCCAGGGAACTGGATAACCGTCTAGGGTCACAATATGAAACACAATACTAATTTTGTTAATATCAAAACATCCGCGATATTAGAATAAAATTACATACTTTGATGTTCAACTTCGAAGACACTACAACAAAAAGCTATATTTACTTATTAAAGGTACAACAACAGCTACATATTTAATTAACCGATTAATATTCAATATGTTTCAGTACTTTATCTCTGAAAACCTTAAAGCTAACTATCCAATTTTTTTCAAATTCCAACTCGAAAACTGAAATCTATGGAAAATCTTTAAACAAAACGATAACGCGGTTTAGTTAGGAATAAACGCCATCTAGTAAAGCAAAGCTTTAAGTTATTAACCAACTTCAAAATCCAAAAGGAAGATGTTTAAACTGATGATTAATATTACAAAGTAAATTAAATTACATTATTACAAACTTAATTATATTTAAAGAAAAACAACCTCGGTCAAAACAGAGCGATGTAGAAATATACTTGACGGCATCTAATATAACACAAAATATATAGTTTGTGTTTTCTTTCGTATATAAAATGATTTAAACTTGCATATTTAAAAAAAAATGGATTTACAATGTTTATTATATTATTAATTATGTACTCAAATACTTTTTTTATTACGATACAAGGAAATATTTATAAATAATATTGGATATTTTTAATAAATTAATCAAATTGTTAACAATGATTGCTAGGGCAACATTTTGATTGCCCATAAAAACGTTCACTACTATTTTCATCCCTTTATATGCTAGTATAACCTATTACCGTTCTGGGATCCTAAACTACTTAATTTTCATCGAAATAGGTCCAAAAACAATGAAGTTTCACACAAATGTTATCACCCTTTTTGACTCCCTATGGGGTGGAATTTCCAAAAATCCGTTCTTAGTACACCTTTAAGTAATAAGAGGAATGTATCCTCCAGATTTCAAGTATCTACGTCCAGTGGTTTAGGCTGTGCGATATCTGTCAGTCAGTATGTCAGGACATTTCCTTTTACGTCCCCACTGCAGGGGCTCAGGCCTTCCTTATGGATGGTTAAGGAAGATAGGTCATGCATGACCCTCCACATTGACCGGATGCGGATTGGAGATTATTAATGACTTTAAATGGAGTCGGGACCAACGGGCTTAACGTGCCTTCCAAAGCACAGAGCAGCTCGAGATAATTTTTTAGTCACCCATCCCGTGACCTATCGTTGCGAAAGTTGCTGAACAACAATGATCGGGAGCCGTGGCGTTTATCGACTACGCCACAGAGCTATTCTCAAAAAAATAATATATAACCACATAATACTATATGATAACTAGATCTAATAGTAATGGCAGTTTGAATATGATGGACGTTATTATGTTGTACGCAACGTGGATAATAGCTCAGCGGCGTGTCTAGTTTTCTCTTCATGTTACTGGTTTTTAATTGTAACAATCTTGTTTTAAGTTGTGTTGCTTACCAGCCGTCGAAGTAATCGTCAGTATGATCGGGCAGGCGCGAGCGAGTCTTCCTCCACAAACGATCGTGTGTGTGGGAATGTTCGTAGCCGTCAGGATTCAACACCGGCATTATATAAAAATCTGCTTGTTTTAATACCTCGTACTCTGTACCTACGATATAGATTGAATATGATAAAAGATATCAACATAATATCAAAGTTTCACGGTATGTAATTATTTCTGATAATACTTTCTAAGTTAACTCTGACACGACTGTTTGGATTGTATAACCTATATCTCAATTCTTCTTTTAACAAGTTTTTTAATTTTCAGAAAAATCTCTATCAGTGCGTTTGTAATCTAAAATAAATGATAACCGACCTTCCCTGTGGTACGTAAGATACCAAAACAATCTCCTAAAAAGGTTTTGAAAATAATTCAGGTACTTATATTTTTGTCGAAGTATTAGTTCAAAGTTGTAATATTTTTATTTTTAATACTCATGCAGGTAAAGGTGTCACTTTGTAACTGAGGATGTCACTTTGTATATCGCTATATACTCAATACCATTTCTCTTCTAAAGAATTCTGCCCATCATTATAAAATGAAAAAATTTCTATATCCCATGTCGAATAACATGATCTAGAGAGACTTTTCATCGTTTGATTGTGAGCATGTGGGTTCTTGTTTTGGGCAATATGTTTCAAAACTTCCTCTTTGGCCAACCTCTGAGCCCACTCTATGGATAAAATGCATCTGTAAGTCCATTATGCAAGCTTCTATGTAGTTTTTAAGATCATTAGCAGTGCAAGCCTCACAACCATGAAGTACAATATACCAGATGTAATAATTTATCAAACGAGTACGTAATGAAATTCTTTATGCGAAATATGTTGTGATGATTGATCCAAATTATATTTTGAGCAGTATTACCTAATCCTTTTTCTCCTTCTATGAGAGCGTGCAACATCCAAGTAGCGACTGCTGGAGCAATCCACTCACGCGCATGGGAGCCGCCGTCGACCCACACTGCTGGTTTCATGCGAGAACGCAACTTCCACTTCTTAATATTTGTTTCTTTCGCATAGCTATCGTTAGTTGGCAAGGAAACCTACAACAGCAAGCTGCCTAAGCTCATTCTCATAGATACTAATCTACGATTTGTCGTTGATATCTGCGATGCGACGGTAGATATCGCACAATGATAGATGCGATATCTACCGTTTTTTAAGCTATTTATTACACATAACACTTTGAATCTATCCTATGAGCCACTCGATCATATATCAATAGGGAAAACTATGAAAGATACCTGCATACACTTCTCAAAGTAACAAATTTCCAATAATCTAGCCTTCAGGATACATTATTGGAAATTAAAAATTCTTTATTCAAATAAGCTTGTTACAAGCACTTTTGATTAGTCCATTTTTTTTGGTTAACAAGGAGAAAAAGCAAAAGAAATTTACCAGCTCTTTATCCGAACTAACAACATGTACATCAATTATGTCATTACCAAATTAATACGTGGTACAATAGTAATAAAAACAATTATATTATATTGATATTATCGTCCTCTGACCTTAACAGCTACCAATGGCAGTCCTTCTGAAGATCTTCCTAAAGGCACGAGCTCCACCAGATCACTATGAGAATGTTGGAGGAATTCCAAATATCTCAATATATCAGCATAGCGGTGATATCGTCGCCACGTCATTGGGTGACCGCGCAAATGTTCCAATTCCAACCTTTGCTTTTTAGAGAGTTTTGGATTCTCATATGTCACCGCTTTCTGGAAAAAATATTTTTTAGTTTTGGCTTGCAATGTTTAGGCAAGTAATAGTTATCTACTACTGACTTTCGTTACCTGTAAATCCCAAATTATTACATCAAAATCGACTTTTATTGACTTTAAATGGTCCTTAATATCGGCCAGAATATCAGGTGGAACCAAAAGATCAGTAGAGCCATTTAAAGAAGGAGATGACCACCACATCAGGCCAGAACCTTGAGCTTCTTCGCGAAGATCTAGAAGTTCGTTAATTTTCTTTTTTTCGTCAGGATATGCGCGTAGTAATTGATAGCCTTTATAATTCTTTTTCAAGGACTTCTTTATCGGTTTTTTTGCTGAAACGAAACAAAAATATAACTTTCTAATAGTGGTAGAATCAAATATTTGTTATCTTGACAAGCAATGATTTTATAATCTGCTTTACACAATTATTAGATGAAATAAGTTGTAAGTAAATTATGTCAAATCGTTTAACAATGTCCTAATTTGTATCAGAAATATTTTATGAGTATTTGACACATTTGGAAAAGTCGTGGCCATGCTCATTGCTGCGCTTCGTTCTCGAGGTGAACTCGAGAAATGGGCGAGAGAAAACTTTTTAGCATTTCTTGAGTATGTCGAGTTCGTCATGCTCAGCAGACTGGCCGCAAGATGCAATACATACGGGATTGAGTAAACACGTAAGCGCCATCATTATCTTCTGAATCGAGTAAGTTTTGAAACCAGCTACTTGCTGTTGTAGTTTGAGGCGCAACAGTACTCGTCGTGGTGGACGACTTCTGTGATGGCGTCTGCTCAAACCATCCGGTATTAAGCCAGGTATTGTTTGATATCCAGTTGTAAATTTTAGAAAAAAATCCTGTAATACAAAAAAAAACCTCTGTTATCACTTTTTTGGAGTTTTTGAACCAATTGATAGATCTAGGCAAAAGTAACACAGTATTTAATGGAATGTGGTGTTATTTTGTGAAAGCCCATTGCTATAACCATGAAACTATGATATCTAGCAACTTCCACAGTCAGTCAATAACTACAGTACCTCGATGGTTTACACTATAAGGTCTACCTGTGGAGATGCTCCGTGATGAGGCGTCTAGAGTGGTGATTTTAGAAAGATTTATCGTAGTTAAAAAGTTTTTGATTATGTTTTTGATCATTAATTTCATTGTTACATAATTACATAAATCGCTATCACCAATGCTATACCTTTGAAAATGATTGCGATAGACATTGAAATTAGACAATTAGACCACAGGGCTTGCAGATACTGTCTGGATATAGAAGTTGCTAGTTAACATAGATTCATGATTAAAGTAATGTATAGTAATCAACATAAAGCCTGACCCGTTTGCATTAAATTCACGGAACACTCTTTACGATTCACGCACGGTATTGCTTCATAAAATCAATATTATTTCGGCTTTCAAGACTTGAGAAATTTGTCTTGAGAAATAACATCACATTTAAAAACATAAACTCTTTTAACAATAAAATAAATACGTTATGGTAATTAAAAATGGCAATTTCTTATAAAAATATATTAAATATATAATTTCATTGTCATTATTACCATATAGCAAATTCTTCACTATTGTTTGTAGAAAATTGATCATGTATATTTATAAATCGGATTCCCACAGACGGGAAACCTACCAGTTAAGAATGGGCAATGATCTACCACGCGGACCCAGTGCAGATTGGCGGGTATTAACGACTGCAGGTGCAGCCCAGACCAACGCCTTCCGAAGCACGGAAGAGCTTGAGATAATAAATTTTTGGTCGCCAAACCTATAACTGGTCCTTAAAAAAGTTGCTTAACAACAGTATCGTATTGAGAACTACTGCGCCATCCAGGTCCGCTAATAATTAATCTAATTAATTAAACATATTTTCACAAAATTTTTCTTGAAGACATGATAAAAGTAATCCGAATAACCTATATTAGCTTTTTACTAATCGTAAGACGCTAACATAGCTTCTTCCGATTAGGCTATAAAAGAGAGATTTACTTTAAAACATGTTAGTGGAAATGTTTAAATTTTACGATGTGTTCTAACATTCTTTAATTTTATTCACTATCGTAAAATTATTTATTAAGCAACTAAGTAAACAGTATAAAATTTCTTGTAAATCTTTATACTTATACTATAAAATGTCAGAAAGGTATGTATTTATTTATCCTTAACATAATTCCATATTTACTCACTAAACAAAAAGACTAAATTAGGTTCAACTAAATTAGGGAGTACTTCAACTTGATCAATTTAGTACTTTCGAAAAAAAAATTGTTTTGTGACAGACATGAGTATAGTTTTCCATTTGAGGACCGGTATCCTAAAAAGTGGAATTACTTGATTTGATTTATTATATATCTAATTATATATAATGATAGGCATATAAATCATCCTTGCTACGTTATGCTGTAATAATATGGGGTAATAGCGTAGATATGAAAAGAATTTATAGCTGAATTTATAGCTCAAAAAATGCATACGAGCAATATGTGGTATAAAAAGACGAGACTCCTGTAAGCCTATGTTTAAAGAATTAAAAATATTACCTTTGCCTTGCATTTATATTTGTGAACTGTGTTTATTTGTAAAAAAAAATCCACCATATTTTACTAAAGTCAGAGAGATAACCCACGAAGTTCGAGACAAAATAAAATTGTTATTCCGAAATGTAACTTGACATTATTCAAACAAATAGTATATTATATGGCTGCCCCCGCAGAACAACGTGGTAAAGCTACATTACGACGTTTTTAAGGTTTTCCCATTTTTGGCTTCTAGGATGCCAATACTATCATCTAATTTTTTTTTATATCTATTTTCTTAAAATTGACATAATTATTAACTAAGACAACTTTTTTCTAGGGATCACTGTTAAAAAATATTTTATAAGAATAAAATAGAAACAAGCAAGTACAATGCAAATGTTTCTATCTCTGTTACGTATTAATCGATTGCGACCCTATTCCAGAACATTATCATACCTGCGAACCCAGTAAACCATTTTACGACTATTTTCTGATAAAAAATATACGCCCTATACGCCGTATTTGAATTTACCGCTCCATGAATTTTGAGTCATGTTGTCGTACATTTAACATGCCATTATTCTTGATATTAGAAAAATATGCAACTGTTACTATATAAAAATATGAAACAACACCACTTCTTGCATTTTCATTTCAGTATCAAAAAATGATATTGAAAACCTCAAACATGATGACAGTAGCTAACTGAATAATATCGCGCGACAAGAAAATTCGGAGTTGTGAAATCTTTCGAAGAAAATTGTCTCCAGATTTCGATAATATTTCAGAACGATCAGTTTTGCCCCACATAACAAATTATGTAAATAAAATAACAATGCAATTTAAACACCTTCAACGATTTCCAATTTATCTGAAGAATTTGATCGAAATTATAAAGAGAAAGCTACAGTGAATGATGAATGTATTGATAATATAAACAGCATAACTTTCTTGGATTTCGATGATTATATACGACATAAATGATCACAACATGAGCACTCAAAGTGAGTCCAATACTTCAACAATTATATTTCAAACCACTAGCTTAGAAAACATCCACGAAGTTAGTCAGAACAACGGTGTAAATATTGCATAAAAACAGAACGTATCTCAAAGTCAGTTGGAAAGCCTATTGAGGAAGATGACTTTTTTAAGTATCAAAATTCAATACAAGAAGTAGAAAATGAATCTGAGATAGGAACTAAATCCAAAGAAGGAAATAAACCTAAAGAAGAAAAACAAATGGAAGAAGAAAACAAGTCTGGAGCAGAAAATAAGTCAGAAGAAGAAAATGGGTCAAAAGAAGAAAATATATAAACCTAAAGTAAATTTTTTACTAGAAAACGTAACAAAAATGAATGGCAAAATAAGAAGAATCAATTGCTTAAGAATTCTGGACAATTTTATACCGGGGTCAGTTCTAAAAGATCCCCCAAAAAGCATTAGAGATCTTTGCAAATTCAAAAAGAAATGCTGCGAAAAGTTCACTGATAAATACAGAAAAGCTATCTTTGTGTCTTATTGGAGAATTGGTGAGCATGAAGATAATGGTAATACATTTTAAGATGCAAAAAGAGAAAAAAGTTATAACTTATTTTTTATCATTAAATGGTAGCAAAGAATAGGTTTGTAAATCTTTTTGTTTGAACACATTAAGCATATCTGAAAAAAAATGTTTATACAGCTATAGAAAAGAGTAAGAATGACGAAAACATACATAAAAGGGGAACACAATAAAAACCACGAAAAATAAATATATCGACTAAACATAGCATTTTAAACGCACATCAAGCTCTTCCCTGTAGTAAAATATCTTTACACAAGAAAATAATCAAAGAGATTGTGTTTGTTAGAAAATTTAAACATAAGTAAAATGTATCGCCTGTATAACGAGTGGTTTAGTAATCACAAAACCGATCACCCAGATCGGTGTACACAGAAGCGACCAAAAAACAGTATGAATTTTATTTAATAAACTTTTTGATTATTCATTTTCAAATCCAAGAAAGATCGATACTTGTGCTTTGTATGAAGAAAGAAAGGTTACCCTCGAAGAAACTTATAGATCACCCATCAAGATCAAAGAAATGGCACAAGAAATAAAGAACAGTTGCTATATTTGATCTCGAGCAAGTTTTAAATATCCCGCATTCAAACGTAGGAGTATATTTCATTATAAGAGGAAATCCCCTATCTATAATTTTACCATATTAAACATTTAAATCTTCAAGTATACTGCTACGTTTGGCACTATGAAATAGATGAAAGGGGAGCTATAGAAATCGGTTGTTGTCTTTTAAATTTCATCGAAAACGAACACACAAAACAAATACTATAAATGTAAGCAATAATGTTAAACTCCAAAATACAAGGTAAAAAATGATTTTATGACATAAAAGCGCTCGCAGACAAAATATATTTGTTACGGGATTTTATATGTAACAAAGTAATGTGGTCAAAAATAAAACATATAGATCCTGATATACTATTTGTGAATACAATGCGATATAAATACGAAATCCGAATTTGAGCCTCTAAAAACTTTTTCTAAATAAACATGTGGAAGAAGATCAAAAAAACAAATATAGTTTATTAAAAAAAGTATTTTAATTAAAAAATAGAAAAGAATGCAAACAGAAATATTTAGTTGTTATTATTAATTATTTGCAAAATGCCATTAATGAATAACTGATAGATCTAGAAATAAATTGTTTGTTGTTTGGTTAGTTACTTTTTATAAAAAAAAATATTTTTTTTATGAAATACTGTTGATTTTAATATAATTCTTGGTTTTTT